CACCGCTAAATGTTTGGTTCCGGGTGGCGGAGAACAAAGCACGTTGTATCGTTTCAGAACAGCCTACTGGCCATGCTGGCTGCTCATTTAAAAGGGGTCCGTAAAGGCACATTAATTGATGACTCTGTGCGGCCTGAAGAAAATTATATACGCAGACGTTTTCTGAGCGACGAAGGTGCTGCCTTTACACTTCTTTTTCTTTTCGAAAATGGCCACGGACTTCTCTCCTCGCTCCTCGCCGCTAGGCGGTCGTTTTTGCCTGAGAGATACCACCACGAAGGAGTTTTAGCACACAAGTCACTGCAGATGCAGACCTAGGAAAAGGGCATTCTCCATCTGAAATTTTAAATCGAAATGAAAGGCTGTTTTCAGCCTTTTATCTCTTTTCTCCGCAACGTATTTGGTTAAAGGATAGTAAGTAAAATGGCTGAGGCACTTTAAAGCATTTTTTTCATTTTCGTGACGAATTTTGACGTTATGAAAAAGAACTTGTCAGTGAATTGGTTTATTTTCTAGCCTGCGAACAAGTGCCGGGGGGGATGGTGGCGGATAGAGCCAGGTGACTACACCTTTTTTCAGGCGGGAGCTAGCGGTACGTACATTCTGGTCTACCCCTTACTGTGTAGACTGGCCTTTAAGGACCTCTGTTCGGGGGGCGAGGGATCAGTACAATTCGTCAACAGCAGGTTGAGGTCTCGCCAGAAGATGCCCTTGCTGCAGAGGAGCAAAGAAATACTACTTTCAGTGATTTAAACATGTTAAATACTTGTATTTCGCCTATCAAATGTGTCCATTGTCCATTTTCGATTTGTGGTTTTTCAGGAATGTTCTTTTGCGGAGCATTGGCCAATTTTCTTTAAACAGTTTTACTCGTTTCCATTTCCCTGCTCTACCCTCATGTTGCATATGGCGTACGTGTGTACCTAAATCCCTCAATTGATACTGAGGTGATCAATAAAGAAGTCTATACGCTAAGCGGGGTTAAGATTAGTTTATTACAAGCAAAGGCGCAGAAGGTTAAGTGCAAATAAAAAAAACTAGTGTGAAAAGTTTTGCAGACTCGGCTTACTCTATTTGTTTTCTTTCTCTATATGAGTTTCGGCTGGTGACATCCTAAAATCAAGTTTAGTTCCACATGTTTTGGGAATATAAAATATAAAACTAAAAAAAGCAGTGTTAATTGTACACTCGTGCGATGATTTATCCTTGTCTGTACAGTTGCGTGACCAGACTCAAATTACACACGGGCTTTCATCACGCATCACAGCGTTTAGTCTGAGGCTAAAGATCTCAGTAAACTGCGGCCACTTGCGGTTGAAACGACTGTGGTAAGTAATTCTTAGAGATCTCGAATCCTATTTAGAGCTAGCACGCCGTTTCTAGCGGCTTTATTTTAGGTACAGAAACTGGAAGATAATATTTACACTCCATGAGAACTTAACAGTGTTGTCTTTTTCAGCTACTTGCGTGCAATCAAATGCAGTGTTAATCTACTTAGTTCTTTTTTTTATAACCATCAAATTGAAAAGCGTTTTTCAAAAGATTTTTAGAGCTTCCCGTAATGTGCTCCTTGTAAAAGAAGCTAAGTTAGCAAAAACTTTTGTGTGCCTACACTCGCGGCTAGCTTGTTTTCAGCGTTCCAACGTGCGAAACTACACTGCACGTTTCGTTGTCTCAGCGACGCACTTTTGTAATGCCGCCAAAAATTTTTTAACACAAAAAACGGCAAAGAATATGCTTTAAAATAGTGTTTGTTTCATGTTGAAATTCCATGTACCAGTTGTTTTTTTCGATGGTGAAGTTAGGTCAAATTTGCCATTTTTGAAAAGAGCCGAAATCGTGTTTCTTCTCGCGGCCAACACAGTCACATTTAAACAGCTTATCTAAAGATAATTGCAGAATTATAAAGTACAAGTCTGTGTTTTCCTTGTAACTTGATTTCATTTAAAGATGTCATCCCGTTTTTATGTACGAGCGCGAAGAAAATGCTTAGTTTTCGCTAATTTCATACTCGAAAGAGCGCCGATTTGGCGTTTTTCAAACTTTGCCCGATTCAGGAAAAAATAAAAAGCCGTTACAAGTTTTAATGTGATTTTTGAAATAAGTGAACTATAGAGATTATGTGGGCAAAATATGAAGAAATTCAAAAATTCACGACTGTCAACCGATTCTCGAAAATTACAGACATTGGCTTTTAAGGTAGGTTATATTCAGTTGCAACTGTTGAGTGACAGTTCAACAACAAAAAAAAGCAAATGACTTGAAAAGATAGTATTTAAACTTGGTTCTTGTACAAATGAATAAGTGAATGAAAGTCGGGGGAGATATTTCCTTGTCAGAGAGGCAAAGATCATCTGGTAAGGGACCAGTGATCATACCAGTCTGCGCGTAGGTTAAGCTGTGTTTGACTACCCTGAAGCCTCATGCAAACGGACGCAACGTTTTTGGCCAACAACTCCCAACATTCGTGGACGTTACATGTCGCGTTCGTTTGCACACCCTGTTGCATGTTATTGCATGTTGTTGAGTGTTGTTGGGAGTTGTTGCGCAAAGTTTGAAACCGGACGAACTTTTATCCACGTGCAAACGGACGCAACAACTCCCAACATTGTTGGGCCAACAATGCTGGGAGTTTTTATTGAGGTATTAGTTAAATTCAATTAAATCGAGGGGCACGTTTTAGGGTTTAGCTTAGAAATAACTAGAATGGTGAAAGCTGTTTCAGGCAGCACATTAGCAATAAAACATTTCAGACTCGAGCTTTATCAATATGGTATGAACAAGAACTTAAAATAAATAATCTGTCTTGAGATATTAAAGAAATGGATACCTTTTTTCCCTTTTCAGCAATTTTTGTAGCCTTTGAACTTCCTGCAACTTCCCCGAAATTTATCTTGACATATTATTTACGTTATTTTCAGGTGCCGAGTGCCCTGACGTGGCTTGTAACGTGTTCCAAATATATAGCGGAGTCGTATTAAAGGCAAAATAAAGCATCGAATTTAAAATTTGGTCTTGTTTTGATTGCATACTTTCTACTGAGTTGCAGTGAAGCTCCGTTATACGGCCTCTGTTGCAGGGGCGGATCTAGGGGGAGGGTGCAGGGGGTGCGCCCCCCCTGAGATGACCTGCGGTTTTCTAATACAACTGGTATTCTGCGAAAAAAAAACTATGTGGTTTATTGGTGTTGAAGTAGAGCAAGAGCCGAGTGCACCCCCCCCCCCCTAAAAAAAATCCTGGATCCGCCCCTGTGTTGACAGCAGCCCGTATCGAGGGTCTCAATCACATGGGGTGGTAGCTTTAACGGTTGACGGTAATTTAGTGGAAATTTAGTAAATATTAAAATCTGTATAAATTAATATTAATTGTTGTGTTTTGGAGGTTTTCTTGGCCTTTCACATATAAAATTTCGAAATATTTTAATTTTAAGCAAGTTCTCAGGTCTTGTAATGTCTAGAGGGAGTTTTTTTGAGAACCTGGGAACTGGTTTTTCAATTCCTGTTACGGATATTCTTCAGGAGTCAGAAATCAGTGAAGATCAGCTGAAATAGTGAGATTTGAATTACCTTGAAACGTTTTGACGGTTAATACTTCTCTGCAGTTTTCACGGTTGACGATAAAAAATAATCTTTTTTGACGGTTGACTATTAAATTTTTAAGCCGTTTGATGGCTGACGGTTGAGACCCTCCGTATCTTGAGGCTGCTATTACACTTCTGCCTTCCTAAAGAGGGTCTGGAATGGCATTCTCAGGATCCGGGAGTTGACCCGAAATTTAGTACGGGATTAAAAAAAAAACACAAAATTCATCGACGGGATACGGGATTTGACCTCTACTCCGGAGAGCTAGATTCGTCAAAATCTTGGTATGGGATGCAATATTGGGAGAAAACGGTATTTGGGATAGAAATGGCAGATGTTCGGGATCCTCTGGATGCGGTCATGAGGTCATGAGGTCAATTGTTCAGTAGAGAAACATACACTGATGGATATATAGTGTGGTGGCTGTTTGACTGCTTTAAAAGGGTTTTTAAATGTAAGAAAATGTATGTCCATTTCGGCGGGACTGTATAGATCAGGTCGCCGTATGGCAGGGCTCCCTCTTGAATTTTGTCTATCTTGAGATGATTTCTGGTAATTTCCAAATGGAAACATGACGAAATATATAACCAAAACGTTAACTGCGTCACGCGTATTTCCCAGGCCACCCAACAAACGTTTTTCGATTTTAATAACCTCGGATAAAAATTCAACGTGCACCCGATCCCTCACATGAGGACAAGGGTGGTTAAACCTCCCCACCATCTCAGTTTTTGTTTCCGCTGCGTCAGCAACTCTCGTAAATAATAATAATAATAATAATAATAATAATAATAATAATAAGAAGAAGAAGAAGAAGAAGAAGAAGAATAGTAGTAATAATAATAGTAATGATGATGAGGGTAATGATGATGAGGATAACAATATTATTATTATTATTTTTATTATTATTATTATTATTATTATTATTATTATTATTACTAATACTAAAAGCATTGTCATTGACGTGCTCAAAATGAAAGCGTTTATTTATATTGCCACTGCTCAGACGAGGGAATTCCTTCACAAAAAAATGATAAAATTCAATACCCTTAATAAGCGCTTACGCTATGACCATCAATGTTCGCAAATTTCCTAAAATTCATCGGAGAGAATTTTTTAAGTCGTGGTGACTTGTAAATTGCTATTTAGTCAATAACTGTTTATTGGGTCTTTGGGTCTTTTTTCATTTATTGCATAATCAAAATGATGATGGAAAATAAAAATAAGATCAAGCAACAACAGAGATAACAGTCCACAAAAAAAATAAAGTTTCATTTTTATGTCCTTTATTCCATCCACTTAAAACACATTCACGCATGCGCATTTGAACTACTACTTTGTTTTATTTTAATTTATCTTTCTTTTATCTCCACTTTTGGGAGGCTTTGGACTATTTATTGACTTTATTATGTTTAATTTATCTCAATTTTCTTACAAACAATTACGTTTACACAAATCGTTTTGCTGGTTTAGATCATTAATTAGGTCGTTTAGTGTTGGGCAAGTTTCGTTTTTGTTCAAAAGGTGAAGGTTCCGTTTGTTGTCCGTCGTAGACTCTTGTCGACTTATCCTTCAAAAGATTATAAATAAAGAATCAATACAGTGATACCAGCTACAGTGGAACCACGATATAACGAAGAGCCAAGGGACTGGCAAAAGTTGTTCGCTACCACGAGGTTTACACTGGTAAAACTGGACCTTTTACAGAGATAGTAAAATGTTCATAAATTGAAAATTTATAGACTTTTTTTTTATGAGAGTACAAATCTTGCCCTCTTTTAATTTCGTTATATCTAGGTTCTTTTTTATATATTTCACTATTACTGGGGTAAAGAAAAGTGTTGCTTATTCCAAATGCTTGTAGCATACTGTAGGAGGGAAGTGCACAGCCGCCTGTATACAGACGGACCTTTCATAGATTGTGCTAGTAAAAGTAGTATATTATACCTGTAGCACTGCTCTTTTTTTGGCCAAATTATGTTATAATTATGCTCGTTGTTCCAAATTATGCAACTTTTGTCTTAAATTGTCCTCTTAACAACTATGGCAAATAAGTCCAAAATACTCAGAAGCCGTATATTCTTGTTACCTATAATATATAACGGTCTCTGGCAATTGTGGCTTGTTCTGGCCCTTCATTTCTCTGAGGTAGCTGTAAGTTTTCGCTCGAATCGGCTGGCATAACTGACGCCATTTTGTAGCCTTGCCTATGAGAGGTATTAGGACCAACATGGTTTCCCATGGGACTTCCGGTTCCCGTACACCATAGTCCCAGCCCCCCATTTCCGGCCTCAGTAAACTGCAAATACTGCTAAAACATCGAAAAACGTCAGCGTATAATTGGGATTTGGGAATCAACGTGCCTGTGAAAACCCAAAAATGTTCCGATAATTATCAAAATATACGAATTATGCTAGCAGAGCTACGTTTTAAAAAATGGCGAAAATTATGCTAGTTTTCTCAAATTATACTAAAAATTATGCTAGCACAATCTGTAAAAGCCTATTCCTACATACCAAGAGGTTAGATTATTACGTCTGTAATGCAGGCTATGAAATGCAATATCCGATGTTCCAATCCTATCTAAAATTTTCCGCGCCTTCGTTCATAATTCCCTTTAAAAAATGCAATCTCTTCTCCCATCTTTCTCTTATTTGAAAGGTATATTTATTTCTCGACAGCTCACGTTATCATCGAAAATTGACAAACTTGAAATCACTTTTGTACAATCAAGAAATGGAAAATTTAAACCTATATGATTTAAGAAATGGATAATAAAATCATCATCAGTTTATTTTCTTTAGTTCCTTCAATTTCATAATGATTTTTCTGAAGCAAGTTGTTACCTGACACAGGACTGATCTATTTACCTGCTGAACAGTTGTTGCACGTTTCCTTGCATACTGCTCTAGGAAAAGTATTATCACAGTAGCCGTTTTGCTGATAATATGAGCAATACGACTGAGGCCAGTCATCTTCACAGGACGCTTAAAAATAATGATAATAATGATATTACTGTTGTATTGGTCCATCCCAAGAAAAAAAAATGCCCTGCCGCCAGGGAGTAATAACAGGAAAAAATAGAAACTGGGATCAACTATCTGCTGATTAAAAGGAAAGAAATTGTATATACACATCTTCATTCCGGCCAAAGAAAAAAATTGCAAATTTCAAATAGGTTTGAGATATTGAATCTTTAAACCGTCGTTAAATCGTACTTGTGAGAGATATGGCGGAAAATTTACAGCTAGGTTACATAATTTCAATATGCTCTTTCAGCTCCTGCTAACAAAATTTTTCAAAAGCTAACTGTTTCGTGTTTACAGAAAGTTGATCACGTGACCACCTGTTGCAAAAGGCTTTGTATTACCTCTCTTCGACTTTCTGAATGAAGTCTCCATGTCCAAGTTAAAGAGAATACATTACTTTACACTAAAACGTCACCTCGGGTAGGAATGCGGGTTCATAGTTTGTTTGTCTCGTATTTTAGTTAGAATTGCCTTGGTTAGGGGGAAAACGATAGAAATCGAAACAAAAATAAAGTAAGAAATAAATAAGTACATAACGCACTGGAAGTAGCATCCCAAACAGATTTTACAGAGAGCTCCTCTGTTATATGCACAGGCACACTAATATTAAAGAATACTTACTGTTGCTACTTTGGCTTCCTAAAAAAAATATATATATGTATTTAGTAAATAACAAGTTCATTTAGCGAAGAGTTAAAAAAAGGAAGAAAGACCCTTGAATATCGGTCTTTGGGCTGGTTTTCACTAGCGACGGAGTCGGAGTCGGAATCATAAGCAGAGTCGTAGCGGGGTCAAAAATCGGAGTCGTAAGCGGAGCCATAAGAGCGACGGCATCGGAGTCGAAGAATCAGAACGTTTCCATTTTCTTCCGAATTCGCTTATGACTCCATCGCTTACGATTTAGTGAAAACCAGGTTATCGGAGTCAGAAGCAGAAGCAGAAGGATAAACCAATCACAATGCACGTTCCCACACTTTGTGATTGGTTTAGTCCTTCCGCTTCTGCTTGCGACTCCGACAACATAGTTTTTACTTGATCTTAAGCGACGGAGTCGTGAGCGGAATCAGAACGCTGTTTTCACTAGATCGTAAAGTCTTACGCTTCTGATGACGACTCCGACTCCTACTCTGTCGCAACTGAAAACCAGCCTTTAGTTGGCCCCATGACGATCTAATGGAGAAATAGATAGTTGACTTGTGCCACAATTTTACCACTGGTTCTTGCCAGTGTTAGTACTACCTCGTCAAGTTTAAACATCGATGGCTGCTGTGCTTATTTAAAAGCACTTATTAGGTTTATTGCGTTTCAATATAATAATAACTATAATTATAATAAAAATGATAATGATGCTGATACTGATAATGACGATGATACCAATAATGATAATAACAATGATAATGACAATGGTAATAATAATGATACTGATAATGATACCAATAACGATAATGATAGATAGTGATAATGATAATAATAATGATAATGACAATGATAATAGCAATGATAGTGATAGTCAGATAGTGACAGTAATAATGATCATAATAGTGAAAACAATAATGATAATAATAGAACAAAACTCAGTGCAAGGCGGGCACTACGCCAAAGGGCTAATTTATCATAGGCCAATATATCCGCTGCCAAAATTAGCCTTCCTCAGTGCCAGACCTATACCGAGAGAAAACATCTTTTATAATGATGGTGACAATGATAGTAATAGTGATAATGATAACGATGACGATAGCGATAACGGAAATGGTAATGATAGTGATATTAAACAATTTTCACTGTCAGAGCAACCACTTATTACTGCCTTCGGGAAGCTAAGTCATGGGAAGCGAGATTTTGCAAAGGCAGAGGGTCGTAAGACAGAGAACGGAGAGGGGGATACGCGTCGCCGAAGGGGAGGTGGGAGGGTAAAAAAATATAACCCGACTAAGAACGGTGTTATTGCTTGACAAAAGATACTGAAATCACGGGATAGAGTAAATTTGGTAACCTGATAAGGGTAGGCCTACCTCACATACGTACACAACAACGACAAAACAAAACAACGAAAAGGAAAACATATTAAAAAGGAAGGGTAACACCCGCTAGCCCGACCGGACCAGGAAACCATCCTGAGACGGGTTATAGGGAGTACTGTTGATTTCCCTTCTGGTCACGGCAGGGGCGGGAAGGGAAAAAAAGCCCAACAAAAAATATAGCAACAAAAGATGCTACATAAAACCAAACTTTTTCCAAGACCGAACAGAGAATGAAACGTCTTTGCCAGGTCGAATACTCTAATAAAAATCTTCCACAGGTTGTGCACATTGCCAAAATCCGTCTAAGGAAGGAAAAAAACCAAATTTTTTTCAAATCGAAAGAACGGCCAGAATCAGTCTTTCTGTGGCCGTCAACATACGACCCAAACATTTTCGTGTCGAACACACGACAAAAATCTTTCTCAGGTTGAGCACACGCCCAAAATCATTTTCAGGTCGCGTACGCCACCAAATAGGTAGACAAAGCAAGCATTACCGGAAAACAGAGGTAATAACTGAATAACATACAAACGCGGAATATAACCTGAGAAGAAACAGAAACCAAACCTGGATGAATGAGCCTAAATCTGCTTGGGGTTGTTGCTTAAGGCCTCGCTTGTTCAAGTACATGAGCTGTCAAAGAGGTTGGCCAAAGCTCTGGGGTTAGGTTCTAGAGGAACGGCCAAGTAAAATTTCTGCGGGTTCGGCGACGCGACAAGAAACTCACACGAAAATTATAACCCAGACGAAGAACGGCGTTACTTGGCAATAGACACTGAAATCACCGGATAGATGGCTTAAATAGGCAAAAGGACTCCCCCCGTGACTTCCATACGATTGTCTGCAATGGCCTGGGAGGCTACTGGTATACCGGCATTGCGTGCAGGCAGAATCCTTGGTTATTCTAACAGTGAAAATAGTGCTAATGATAAAGACAATGATAATGATAACGAATTAAAATAGAAGTTATCCAGTGAACTTTGGCAACGTGATTAGGATATCAATTTTCATAAAAAATTACCGCATATTCCGCAGGTTAGAGGGCAATTGTTTCTCATTGCACTTCCAACGTCTGCATCTTCACAATAATCGACGTAATCGTCGCATGACTCATCGTTGTTGGTACATGAAGTCTGTTCTGAAAAAAAAAATGGCTTCAACATTTGAGATAGTGTTTATGAAAAGATTAAGTATCTTTCAATTTAGCTGTCTCAACGGAAAGCGTTCAGCCTTGTGGTGTACAAAACTGTAAGTCTTCAAAAAAGAAGCTTTTAAGAAGTTCAGTTTTAGTTCAGTTTATTGTTTTGCCATAATGATGTACAAACATAAAAATAAAGAAAATCAAAATATTTAAAAAGCTAATGGCGACATAATTAATTGAGTGGAATGGTTATGAAACCCGTCAGACTCCTTTGTTATATTTTTTTTTTTTGTGGGCCTGAAAGTGCCCAACGTTGAAAAGCATTCCTTTCATGATTGTATTGACCAATAAAAAACGTTGCATTAATTTATTCCGTAACATTTTGCCAACAGAAAACAAAGGATTGTGCACTTTTAGGGTGCTTCCAACATAAACTGCAGTACTGTTGTTTTTATCATTGACGTTTGTCGCTTTTCATAACCTCCTCGATCTAATAACTATGAGGCGAGGAAGCCCAAGGGAAGCCACCGGCCTTATGAGGAATAGGCTTCCTCAGCTAGATTATTACAAAAATATCAATTACTGAGATACAGTAAAGTGAACTTTCTTTCTTTCCTTCTTTCAAGCATCATGCTAGCTATCTTGTGGATAGACGATTGGCTGAGGAATTAGAGCCGTGTCAAAAAACATCAATTTCACTCCATAGAAACCACAAATCAATTTAAAATTCTTTTGTACTTGGATTTATTCTATGTTAATGTTCCTGCAAGGTTAAAGAATACAACTGATATCCATTTTTAATTGTTAGTTGTAGTGTCATGGAATCGACATGGAAGGTTGCCCGGGCCACGTCCACACGAATCCGAATACTGGCGCTAAAACCACATACATACTTGATATTTGCATCAAGAGGAATTTGGTGTGGTGTATCTGGTTTAGATTCACCCACTCACACAAATACGCTAAGGCGATTTACTTTGCTAATTACTGGCTAGTAGGCATGCGCAAACCGAGCCCGCGATGTGATTTCTCCGCATTTTTGAGCATTGTTGTAGCTAAATCTATCGAGCACAATGGCCAGGCCTGCCTGTACCGTCGGCGCCAGGCACTTGTTTGCCCCGGGCGAACCCTAAATCTTTTTTCAACGAGGTTCAGAACGAAGGCGTTTTACACGACTTTGTCTCGAACTGAACGATTTCACAATCTGTATGAATGAAGTCTTGAAGTTTGAACTGATGTCGTCAAAACAGCAAAATTTATTTTAAAGCATGCAATAAGACTGGCAATATGAGCGAGAGCTGTCAACAGAAACATGGTTGTCCACCTTTTTGGACTTGAAATTTTTCATTTAAGACTAGACCCGAGTTCATGACATAGTTGACGTCAAAAAGTTCCGGTTTCAGTCTTCCACACACGAATTCACCAAACCTGTCGAATCCAAGAGAATCCGCTGTGCAAGACAGTTTCAAAATATACAGTCGAACCTCCCGTAAGCGACCACCCAAAATGCAAAGTCTCAGTGGTCGCTTAGAGGAAGTGGTCGCTTACAAGAATCAAACCACGGGGCGCCTCTTCCAAGAAGAGGTCCGGCCACATCTGCTTTACAAAAAATAATTATTGCATACAATTTTAAAGTTACGCCATGTATAGGTCCACGCCGTTACTAATTAGTTCTTTGTATATTCTAGAAAGCACAGTCCACACAGCGAACTTAGAGATCAGAGAATGCGTCAAGTCGTCGCTTACAAGAGGTTAAAAACATTTAAAAAATCATTAAACTTTCAGGCCCAAAAAGTGGTCGTGGTCGCTTACAGGAGGTGGTCGTTTAGTAGAAGTTCCAACTGTAAGGCTTTGACTGGGAAAGTTTTGTTGTTTTGGCTAAGGGATCGCTTACGAGAGGTGGTCGCTCATGGAAGTTCACTGGTTTCGTGTGGACAGAGGGCTGACTCCTATATAAAAAAGTAGCGGTTTCAAAAGTATCCGGATAGATAATAAACAGGTCTTTTCCTCGTTGGAATTTGTGAATATATTACTTCAGATAGAGGCTAAGGCTGTAAAAAATGTGTCTTCACTTGTTTAATTCAGCGGTCATAGCGAACTCGAAAATGGACTATTGGCCAGTCAGACCAGTCATTTTGAAAATTAAATTTTAGCCTTTTTTCGAAATTTTTACCAAAACGTGATCGATAAAGTCGTGCATACCATTTATGTACAAATGTATCCAGGCTTAAATTGCACCATCATATCCTTACATTGCCTATCTATTACTTGGATTTTTTCAGTTGTATATTGGTACGTGTGCGTGCGCAATTTAATTTTGGCCGCGTGCATTATTTATTTATTTATTTATTTATTTAAGTTACGTGTACATTTAGTACGTTTAATAACGTCTTAGCTTTGCTTTGCGTTATTTTCCTTACTTATATGTGTTGTCCGCGACTGTGCTCACACGGTGGGTGACTCCTCCTAAAATGTTCTGCAATTGGTATAGGATTTAATGGGGCCGAAACCAATTGTGGAATTGCACGCATTTTAGGCATCCTACTTATGAACAGTTGGGAGACGCAGATATATTTTTTGGCAACTAATATAATTTGCAATCTGTCTACTTTGAATACAGATTTCAGTAGCCGGGGCTAAAAACTCAAGTAAATTAAGGCATGGGCCTCAATTTGCCTTAATTTGCTCTCTTCAGAAGTGAGGGGGTGGTCTATATCTAAGAACTTAAGATGAAGAGACATAAAACTTTGCCAGCTAACCACATTTTTAGTTTGTGTCAATTTTGTACTTTAAGATTATGCAAATTAGGTCACGTGACCTCCATCAGCTGAAAAAGCTTGTTCTTCAAACGGCAACACTTTTTCATGTGACTTCAATTATTTTACCGGTTGCATAATGTTAATGCCGTTTAATGTATCACTTCTGTGCTTGGCCTTTTTTAGATATTTAAAATCGAAGGCCTTAAGATGGGATACAATTGCTTTGGGGGACTGGGTCTAGTAGAAAAAGCGGTTTATTTTCTAAAACAGTAAAAAATTCAAAAAAGGCCAAGCACAGTCTTGTAGATGCTTGTATTACACATTCTCCTAAACCAGATCGGTTTAATAACTCACAACAAAAAGTGTTGCCATTTTTGTTTAAAGACTTTTTATTGTTTTCTGGGCGTGTGGAGTCACGTGACAACATTTGCATAATTGAACATCACCTAATTGACAGAAACCACACATGTATGTATCTTGCAAAGTCTCATCTCTCTACTGCTTACGTGCTCAGAGATAGACCACCCCCCATCACTTTTTTACAGAATCATTGGGGACCCATGCCTTAATTTACCTGAGAAGCGAAGCTTTCGTTAACATACCTATAGTTTTGTAAATAAATAAACAAATAAATAAAATCGTGTAATGCGAAGCGGCGACGTCAAAGAAAACGGCAAAAAGATATAATAAATAGGGTCTAATACGCAACAAAAAAAAAAACAACAACAACAACAAAAACAACAATAACCACTGAATAACAACAGCAAAAACTTTGAACGTGCAATTAGCACACCTTTGTGCATTTTGTTGCCTTGTTTTGCACGACTACAAAGTGAAACTTCCTATGGTTCAACTTTTGTAGACGAAATAATGTTGTATGTGTTCATGTTCGCCTTTTTAGCGGAGCTCCACGCGCGTGCGAAGCGCACACGTGGGCGGAGCCCCATAGTTAAGTAAATCTACCCATTCCAGAAAATTTGGTAATCACGTGTCAAAACAGGGCATCCGCTGACCAGTATCGCCTGACCGTACCGCGGGCTCAAGTGTCGATCCATCGACGTAGAATATTTTTGAAGTTCTCCGCTGACAAATTACCAGTTTCAAATGATCGCAGGCTCAAGTTCATTTTTTCCAAGGATTCATATCAAATATGTTGTGTTTATGTCACTATGGCCCCGCACTATTAGGACTTTGATTTCAAACTGGCCTCGGAAGCGAAAATTTAGCCAGTTTTTTTTTTTAAGTACAGGCGTGGAAGACCTTATCTTACCATGGCCACGCGTTGGTCACGCTCTACGGCCAATTTTTATACCCTGATTGGTCAAAATTTGACAGGTTAGTTCATGCGGTTAGTCTTGCACAGTTCACGCTGACAGTTTATGCGGCAAGTTTATGCACGTTTGTAGAGTCAATGATCTGACCTAGTATCAGGTTTGATATAAGCTTACAGAACTTTAAAAAGCCTTCAGATATATTTGCTCACCACAAATAGAAAGAAAACGTTCCGAAGAATATTTAGTTATAAATTTGGCTGTAGAAAGAAAACTTTGAGCTATTTTCTTGCTTCGAGGAGTTCACCTTCGAAAACAGGTAAACACCGCGCCGGGAAGCCGGCTTAAGCTTTACGCTTAAAGACTCAGGATTTTTAGAGACACTTTAATTATACTTGTCTTCGTGAATGAAAATTGTTGTCTCTGTAAATGTTTCACCGAATTATATTTCTTTTTTTGATTGTTAGTTGTCTCTCTTGCAATTTTAATCGCTTCTCCGTGCCGTTTGTTTTCATCGTTCATGAACATCGCTTGCAGCAGTACTCAAAAATGTCGCGCGTATCAAACGCTTTATAAGATTACACATCGTTATAACCGAAACCATTGAATAACAAAAAATAATAATAATAAATTTGCTGTTATGTTGAAGCGTAACTCTATTAAGGTTCACTCAAACACTCGACCACACTGACAGCTCGCACTATAGAAACGAGAACCAGCTGGCCGTATGGGTGATTTTGGAAATTTTTGAACGGTTTCGCTTAAAGCCCACGATTGATCGTCCTGAATGTTCCTGAGTGCAATTTGTCTCGAAAAATTGTGAAATACCGTATTCTGTCCGAGGTCTGTATGATAAATAGTACTGTTTCACCTCAAATGTGATGTATAAAAACTATAAAAGGTAGGTTAAAACACCCCCAGATTTGTTGGTAAGAATTTGCAAAGTAAACCTGTCAAACGCAATTATTGATTTGTTTTACAAGAATTTGTTTTCGAGGCCTAGGCTACTGTGATCCTGAATGTGATCGAAGATGTTTGCTATTTTTTGGGTGTACATATAAGGTTATCAATTCGATGTAAGATGTTTCACTCTAAAATAACTTAGCCTTTCCCTCAAAAGTCACATGAATGTGCCCTTAAGTTAACTGATATGTGGATTAAAAGCTTATTGTTTGATTTAAATTATAAAATTTATTAATTGGAGTTTCGCTTTTAGCCCTGACTAAATCTATATATTATCACTGTCGCTCATTTTTACCTTGGTCAGAGCGTCAGGAGCAATGGGCTCCTGTAAGCGCTGTTTGTTGAACAATTCTTAGTCCGAGGACTACATTACTCACCACTTGTTGTATTTGATGTTGAATTTCCTGAAGTTAAGAAGAAAGAATCAATCGGTCGGTTATTCAAACGAAGTCTCACTTAGGCCGCGCGGTTTAAGAAATAATTGGACCTACAAATCCCTTTCTAAATAGGGTGGTTTATAAGAAAATAAGTTCTTTTCCAGTCTACGCTATAAATGCTTTTTGGAAATTGTTAACGATAAACGGTGTTTAGATAAAAGCGTTGGGCAAACTGGCAATGGCTTAGGGCACTGTTTTTGTTACACACGGGCTACACTCCGTTTAAATAACTGACCCAGTATGTCCATGAGCAGTTAAACTCTGAAACGAGTTTCTTTTCAGAACAACAAGTTCACTCGCTGTGATCTGTTATCATGTTTAATAAGTTAGCTGTTCACTCAATTTCATATCAAACCAGCAGAACTTACACCATGGCCTGTAACAGGGAAAGATTCTCCACTAGATCCGGGCAAAGGTTTGAATCGCGTTTTTTCATATACCACATTAAGCCTATTTGTTTGTTTGTTTTTGCTGTTGTTTTTTGTAAATTCCTTTACATAAAGTACTCTTTGTATTATAGAGGGCGTGCATCGGTTCAATGCCACTCACGCCCTCCCCCCATTGTAGACGGGCCTGCTGCCAGCCTAGTGTACGAGACTGTGGAATATGTGTTCCATAGTCATGACAACGTGACACATTTTAATTGGGAAAGTTTCAAACAACATTATGACACTATGATGATGCTGGCGTGACATCAACCTGTCGTTACTTACCATAAATGAAGTTGATGCCAAGTCTCTCGTCGTCCGTGAGAGTCATATTTTGCTTATAGGGCTTGTATGTTCCATGCATAATGGCGTCAGATTTAACGGAATGCTTTAACCCTAGAAGATGGCCAATCTCATGAAGAGCAACAGAGAAAAGATTTTTCCCAGTTGAAACCCCATCAGTAAAGGTCTCGTCGTCATCAAAGTGCACGTCTCCAGATTCAGGAAAAAATGCATGAGCCAATACTCCATTCTCGCCATCGAAAACATATGAACATGGACTGTGATGACCGGTAAAAAACCTACAGTATGAAAATTTAATCAAGATAAAAGAGACCTTTTTTTAATGACGGGCCGATTGCGAGGACGAGATTTTTTTTCACAGAGTCGTGCGCGTGAACCAGCTTCAATTTTGGCGGGAAAACGTTATAGCAGTCGTCATTCTACCACGCAGCGAGAATGTCGTTGTGGCTTTGACAAGTTATGTTATATAAGTTTTACCATTTATCATCATTCTTCTTCAATAAAAATATTAACTTTGTTTACTTCTCTGGTGAAAAAATGCACACAGAAGCTTCCCGGGGTGTCGATTTTTTTGAGAATATGGCCACCGGCCGGTCGGTCGGATCGAAAAAAAAAAAAAAAACTTAAAATAAAATCACAAGAAGTCTCGGAATAGGAGGCCCTGGTACCCTGGGACGATGTTAAAAGTTAACTTTCATATAATTGGATTAACAAAATGTACAATTTGCTGTAAAAAATGTTCCTGTTTTTCTCTATGCAGTTACTATGATCATTTTTCAGACAGATTAAAAGAATTATTTCAAGTGAAAAATGGTTTAACTACGTCGTTACTTTTTTTTTTGAAAATGCCAAAAATTTGGGTCGGTCTAGCCTGCGTAGCAAGCGTTTCCTCGCGAGGTTCGTCTACAAAGCTGGGACAAGAGCGAAAAAAAGAATGAATGACGGGGGAGGGGGAGGGGAAAGAAGGAACCGCTTGCCCGCAAACCCCACGATTTTGAAAAACTGCGTTCGCCCACGAACGCAGCCTCTGATTGGCGCGGTGCGGGTAGTGTTGATTACTTGGCATTCGAAACATCAATGAAACCAGGTATGCTTTGTTTTCGTGCGTCACAGATCTGGTCTCATCTGATTTGTGGTCGCAGATTACAAATGCTTTGGACTGATATTTATTGGAATCGTGTTTGTGCGAAGGTTTATGAGATCAGAGCCTTCAAAGTATAATTGGAGATCGAGCAGTGGAGACTAGGGAAGGCCAATTTATTGAGAATGACGGCGTGCGGATCTGACTGGAAAAAATGGACTGTTTGTTGAAGATAACATCAACATAAATCAGAACATCGGTACTCGATACTAGCTGAAGCCGCCATGGACAAGCGATTTGTCAGCTTTTTGAAATGAAAAGATTTTTTTTGTTTATTGGAAATTTAGCGGCATCTATTGTAGAGAACGTTTCGACACAGGCTGAAGAGCAGCCGCTCTGCAAAACTTATACCCGGCGGAGTGAATTGTTCCAGACTAATCATTTTTGACGTGTCGACAAGGTTTCAGACGAGATAAAGCCACACGATAAAAAAGACAAGAAATTCCGCAGCAATCGCTCATGGTTTTAACTTTCTTTTATCGTAAATCTTTTTTATTACCGTTCTTGCAATCGCCTGCAACGTGTTCTATTAGAGAACAATGTAATTTTACAAATCTGGTAATCCAGGGGTAATCTGTTCGTTATGTTTCTATTTTGACGAGCTGTCAATTTACAAATGAACCGAACCGTGAAATATCAAGGGGCGTTTTCCAGAATCGTGGGGTTTGCGGGCAAGCGTTTCCTCTTCTCCCCTCCCCCTCCCCCTTCAACCTTTTTTTTGCTTCCGCTCTACCTTTCGCGCAATAACTGGATTGGAAACGCTTGCTACGCAGGCTAGGGTCGGTCGGACGACGCTAAAAAGAGAAAAAAACAGAGGACGGCCTATGCGGAAAAAGAAAGCGAAACGTCTCCTCGTAGTAATCCTCGTCCTCGGCGAATAAAGAAATAGAAGTTAAATAATCTGTGGGTAGGCTAGAAAATTATTGAACCAGATAAAGGTCAACTTACGACAATGTGATATCGGAGGAATTACGGAGGGAAGCGTTATCTGTAACATCTACAAAGGACAAAGGACCGATCTCTTCCCACTGTGTAAAGGCCTCTCTCAAAATTTCGCGCTGCTGTGTTGAATTCAGCGTTCCATTTGAGGCATAGTTATGGAATCTGTATGTGAGATTCGTTTTGTTCCATTTGTCCCCAGAGGTGGAAAACCGTTTAACTCTTCCTAAAACATCATGTTTCATCACTGTGTTAGACAATGCAAGTACCATCGAGTCATGGATTATATTATATATAGACTATGTTTGCACCCATTTGATTGGTGACTATAAAATATATACAATAGCGCGGGGTGATTATATCACAAACCAGTGGGTACAAGATCGGTGATTCGATCGTGAACAGAGAAAAAGTTTGGGATATGAGAAGAGAACACTTGTAAGAAGAAGAAGACCGTGATGAAAATTGTTCCTTTTAACGTTTTGTCCCTTACTCAAATTATCAAGCCGGCATATATGGATTACGTTTCCTGTTATTAGTCACCTTAAGATACACTGTTTCAACCTACGAGTACGGGTAAGCGAACATGTTTACCTCATAGTTTTATAAAGGGCAACCATTATTTCCCAGATGTGATAATCCGGTAGTAGCCGCTTCTCCCGCGTAAGAGCAATCTACCCGTATTTAGGGCTACGTGCACCGTTATTTTTAGGGAGTTATTATAACTCCAAAAATGGAGTGAAATTTTTAGGTACAGGATAACCCCTTTTTGGGGGTTATTTTAACTCCTACTTAGTTTAACTCCGAATTTGGGGTCATTTTTACTCCTGAAAAAGAGTTCTTTTTACTCCCAGTCTGCAGTTAAAATAACTCCGAAATGGGGTTACTTTTTACTCCTTACATGGGTTGTTTTTACTCTTTTTGGAGTTAATTTATCTCTGAAAGTGGAGTAAAAATTTTAGGTACAGGATAACTTCTTTTCTGGGGTTCTTTTAACTCCTCAATATCTGGGGTCACTTTTACTCCTGAAAAAGAGTTCTTTAAACTCCTTTTTGGAGTTAAAATAACTCCCCCCAAAATAACTCCACTGTAAGGAGTCCTAATTTACCAGTACCCGCCTGTACACGGAAACGATGTATCTTAAGGTCTCTATTCACTAAAAAAAGTGAAGGAGTTTACTGTCTTTATAATGCGTCAAGATAATAATATGGCATTCTTAGGCAAAAGCCATAAATATACCACATTCTCGGTCAGTCATATTTGGCAAAATTAAAAAAACAGACAAATAAACAAAACGGCACAGACCACAAGAGAAGCATATGAAGTGCTAGAAGCCGAGTGATCACCTAAAATTGTCGCCTTTACTGTAGGGTTTCACTTATGTATTTACCAGATTCTGAGTTCTCTTCCTCATCAAGATCTGGGACACCGCATCTTGGTTTGTGCATTTCTTTGATAGTGGCAGCATCCAGGTGACCAGTCTCAGGGATTTCAGACTGTTGCTGAAACAGCCTCAGAGCGTCTTTGAGATTATGATTTCCATCCTCGAGCGGTGACAAGTAATGGTATTGTTTGAGAAATTTCTGGTTAAAAATGATCAAAAATATGTTTTGCGTCACGATGAATTAAAAATAAAGCAACATCGGCGTCGTGGTGATAACTTACGGAATATATGTGCACTTTTGGAGGTTCCTTTTTCCAGATCCTCACTGAGTAAAACTGTCCTCTTAGTAGCGTTATAATCCTTGTGGTACCTTAAATATCGACTTAAAAATGCTAAAAAACGTCTTTAAACTCACATTGTTCCGCCGTTTCGATTTTCACTTCTGTTGCATGCATCTCTTGATGCACGAGCCTGTCTCATGAAAAGATTAGGGCTAGTCCAAACCGGCCCCTAGTAGAGGCTAGGGCCAGACTTTGCCATCCTCCACGACCAGCGGGCATTTGAATTTTTGATGTTCCTTCTTGTTAGTTGTGGATTTTCTTAACTACCTCCTTCCCGTTGAATTGGTGTTTTAAGTCTCATCCTATGGTCTGGCTTATGAATAAGCGATCAATGTCCCTTCATAAATACGTTGGGCGTTGTCGGATCCGTTTCCAATTAAACAGTAAGAAATATTATGCATGGATATCCCGCTGATTCTTACGGTGACCGAAAGGACGTTGATACAAGTAGGAAATGAGGGTCAGATACTTAAACGAAGTCTAACTTATTAGGCCGCGGTGAAATCATTGGACCTCTAGATCTCTTTCTTAGTGGGTTAATAAGTATATTTCCAGTCTACGATATACACTTTATCGAAATCGAATTGTTTACGATAAATGGTGTTTCGATAAAAGCGCTGGGCAAATTGAAAATGTCTTAGAACATAGTTTTGTTAAACACAGGCTAAGTACTTTTGAAAAAAACTCTGTGGCCCTGAAAGTTAAAGCAACACATTAAAATGCGTTTCGTTTGTTAAAGAGAGGCACAGTTTGTAATATCTCAAGTAACCGTATACTTAGTAATCAACGATGTTTAAACGTTCGCGGGTGATTCACGGCAGCCTTCTTTGAAGCAATTGACCTCCCGATGAAATAGTAATAATAGCAAAAAAATAAATAAATAATAATAATAATAATGATAATAATATTTGCAGCATGAATGTTCAATAAAGCTGATACAGCCATAAGCTTTGCGAGTAAGGCTAACTTTGTTTCTTATTTAGTTTATAACAATAAGCAACGTGATGTATTGGAGTTTTAAATTTGTTTTCAAGCAATTAGTTTTTTTCCTTTTATTCTTCAAGTTATATTCTATAAACTTTTCAGCTGATTGTTAATGGCATAATTAGTGATTTTTCGTTGCACTTACCAACGCGAAATTCTTTTCGTTTTCATCGAGGGGAGCCCCAGTGGGAGTTTGCAAACACGTCGCCAATAATATTAAACCTAGTAACTGCTTTCTCTCCATTGAAGACGAAAGCTTGTTAAGTCATTTGGCGCTCTGTGATGTTGCTGCAGAGTCCTGAACATATATATATACTTATTTTTCTCTGTTAAAGATATTTACCAAAAGAAGCTTGGAAATCAATACCAACTTTGTTTTTTTTTAATTCTCTTTAAGAAACCTCTTATAGAGAGGATAAATATCAAAATAACCACTTCACCAACTATCGAAGACTGTGCCAAAACTGTCATAACGCAATAAACCTTTTGGCATAGCCCGCCATAAAGACAGTGTCAGTTTTCAAAGCAAAATATGTTTTAAATAAAATAATAAAAATATGCGTAGTTCTCATCTATGAAATTGTAACGTTTCTTCAATGCTCCCATCCTGATGTATTAACATATAGATATATTTTTCGAATTTAACATAAAAAGAAGAAGAAGAAAAAAAAATTCTCTTTTGAAAACAGAACAAGCTCGCAGGGCATTTTCACTTCCTAAGAATAATAAAAAATAGTTAAAAATTAAGATAATTAATTTTTCGAATCATGAAACCAGACACCCCATAAAATAATTCAATTAAACTATTTTAAGACACTTACCTTTAAATAACTTAAATGAAATTCACAGTCCGAGTTCTCAGTAATTTAACCTCCGAATTAAAAAAAGCCAGACTTTTGACAAGCTCCGAAATTACTTTAAAAGTTTTCAGTGTATAGACCGTAGTATTTATTACAAGTTTAAACTTTCCTCTTTAAATCCGGTAAGGCCTCCACCGATGCAGTATTGTAATTAACAGATACTTAAACCGAAGAGAGGGGATATCTTTAATTGTTAACTACTTGATGCCGTTTTTGTTGTTTCTTTTTATTTTTTGATATTGAAAGAAAAATATTACTTACGAAGTATCCATTATTTTATCATATAAGAGGGAAAAAAGTCGCTTCCCTGTTGAACAAAAGGTTTTTGATGCAAAAAAAGGATGAATATACGGGAAGTTTGAAAAGCCTATAAATATTCCTTTGAGTACACGTCGTTTACAGTAAGAGGTTTCGGAAGTACGAAAAATCATGCCATAAGTAAGTTCGAATCTGTTTGAATGTGATCTTGAAGATCACTTGGGGATAAAAATAAATATAATAAAAATAGGGCGACTTTAAATATCTTCCTCAGCATCAATGTTATTGCAATGTTTTTAAAAGAGTTGTTTTGTTACTAATTTCCTTCCTGTCCATTAAACTCAGATGTCGGCCTTTTTAAGAAGTGCGATTAGTTCCTTCCCGGCAGGACTTTTCCGCGGGTGGCGGTTGGCGGGTGACGGGTGGCGGGTGACGGGTAGCGGGTGGCGGGTAGCGGGTGGCGGGTGAGGGGTAGCGGGTGACGGGTGGCGGGTGGCGGGTTTAAAATATATATGAAAATAAAATATTATAATAAAATATTATTATTGATAATGATATAACTGTATGTTGTAATTTTAAAATAATTTCAACGTTTATGTACTAGCTACCAGACTCCAAATAAAAGCATTGTCTTGTTTTGTTTTATCTACTTACGCGGACTAAAAAGAAATCATGCCTGTGAAAACAGTCACCTCTCCTTGCTCCGCACCGCAAGTGACGTTTCGTCAGGCTACACGTGGTGTGTCAAATGAAAACGGGCTATGTCAAGCAAGACGCAGGGCACTTGTCGATCTTGTTTGTCTAGTTTGCTTTTTCTTCCACATCAAGACGAAAGATGATTGCACTTCCCCAACTGTTTAGCCGTGTTTATAACAGACTGCAAGAGATTCTATTATTCTACACGATATCGCATGCACGAGATAGCTTGAGGAACTCATAAAAATTAAAGTAATATTTATCCTGCGACCAGACAAGTAAGATCGCATTCTCTTCTCGACATGTTTGAACAGTGTCTCAGATTTTTGACAAGTGCGTTTGTTCTTTTGTTATAAGTTGGGATAAACATTGCATTGCCCTTGGGATAAATCTTTGTCAATTTGGTTCCCGACTTGTAGTTTAAAATGAAAAAAGTGTCTATTTCGAGAAAACAAGGAAATTTTCCTAAGACTAAAGCAACAAAGCTGTCAATGTTAATGCGTACCAGAGAAGGAGCAAGAACGTTTTGGACACAGCATGGACCGTTTTCGCCGCATGTGGCGTCTCAGACGCGAATTGATCTCCTTGTATATATATACAAAAAGGATCTTTTTTAAATACTACTCAAAAATACCGATTAGGATGGCAATCATGCCGCATACTAGGGCAAAAACTGAGCTACGACACGGGAGGCCGAATCTCTTGCAGTCTGTTATAAACACGGCTAAACAGTTGGTGAAGTGCAATCATCTTTCACAGGCATGATTTCTCGTTTTTTTTTTCCATTTTTAGTCCCCGTATTAAAGTAGATAAAACAAAACAAGACAATACTTTTATTTGGAGTCTGGTAACTAGTACGTAAACGTTGAAATAATTTCAAAATTACAACATACAGTTATATCATTATCAATAATAATATTTTGTTATAATATTTTATTTTCATATATATTTTTAACCCGCCACCCGCCACCCGCCACCCGCTACCCGCCACCCGCTACCCGTCACCCGTCACCCGCCACCCGTCACCCGTCACCCGCCACCCGCGGAAAAGTCCTGCCGGTTACTTCCTGTTCAAACTATCTTCGTAATAGAACTAAGTTTTCAAAACAGAGTAATAAACAAGAAGAAAAGTAATTATTTTGGGAAAAAAACCCTTATTTTCTTCGCTTTCCCTCGGACGTCGTTGGTGGTCTTGTGGACTTGACCGATGGAGCCTGGCTCGAGAAGTAAATATTATTGTCACGTGATCCTTGATCGTTTTAAAAAAATGGCGGCTTCCAGTAGCCCGAAATTCATCCGATTGCTTCGAGTCGTTTTCTCCTCTCAACAACTGAGGGAGTAATAACGACTCGAAGAAATCGCATGAAATTCAGGCTCAGGCTTCCAGTGTAAACATTTACTCTCCGCTTTCAAGGCTTAGAAGAGATAATCAGACGTTATTATCACAGCTAAAACAAGGCCAGAATGACACTTGGGACGTTCTGAAAAGAATGAGGTCGATCGATGATTCATTTGTCACAAGAACCGACGGTGAATCGAGCTTTACTTATCGCGGGGCTGACAGAACGCCTGCCAGCGTGACTCGAAGAACTGATCAAGAGTCAACTAAGGCGGGTCAAACGAGCACTCCGAAAAACTTTCAACAAGCTTTGATGTCCTGTGGAAATGATAGAAGAAACAGGACTTCTGTCGTGCCGGTGTCGATTCTTTCCACTCCAGGAAACCGTAAGAAGGTCAGTGTTCAAACAAATGTACACGCGTACATGTTAGTTCAGCTATAGTTAGTAGTCTGGGTCAGTTTGCATCCTAGTTTCAGTGAAAAAAAAAAATCAATTTGCTTTGACAAGCTTTTCTCTTTTTGTTCCATGCATCTTGGGTTGACTGTCTGAGTTTTCCATTGTGAGTTGTGATACTGCTTAAACTGTGGGCACTGGGATTTCGGTTCTTCCGCGTAAGCTCCCTGAAGGGCCCTTATGTTTATCGGTCAATTTCAAGATGGCTGCCGTTCGGTGAAATGAATGCATCACCGGTTTAAACATATTCATCCAATTGTAAATCACTCTTACAATCAGTTAATTAGAAGAAAACACACAGGACAATGTTTCATCAATGCAATTGAGTGATTTTGTCCCTGAAGTACCTAGTTCTAGATGTCAACATAAGCATCCAATCGGATAAATCTTTGGTTTTAAGCCAGGCGGCAACTATTTTCCAGTGAATTAAGCTAGGCAGCCCGCCTAGCCTAAAGTTAATACCTGGGGAGAACACTGGACTATCTTTTTCAGTTACACCTGTAGTATGCATACATATAGATTACTCCAAGCCTGTGGAGGTGCATTTCAGGTTCATAGATTCTGTACAGTGCATGTACCGTACATGTAGTTACATTCACATTATTTTAAATCTAGAAGGGCTGCAATTTTTTTGTTTATACGCGATAAGTGACACTGTACATGTGGTATATAAATCTTCCACATACGACATGTACACTGTAAAGCTATGAAAAAAAATTTGTATAATTATTTTTTGATGTAAAAAATATACATTATATACATTGCAACATATCACTTATTTCAATACTTGAGCATGTCGTGACTTTTATTTGTTTTTTGTTCTCCATAGGTTGCCATATTCTCCATTAAAGCTCACTCCTTCAAGAAGTTCCTATAGCCATGCTGAAGATGGGGTAACTTGTAAGCATTCAATATTATTGTTATAATGTTTCAATGTTGTGCTCTACATACTGTAGCTGCATGAGCGCCCACTGGTCCCTGGTCCTACCTATTTTTTGCTCCAACACATAGAAGAAAATCATAGTTTTTTTTTATATATAAATAAAAATACTGAGCACCCTGGATTTCACAGAGAACTACATTGTACATTTCTGTAGGCTTTCTTTCATCTTTTTGTTAGAGCACAGCCTTGTGTTTTGTTCTGTTTTGATTTGTCTTGTTATTTATTCTCGCAGCATGTTTCTGGTCCATGGATTGGGACAGCAAAGAGACGATCATTTAAAGTGTATGCATTGTCACCTGTAAACAAACAGCAAAAAATCAAGGAATTATAATGACATTTCTATTTTTGCCTTTCCTTTGGCGAATGTGATCAGTTTTAGCCATATAGTTGCATGTAATGTTTTACACCTTTGGACATCAACCTAAAAGGTTAGTTTGTGTCTGTGAAAAAATGTAGTTTACTGTTAATGAAATCAAAGTAAACCCTCTCAACTTAAAAATTACCTTGTACTAGTGGATATTGAAAACACCATATTTATTGATTATCACTCCAATGACATTCCAGTGAATGTTTTGAAGGTTCAGTAAACCCCTCCCTCCAGCCTTTTGATATTAAAAACAGCTTATACTGACAGACCCAGTATATGTGAAGCAAGTGATTGGAACGTTTACCCTGGTTTTTACTAAATTGGCCCTGTATTCTGTATTTACGCCCATAAATATTTGTTGTGCCTCCCGGTGTACACAAACAAACTTACGAACAGCGAAGTAGAAAATCAGTGGTTTAATGAACATTCACATAGGACTGTTGCAAGACTCATACCAATATATTGTGCTCGTAGCATATGTTTAAGATAAGGAAGAGAGTCTTAATACGACTGTAAGTGGAAAAATATAAGAAATGGAGCAAGATGGACGCTCGAAAATTCACGAAGCTTAAGAATAACTGAAATGGCCGAGATCCCGAATCACGATAAGTGAAGTCACCCAAGAACTTTTCATACATCACGCCTCCTGATGTCCAAAAGGTCCATTAAAAAAGTTCATAGAAACCTTTTCTTGACTTTAGAAGAAAAAATTGAATTCGAAACCTCAGTGATTGTTTTGTGTTCTTACAGTTGTTATAGTGAAACCAAGCGAGATATAACAGGAGAAGTAACTAAAAGAAATTCAAGGAAAAACAAAGATAATTAAAATGTACCTTTAATGCTGACACTGATATGATGTCCGGACGATTTCTTAGAACTGATAACATATTGATAGCCTGTACTTTCATTTCCGTTTACGCTTGAAAATGTACACATTCGAATGAAAGAACTGTTTTCGGCTTCATGCATCTTCTTGTGTTCATAGCAAAAAACGGAAGAAAAATTACGAAGGAGGAAACGAGAATTTAATAAGGTATGAAATAACCTTCCTTTAGTTTAAATGGGAGCCTTGAATATTCGGAAACCACCTTAAAAATCGGGAAAATGAGAGGATTTTTTAAAAATCCCTTTGCAAACGATACTATTTATAGCGGGGACGCTTCTTTCGTGGGTCTTCTTTTGTTCATAGAAAAACGGAGAAGAAAAATTACAAAGGTAGAAACGAGAATTCAATAAAGTATGAAATAATCTACCTTTGGTTTAAATGGGAGCCTTGAATATTCGGAATGCACCTTAAAAATCGGGAAAATGTGAGGATGTTTTGAAAATCCTTTTGCAAACGATACTATTATTGCAGGGACGCTTCGTTCGGGCGTCTTCTTTTGTTCATAGAAAAAAGTAGAAGACAAATTACAAGAGTAGAAACGAGAACTGAACAAAGCATGAAATAATCTACCTTTAGTTTAAATGAGAACCTTAAATATTCAGAATCCACCTTAATAATCGCCAAAATGTGAAGATGTTTTAAAAATCCCTTTGAAAACGATACTAGTTTAGATCCCAGACCTCTCCTGTCTCTGCACATGCGCAGACGTTGATCAGCTCTGTCACTGGGGCGATCATGTAAACTCGGTTTCAGACCTCGCTGCCAGCCCACCCCCCCTCCCTGCTTCCCCACCATCTCAGTTTTTGTTTCTGCTGCGTGAGCAAGTCTCAGAAATAACAATAATGGAAAGTTTAAAACAATTGGAAAGTTTAACATTTATTTTTTTTGAAGTTAAAATGGCCCCAAGAGAAATTGAGAACAAAGGAAATTTACAAATGCTTTTTGGGTGGAGATTATAGGTAATTTACAAATGCTGCTTGAAATTGGATTATTAAAAAGAAAAACAAAGAACAAAAACAAAACAAAAGCCAAAAAAAAAAAAAAATCAAAATTGCATTAAGTCTGGGCTATCCCAGTTCCTATTTCTACAACAAAAGATGTAATATGTTGCTCTAATGGCTATATTTATCATTTTCTTGATTATATAACGTTGCTTCTTTTTGTCATTGCCAATGTCATTCATCATGTCTAAGAACGTGGAGCAATAATAATAATAATCTACATACATGTAACTTACATTATTTATTATATTCACGGCTTTACTCAAGTATTATCAGAAGCTTGCAGGCTACGCCTGAACATTAATTATTGGCTGATAAAGAACAACATAAGAATAACACCATCAAATTTACGCGAGAATGAAAGAGCGTGACTGAGATGAGCGTGACTGAGATCATTCATGCAACACAGCCAGGATGAGCATGGAACCCTGTAAAAACTAAAATTGCCGTACAGGCGGAAGTATATAAATGTTTACTATACCCTTCACTTGTTTCTCATATGGCGTATACTTAAGCGTCTTAATAACATGTTATAATACTCACATGAGAGAAGACTCTTGAATTAACACATAAGACAGCGTGCTTCGAATAGAACCTGAACCAGAACCTTTCAAAGTACATAGCAGTCGCTGAGGAGTCATACCCATTTTTGATTCGTGATAAAAGCAACATCTACGTGTTCAGACAATCCGCAGAGTTGAACTTTTGTAAGATCGTAACAAACAGTAAAATCAAGCGCACCCGCAATCACAGTAACCGCCGGTTCAATAATTTGAAATGAGCAAAGGACAAAGGACGGTTTGTTTATCACGTGCATTTGTCACATCACCGCGGCGCGAAGTCGTGATTTCAGTCGCGCGTGACATCTCAGAAATAATATGCCATGCATGTACGGAATAATCTATGAGAGAAAGATAACCATATGTCGGAGTTATTCAGATCTGAGCTTTGTTTCTTGATGCAATATATACGAGGTGAGATCTTAGCTTGGATAATTTATTTATTATGTAATTTCAAGGGCTTATTTTAGATAAACCTCTGTTGACCGCGTGCATCCGGTTCTCGGCCCGCGGCCTCGGCTGTTTGTGAAAAATTTCCATTAAAATGAGATTTTAAGAAGTTTCTTTTAAAAAACTTATGGAATGCCGTAACTGCATTAATTGAATCACGGCTAAAATCTACGAGGAGATTTTCGCAGAGAGCTTGCAGGTAATGAACATTGAGGAACGGATTGATCTCTTATCGGCACACTGTCACAGTTACGTGTTGTCAGTCAAAGCTAAAATCTATTCCTAACTTTCTTCTCTTTTTTTATTTAATTTAGATTTAATTTTTCGCTCAGCTTCGAACTTTGTTGAGAAGAGAATCCGGTCTACGATATGTGACAGCTTGTTTTGAGTCATTTATGAGTTCGTGACACTATGAAGGCTTAAAAATTAACTTTGTGCAATTGTTACTTTTATAGTCTGAGTACCCCAAAGTACATTACAATATCGCACCTCAGTAATAATAAGTAATAAGTACTTTAAAGTATTTAAAGTAAGGTCAGCATTTGATGTCTTTAAGCAGACTTAAAATAGTTTATGTATATCTGTTTTTATAGTCAGAGTGTGTGTGCCCAAACTACAATTCAAATATACCTCAAAACAGTGTTTAAGTACCCTATTTAAAAGTATTTAAAATGCGGTCAGTTCTTAAGGTTTTAAAACATATTTGAAATAGTCTATTTGAACTCTGTTTGTAACTTTTTGAGTGGATGAGTCTCAAAATACATTTTAGATACAACTCAAAACAGTGTTAAAGTACCCTATTTAAAAGGATTTAAAATACGGTCAGCATTTAGGCTCTTAAAACATATTTCAAATAGTCTATTTGAACTATATTTGTAACTTTGTGAGTGGATGCGTCTCAAACTACATTTTAGATACAACTCAAAACAGTGTTAAAGTACCCTATTTAAAAGTTTTCAAATACAGTCAGCATAAAAGCCGTTAAAACAGATTTCAAATAGTCTATTTGAACTCTGTTTGTAACAGTGTTAGTGGTTCTATGCCCAAAATACATTTTAAATTCCCTATTTTAATCATATTTATTAAACAAAATACATTGTAAATTGATGAGAGAGGTTTTCGTTTTCATGAAATACAATTTAACTACACTCAAGATATATTTCAAACAGGGGCGAAAATTTAAATTTCTTTGTCAAACAGGATTAAAATACAGTAAAATAGTGTTCAAATACTGAAAATACATTTTAAATACTTTAAAATCAGTTTCAAAATACATATGGTTTGGTAAGGGTAATATTAATAATAATGATAATAATAAAAATAATAATAGCAATAATAATAATAGTAATGATGATGATGATAACAATATTATTGTTATTATTATTATTATTATTATTATTGATACTGAAAGCATTGTCATTGACGTTCTCAAAATGATAGCGTTTATTTGTATTGACACTACTTAGACGAGGAAATTCCAAATTCATCCGAGAGAAATTTTAAAATCGTCGTGACGTGTAAATTGATATTTAGTCAATAACTGTTTATTGGGTCTTTGGGTCTTTTTTCATTTATTACATAATCAAATGATGATGGAAAATAAAAAAAAAAGATGAAGCAAGAACAGAGATAACCGCCCACAAAAAAATAAAGCTTCATTTTCATGTTCTTTATTCCATCCACTTAAAACACATTCACGCATGAGTATTTGAACTACTACTTAGTTTTATTTTAAATTATTTTTCTTTTATCTCCACTTTTGGGAGGCTTTGGACTATTTATTGACTTGTTTATGTTTAATTTATCTCAATTTTCTTACAAACAATTACGTTTACACAAATCGTTTAGCTGGTTTAGATCATTAATTAGGTCGTTCAGTGTTGGGCGAGTTTCGTTTTTGTCGAAAAGGTGAAGGTTCCGTTTGTTGTCCGTCCTAGACTCTTGTCGACTTATCCTTCAAAAGATTATAAATAAAGAATCAATACAGCGATACCAGCTACAGTGGAACCACGATATAACGACGAGCCAAGGGACTGGCAAAAGTTGTTCACTACAACGAGGTTTACACTGGTAAAACTGGACTTTTTACAGAGATAGTAAAATGTTCATAAATTGAAAATTTATAGACTATTTTTTATGAGAGTACAAATCTTGCCCTCTTTTAATTTCGTTATATCTAGGTTCTTTTCCATATATTTTACTATTACTGGGGTAAAGAAAAGTGTTGCTTATTCCAAGTGCTTGTAGCATACTGTAGGAGGGAAGTGCATAGCCGCCTGCTTACAGACGGACCTTTCATAGATTGTGCTAGTAAAAGTAGTATATTATGCCTGTAGCACTGCTCTTTTTTTGGCCAAATTATGTTAAAATTATGCTCGTTTTCCCAAATTATGCAACTTTTGAAAATGAAGCAATGATCGTCGCAGTGAACGCAATTTATGCAATTGCGTAAAGAAGCCTGAAAAAACAATTCAGTCCTGAATTTTTTTCAGGCTTCTTTATGCAATTGCATAAATTGCGTTCACTGCGACGATCATTTCTTCATTTTCATTTCATTTCCGCATTTCATATTTGATTTATTTCATATGTTATTAACATATGCAACTTTTGTTGTGTGCTCTTAAAAACCATGGCAAATAACTCCAAAATAATCAGAAGCCGTATATTCTTGTTAGCTATAAGATATAACGGTCTCTGGCAATTGTGGCTTGTTCTGGCCCGTCATTTCTCTGAGATAGCTGTAAGTTTTCGCTCGAATCGGCTGGCATAGCTGATGCCATTTTGTAGCCTTGCCTATGAGAGGTACTGGGACCGACATGGTTTCCCATGGGACTTCCGGTTCGCGTACACCGTAGTCCCAGGCCCCCATTTCCGGCCTCAGTAAACTGCAAATACCGCTAAAACATAGAAAAACGTCAGAGTATAATTAGGGGTGATGAATGGTCCATAAAAAATTTTTAACTGCTCGCAAAATTTAAACGAGTGCTCGCTTGCTCGTGCTCCCCAAATTTTTGCAGTTGCTCGCATGCTCGCTTTCTTGTCAGTATTGCTCGAAATTTTGTAAATCCCTCTCATGGGTTAAAGTAAATGTAATTCTGTATGGTGCTTAATTCCTATAAATATGGCTATCAAGTTCAGTGGAAATGCACGCGATAAATGACAACGATAAATAACAAATTAGCTGATCTAGCTATTTATGGTTACAAGAAGAGAAGATATTGTTACCTTGAGTTTTTCTGAGTTTCTCTACCGCTCTACTCACTGGGCTTTAATTAGGCCGTGTTTTCGATAAAAACGGTTTGGAAGCTTTAGGATTCTTCCAGAAGAGGCTGTTCTAACACGAGGATCTTGTTCCTATATAAGAAGTGCTCGCTGCTCGCGAGTTGTACTCTCCAAACTGCTCGCTGCTCGCAAAGCAAATTTTTTATCTCTGCTCGTGCTCGCAAAAAAATCGCAGTGCTCGAATGCTCGCGAATCCTCGCAAAGACCATTCGTCACCCCTATAATTGGGATTTGGGAATCAACGTGCCTGTGCAAACCCATAAATGGTGCGATCATTATCAAAATATGCGAATTATGTTAGCAGTGCTACGTTTTAAAAAATGGGGAAAATTATGCTAGTTTTCTCAAATTATGCTAAAAATTATTTTAGCACAATCTATAAAAGTCTATTCCTACATACTCCTGAGGCTAGATTATTACGTCTGCAATGCAGACTATGAAATGCTATATCCCATGTCCCCATCCTGTCTAAAATTTTCCCTGCCGTCGTTCATAATGCCCTTTAAAAAATGCATCTCTTCCCCCATCTTTCTCCTATTTGAAAGGTATATTTGTTTCTCGACAGCTGACGTTATCATCGAAAATTGACAAACTTAAAATCACTTTTGTTCAATCAAGAAATGGAAAATTTAAACCTATATGATTTAAGAAATGGAAAATAAAATCAGCACAGTTTATTTTCTTTAGTACTTTCAATTTCATAATGATTTTTCTGAAGCAAGTTGTTACCTGACACAGAACTGATCTATTTACCTGCAGAACAGACGTTGCACGTTTTCTGGCATACTGTTCGAGTAATATTGTAAATACAGTAGCCGATTTGCTGATAATATGAGCAAGCGGACTCAATCATGTCATCTTTACAGGACGCTTAAAAATAATGATAATAATGATATTACTGTTGTATTGGTCCATCCCAAGAAAAAAAAAATGCCCTGCCGCCAGGGAGTAATAACAGAAAAAATAGAAACTGGGATCAACTGTCTGCTGATTAAAAGGAACGAAATTGTATATACACATCTTCATTCCGGCCAAAGAGAAAAATTGCAAATTTCAAATAGGTTTGAGATATTGAAATCTTTAAACCGACGTTAAATCTTCCCCTTACGTATTTAAAGGCCCAAATAGGACAATTGCACGATGACGTCATTTTACTACAACTACCAGAATCCTTGAGTTCGTTGATTTCTTGTGCAAATTAAGGCTATTGTTCTTTAATCCTCAGCGGGATTGACAAATTTAAATAACAAAGCAAACCCGAAATGAATTCTGGTAGTTGTAGTTAAATATCGTCATCGTGCAATTGTTCTATCTACTATGAATAAAAAGGAGATTTGAACTACTTCTGAGATATATGGCTGGAAATTTACAGGTTACCTAATTTCAATATGCTCCTTTAGTTCCTGCTAACAGAATTTTTCAAAAGCTAACTGTTTCGTGTTTACAGAAAGTTAGTCACGTTACCACCTGTTGCAAAAGGCTTTGTGTTGCCCTCTCTTCGACTTTCTGAATGAAGTATCCATGTCCAAGTTAAACTGAATATATTATTTTACACTAAAACGTCACCTCGGGGAGGAATGCGGGTTCATAGTTCGTTTGTTTCGTATTTTAAGTAGAATTGCCTTGGTTAGGAGGAAAACGATGGAAATCGAAACAAAACTAAAATACGAAATAAATAAGTACATAACGCACTAGAAGTTGCATCTCAAACAGATTTTACAGAGAGCTTCTCTGTTATATGCACACGCACATGTTAGCAGTAAGAAAAATTTTAACTAATATTAAACAATACTTACAGACGACACCTTGGCCTCCTAAAAAAATATATATATATATTTAGTAAATAACAAGTTAATTTAGCGAAGAGTTAAAAAAAGAAAGAAAAACCCTTGAATATCGGTCTTAAGGCTGGTTTTCACTAGCGACGGAGTTAGAGTCGGAATCGTAAGCAGAGTGTTAGCGAAGTCAAAAAACGGAGTCGTAAGCGGAGTCGGGAGCGACGGGATCGGGGTCGAAGAATCAGAAAGTTTCCATTTTCTTCCGATTCCGCTCATGACTCCATCGCTTACGATCTAGTGAAAACCAGATTGTCGGAGTCAGAAGCAGAAGGATAAACCAATCACAATGCACGTTCCCACACTTTGTGATGGTTTAGTCCTTCCGCTTCTGCTTGCGATTCCGACAACCTACTTTTTACTTGATCTTAAGCGACGGAGTCGTAAGCGGAATCACTAGATCGTAAAGTCTTACGCTTCTGGTTAAGACTCCGACTCCTACTCCGTCGCAAGTGAAAACCAGCCTTTAGTTGGCGCCATGACGATCTGATGGAGAAATAGATAGTTGACTTGTGCCACAATTTTACCACCTGTTCTTGCCAGTGTTAGTACTAAACAGTCCAGTTTAAACATTCATGGCTGCTGTGCTTATTTAAGAGCACTTATTAGGTTTATTGCTTTTCAATATAATAATAACTATAATATCATAGATGACGAATTACTCCTTAATTTTAGCGCAAAATTTCAGCGTAAATTTGTAATTTCACATGTGAAATTACAAAATTGCCATGACAACCCTTCCGTACGTCTCAGTGGCAAGATGGCGACGAAGTTTATAAAATGCCATGAATGAAGATGTCAGAGCACAAAAAGACGCTTTAGAAAACCTGAACACGCACGAGAACATCAACAAGGATTCTAACAGGTATTTTGCCGAAAAAGTCTGAAAAAATCTGAACTTTATAAGCCAAATTTCAGCTCTAAACGTTTGAGAGAGTGGAGTTCACAATCGATCGATACGATCCAGGATAAACAAGTCAAAAATCCTCGATTGCTAAGGTAATTCGTGACCCATGATATTAATAGGTAATCAAATGGTATGCTCGTGAAATTAGGGAATAATTTCACTTGCGTTTTGTCCAAATCCTAATAATATAAGGATATGGACAAAACGCGCGTGAAATAAATTATTCCCTAATTTCTCTCGTTACCATTTGATTACACATACCAACACAACAACACCAAATGCTTTATTTGCATGACCATAAAGGAATTACAATATTGCAAAAGCTGTTAGTCTAAATTTAAGTACTAATTCAACTAATTAGTACGTGCAAAACACTACAAAACGTTACAGTTCTCATTCATTCATTCATTGATATTAACCTTACTAATTAGTATATACAAAGTCAGTGATCTTGGTAATTCAAGTAATCTGATTGGTTAGCTATCTCAGACTATGACGTTATATTCACCGCGCTAGGTGGTGAATATAAAGCAGAACAAAATCGCTGTCGTGAACCAGTCGTGAAATGGGTGTTTTGCAAAGTTTCATAGTAAAGCCTTTTGAAAATACACGAATATCCAAGTGCTGATGACTTTAAAGGCAAGAAAAGACATCATGGTGTTTAAACAGCGTGATTTGTTGTGAAGTGGTTTACTGTAGCTGACTTTTTGTACCCTCGAAGCTATGTTTACCACTACAGAGGAAAACGAGGTCGCTTTTGTCACTGTTTTGTGATTTCGGGATTTTTTCGCAAGACCAATATATTAATTTTGCCTATAAATAGAAGTTAATTTATGGAGAAAAGAGGAAGGCAAATATTTTCGAAAATTGTACGTGCCAGCAAGTTAACAAGGCAAAGAACATTGGAGATAAACAACGTTCACCTTGATCGTAGCTGCTGTTGACAGCATTTACAAGAAGCGACGAAGAAAACTCTCTCATTCACGATGAGTTGACAGAAACAAAATAAAGCTCTACTTTTCTTCTCAGAATTAGGTAGTAAATTAAATGTTCGGCGTTTTCTTTTAAACCGTTGACGCTAAAGCTTACAAAACTCGATACAAAAAGATTAAAACTATCATTTGCCATGTTTAAAGATACTGTAAAGATCTAATTTTTGCGCATCCACTGTTTACGGCTTCGTGTTCACGCATGAATTCACCTGTCAATCAAACTAATCGTTTTTTAATGGTTTCCTTTCTGATTCTGTTGAGATCACTTCGTGTGAATATACTAACACAATTATTCACCTCAGGCTCAGTTAATATTGTTGAATAACCCCCTCGACTTCGTCTCGGGGATTATTCAACAATATTAACTTCGCCTTCGGCGAATAACTGTTAATTATAATAAGAATGATAATGATAGTGGTGGTAATAGTGATAGTGATACTGATAATGACAAAGAAAATGATGATGATACCAATAATGATAATAACAATGATAATGACAATGGTAATAATAATGATACTGATAATGATACCGATAACGATAATGATAGTGATAATGACAATAATAATGATAATGACAATGATAATAGTAGTGGTAGTGATAGTGATAGTGATAATGATCATGATGGTGAAAACGATAATGATAATGATAGAACAAAACTCAATGCAAGGCGGGCACTACGCCAAAGGGCTAATTTATTTTTGGCCAATATATCAGCTGCCAAAATTAGCCTTCCTCAGTGCCAGACCCATACCGAGTGAAAATATCTTTTATGATGATGGTGATAATGATTGTAATGGTGATAATGATAATGATGACGATAGCGATAACGAAAATGGTAATGATAGTGATATTAAACCATTTTCACTGTCAGAGCAACCACTTATTACTTCCTTCGGGAAACTAAGTTATTGGAACGAGATTTTGCAAAGGCAGAGGGTCGTAAGACAGAGAACGGAGAGGGGGATACGCGTCGCCGAAGGGGAGGTGGGAGAGTCAAAAAAATATAACCCTACTAAGAACGGCGTTATTACTTGACAAAAGATACTGAAATCACGGTATAGATGGCTTAAATGGGCAAAAGGACTTCCCCCGAGACTTCCCCACATGATTGTCTGTAATGGTCTGGGAGGCTAGGAGAATACCAGCATTGTGCGCAGGCAGAATTCGTGGTTATTCTAATAGAGAAAATAATAAACTATTTTCACTGTCAAAACAACCACTGACTGCCTTCGCGAAATTAAGTTATGGGAAGCGAGATTTTGCCAGAAAATTTGCAATGTTAAACCGACACTTTAATGATACTCTCTCCAGAACTCAGAAAAAAGGGAATCCATTCCTCTTCACAACACTAGAACAACAAGCTAAAAGGTAAGAAGGAAAGAGGTCCGGTCCAGCTAGGGAGATTACCCTCCCAATCACACCAACAACTTCGCAACCCGAGCCTATTCAATTCGCGAGCGAAGGAACTGACGGTGCGCCCTTATAGATGAAAGGGGAAAAAAGGCGGGAAATAACTACCGTATTTATTCGAATAAGCGCCGCGGCGCTTATTATCTTTTCCACTCCATGTGAGGCGCTTAATCGAGGGCTGTGCTTATTCGAGTAAATTCGGTAACCTAAGGGTAGGCCTACCTCACATACGTAAACAACAACGACAAAACAAAACAACGAAAAGGAAAACATATTAAAAAAGGAAGGGTAACACCCGCTAGCCCGACCAGACCAGGGACCCATCCTAAGACGGGTTATAGGGAGTTCCCTTCTGGTCACGGCAGGGGCGGGAAGGGAAAAAAGCCCAACAAAAAATATAGCAACAAAAGATGTGACATACAACCAAACTCTTTCCAAGGTCGAACATATACACGACCAGACTCTTTCTAAGACCGAACAGAGGACAAAACGTCTTTGCCAGTTCGAATACTCTAATAAAAATCTTCCACAGGTCGTGCACATTACCAAAATCTGTCTATGGTCGGAAACAAGACCAAATCTTTTTCAAATCGAAAGCACGGCCAGAATCAGTCTTTCTGTGGCCGTCAACATACGACCCAAACATTTTCGTGTCGAACACACGACAAAAATCTTTCTCAGGTCGCACACACGACCAAAATCATTTTCAAGTCGCGCACGCCACCACCGGAAAACAGAGGTAATAACTGAATAACATACAAACGCGGAATATAACCTGAGAAGAAACAGAAACCAAACCCGGATGAATGAGCCTAAATCTGCTTGGGGTTGTTGCATAAGGCCTCGCTTGTTCAAGTATATGAGCTGTCAAAGAGGTTGGCCAAAGCTCCGAGGTTAGGTTCTAGAGGCGAACGGCCAAGTATAATTTCTGTGGGTTCGGCGACGCGACAAGAAACTCACACGAAAGTCATAACCCGGCCGAAAAACGGCGTTACTTGGCAAAAGACACTAAAATCACGGGATAAATGGCTTAAATAGGCAAAAGGACTCCCCCCCTAGACTTCCACACGATTGTCTGCAATGGCCTGGGAGGCTACTAGTATACCAGCATTGCGCGCAGGCAGAATCCTTGGTTATTCTAAAAGTGAAAATAGTGCTAATGATAATGACAATGATAATGATAACGAATTAAAATAGAAGTTATCTAGTGAACTTTGGCAACGTGATTAGGATATCAATTTTCATAAAAAATACCACATATTCCGCAGGTTACAGGGCAATTGTTTCTCATTGCACTTCCAACGTCTGCATCTTCACAATAATCGGCGTAATCGTTGCATGAAGCATGGGTGTTGATACATGAAGACTGTTCTGAAAAAAAAATGGCTTCAATATTTGAGATAGTGTAATGAAAAGACTGAGTATCTTTCAATTCAAGTCTTCAAAAAAAGCAGCTTTTAAGAAGTTCAGTTTTAGTTCAGTTTATTGTTTTGCCATAATGATGTACAAAAATAAAAAAAATTCAAAATATTTAAAAAGCTAATAGCGACATAGTTAATTGAGTGGAATGGTTATAAAACCCGTCAGACTCCTTTGTTATATTTTTTTGTGGGCCTGAAAGTGCACAACGTTGAAAAGCATTCCTTTCATTTTGATTGTATTGACCAATAAAAAACGTTGCATTAATTTATTCCGTAACATTTTGCCAACAGAAAACAAAGGATTGTGCACTTTCAGGGTGCTTCCAACATAAACTGCAGCACTGTTGTTTTTATCATTGATGTTTGTCGCTTTTCATAACCATTCTCCACGAGGCGAGGAAGCCCAAGGAAAGCCACTGGGCTTATGAGGAATGGGCTTCCTCAGTTAAATTATTACAGCAAACTATCAGTTACAGAGGTACAGTAAATCTTATTATATATTAGATAATCGTCGTATTAATCATAATTAGGCTAGCAAAAGCGAAAGGAATTTTGAAAAAAAACTGAGAAAAAAATGAAAAGCAGAGGTTAAGAAGAGGAATGCTTTCAGTTTATAGCAAAAAGAAGCCGTACTTGTTGCATTTCGAATTTCAAGACTAAGAGAGTTAAAGAATTTAGGACCTTAGAAACTGATAGAGAACTTTCTTTCCTCCCTTCCTTCAAGCATCATGCTAGCTATCTTGAGGATAGACGATTGACTGGTGTATTAGAGCCGTGTCAGAAAACACTAATTTCACTCCATAGAAACCACAAATAAATTTAAAATTCTTTTGTACTTGGATTTATTCTATGGTACTGTTCCTGCAAGGTTAAAGAATACAACTGATATCCTTTTATAGTTGTTAGTTGTAGTGTCATGGAATCGACATGGAAGGTTGCCCGGGCCACGTCCACACGAATCCGAATACTGGTGCTAAAACCACACACTTGATATTTACATCAAGAGGAATTCGGTGTGGTGTATCTGGTTTAGATTCACCCACTCACACGAATACGCTAAGGCGATTTACTTTGCTAATTACTGGCTAGTAGGCATGCGCAAACCGAGCCCGCGATGTGATTTCGCCGCATTTTTGAGTATTGTTGTAGCTATATCGGCTATCGAGCACAATTGACTATTTTCCAATTGCCCATAATACACTCTGTTTGCTCCCCAAATTTTGCTTAACTTATTGTCTTAAAATGCTCTTGGGAAAATGCAATACTCCCAGGAGCATTTAAAAACAATGGTTTATGCAGAATTTGGGGGGCAAACAGAGTGCATTATGGGCAATTGGAAAATAGAGAATGGCCAGGCCTGCCTGTACCGTCGGCGCCAGGCACTTGTTTACCCTGGGCGAACCCAAAATCTTTTTTCAACGAGATTCAGAACGAAGGAGTAGTACACGACTTCGTCTCGAACTGAACGATTTCACAATCTGTATGAATTAAGTCTTGAAGTTTGAAATGGCTAACTGATGTCGTCAAAATAGCAAAATTGATTTTATCGCATGCAATAAGACTGGCAATATGAGCGAGAGCTGTAAACAGAAACATGGTTGGCTACTATGTTGAACTTGAAAGTTTTCATTTAAGACTAGACCAGAGTTCATGACATAGTTGGCGTCAAAAAGTTCCGGTTTCAGTCTTCCGCACACGAATTCACCAAACCCGTCGAATCCAAAAGAATCCGCTGTGCAAGACAGTTTCAAAAAATAAAGTCGAACCTCTCGTAAGCGACCACCCAAAATGCAAAGTCTTAGTGGTCGCCACATGGTGGCACATCTGCTTTACGAAAAATAATTATTGCATACAATTTTTAAGTTACGCCATGTATAGGTCCACGCCGTTACTAATTAGTTCACACAGCACAGTCCACACAGCGAACTTAGAGATCAGAGAATGCGTCAAGTGGTCGCTTACAAGAGATTAAAAACATTTAAAAAATCATTAAAATTTTAGGCCAAAAAAGTGGTCGCGGTTGCTTACAGGAGTTGGTCGTTTAGTAGAGGTTCCAAGTGTAAGGCTTTGACTGGGAAAGTTTTGGTGATTTGGCTAAGAGATCGCTTACGAGAGGTGGTCGCTCATGGAAGTTCACTGGTTTCGTGTGGACAGAGGGCTGACTCCTATATAAAAAAGTAGCGGTTTCAAAAGTATCCGGATAGGTGTGGACGTGGCCTTTCCATAAGTCAGAATAGTCCAGTTTCGAATTAAAAATTACCGCTGAATATAAACATTGACGACAAATTCATACAGGGTTAGCCTCGACGTTTATTGAAATATTTAGAATTCTGGCAAGTAGGCATTTGAAATTTGAATATACACAATAGACAGAGTAATAAACAGGTCTTTTCCTCGTTGGAATTTGTGAATATATTACTTCAGATTGAGGCTAAGGCTGTAAAAAGTGTATCTTCACTTCTTTAATTCAGCGGTCATAGCGAACTCGAAAATGGACTATTGGCCAGTCAGACCAGTCAATTTGAAAATTAATTTTTGCCTTTTTCCGAAATTTTTACGAAAACGCAATCGATAAAGTCGTGCATACCTTCAGTATGTATTAATAATATAAAGAATTTAGCCAGGGATAAAAAGCGAAGCTCTCGTTAACATACCTATAGTTTTGTAAATAAATAAACAAATAAATGAAATCGTGTAATGCGAAGCGGTGACGGCAAAGAAAACGGCAAAAAATATGTAATAAATAGGGTCTAATTCGCAAAAAAGCAACAACAACAACAACAACAATAACCACTGAATAACAACAGCAAAAACTTTGAACGTGCAACTAGCACACCTTTGTGCATTTTGTTGCCCTTGTTTTGCACGACTACAAAGTGAAACTTCCTATACTTAAAAGTTTTGTAGACGAAATAATGTCGTATGTGTTCGTGTTCGCCTTTTTATTACTGTCGCTCATTTTTACCTTGGTCAGAGCGTCAGGAGCAATGGGTTCCTGTAAGCGCTGTTTGTTGAACAATTCTTAGTCCGAGGACTACATTACTCACCACTTGTTGTATTTGTTGCTGCATTTCCTGAAGTTACTGAGACAAAGAAAAAAGAAAGAATCAATGGGTCGGTTATTCAAACGAAGTCTCACTTGAGTCGCGCGGTTTAAGAATTAATTGGACCTACAAATCCCTTTCTTGATATGGTGGGTCAATGTAAGAAAATAAGTTCTTTTCCAGTCTACGCTATAAATGCTTTTTGGAAATTGTTAACGATAAATGGTGTTTAGATAAAAGCGTTGGGCAAACTGGCAATGGCTTAGGGCACTGGTTTTTGTTACACACGGGCTAGACTCCGTTTAAATAACTGACCCAGTATGTCTATGAGCAGTTAAACTCTGAAACGAGTTTCTTTTCGGAACAACAAGCTCACTCGCTGTGATCTGTTATCTCATGTTTAATAAGTTAACTGTTCACTCAACTTCATATCAAACCAGTAACTTACACCATGGCCTGTAACAAGGAACGATTTTCCACTAGATCCGGGCGAAGGTTTGAATCGCATTTGTTCATATACCACATTAGATTAAGCCTATTTGTTTGTTTGCTTGTTGTTGTTGTTTTTTTAAATTCCTTTACATAAAGTACTCTTTGTATTATAGAGGGGGCGCATCGGTTCAATGCCACTCACGCCCTCACCCCCATTGTAGACGGGCCTGCTGCCAGCCTAGTGTACGATACTGTGGAAGGCTTGTGGAAGATGTGTTCCGCAGTCGTGACAACGTGACACATTTTCATTGTGAAAGTTTCAAACAAAATTATGACACTATGATGATGCTGACGTAACATCAACCTGTCGTTACTTACCATAAATGAAGTTGATGCCATGTGTCTCGTCGTCCGTGAGATTCATATTTGGTTTATAGGGCTTGTATGTTGCATGCATAATGGCGTCAGATTTAGCGGAATGCTTTAACCCTAGAAGATGGCCAATCTCATGAAGAGCAACAGAGAAAAGATTTTTCCCAGTTGAAACTCCATCAGTAAAGGTCTCGTCGTCATCAAAGTGCACGTGTCCAGATTCAGGAAAAAATGCATGAGCCAATACTCCATTCTCGCCATCGAAATCATGTGGACATGGACTGTGTTGAAGGGTAAAAAACCTACAGTATGAAAATTTAATCAAGATCATAATAAAAGAGACCTTTTTTTAATGACGGGCCGATTGCGAGGACGAGATTTTTTTTTTTTACAGAGTCGTGCGCGTGAACCAGCGTCAATTTTGGCGGGAAAACGTTATAGCCGTCGTCATTCTACCACGCAGCGAGAATGTCGTTGTGGCTTTGACAAGTTGTGTTATATAAGTTTTACCATTTATCATCATTCTTCTTCAATAAAAATATTAACTGTGTTTACTTCTCTGGTGAAAAAATGCACAAAGAAGCTTTCCGGGGTGTCGAATTTTTTGAGAATATGGCCACCCCCCCCCCCCCCCCTTTTTTTTTTTTTTTTTTTTTTTTTTTTTTCGTTTAGCGTCGAATGCATTTCCAGATATTGGGTCGGTCGGTCGGATCGAAAAAAAAACTGATTAAAATAAAATCACAAGAAGTCTCGGACTAGGAGGCCCTGGTACCCTGGGACGATGTTAAAAGTTAACTTTCACATGATTGGATTAACAAAATGTACAATTTGCTGTAAAAAAAAATGTTCCTGTTTTTCTCTATGCTGTTACTAAGATCCTTTTTTCAGATAGATTAAAAGAATTATTCCAAGTGAAAAATGGTTTAACTACGTCGTTACTTTTTTTTTTTGAAAAGGCCAAAAATTTGGGTCGGTCGGACGACGCTAAAAGGAGAAAAAAAAAAAGAGGATGGCCTATGCGGAAAAAGAAAGTGAAACGTTTCCTCGTAGTAATCCTCGTCCTCTGCGAATAAAGAAATAGAAGTTATATAATCTGTGGGTAGGCTAGAAAATTATTGAACCAGATAAAGGTCAACTTACGACAATGTGATATCGGAGGAATTACTGAGGGAAGCGTTATCTGTAACATCTACAAAGGACAAAGGACCGATCTCTTCCCACTGTGTAAAGGCCTTTCTCACAATTTTGCGTTGCTGTGTTGAATTCAGGACTCCATTTGAGGCATAATTATGGAAGCTGTATGTGAGATTCTTTTTTTTCCATTTGTCCCCAGAGATGGAAAACCGTTTAACTCTTCCTAAAACATCATGTTTGAAAGTCACTGTGTTAGACAATGCAAGTATCATCGAGTCAAGGATTATATTATATATAGACTATGTTTGCACCCATTTGATTGGTGACTATAAAATGTATATAATAGCGCGGGGTGATTATATCACAAACCACTGGGTACAAGATCGGTGAACAGAGAAAAAGTTTGGGATATGAGAAGAGAACACTTGTAAGAAGAAGAAGACCGTGATGAAAATTGTTCCTTTTAACGTTTTCTCCCTTAGTCAAATTATCAAGCCGGCATATATGTATTACGTTTCCTGTTATTAGTGACCTTAAGATCCGTTTCAACCTACGAGTACGAGTAAGCGAACATGTTTACCTCATAGTTTTATAAGGGGCAACCATTATTTCCCAGATGTGATAATGGGGATCCCACTCTAACCGGTAGTAGCCGCTTCTCCCGCGTAAGAGGTAATCTACCCGTATTTACGGCTACGTGAACGGCTAATTTACCCGTACCTGTAATTGGAAACGGTGTATCTTAAGGTCTCTATTCCCTAAAAAAGTGAAGGAGTGGACTGTTTTTATAATTCTTCAAGATAATAAATAGACTACGAGTCTCTCTTTTTTCTGGCCGTCGAGCAAAACGCGAGACACGCAAATGGCCACGCGCGTTACTGATGGCTCTTTTTTCTTCTCGGGCTGCCGCGCGAGTGCATTGCTCTCACTAAATATGAAGAAAAAGAGGGAATGCTCGCAGTCTAAATAATAAAAGAAAGGCTCAATAGAAAAAAAAACATTTTATGGCATTCTTGGGCAAAAGCCATAAATATATCACATTCTCTGTCAGTCATGTTTGGCAAAAATAAAAACGGGCAAACAAACAAACAAACCGGCACAGACCACAAGAGTAGCATATGAAGTGCTAGAAGCCGAGTGATCATCTAAAACTGTCGCCTTTACTGTAGGGTTTCATTTATGTATTTACCAGATTCTGAGTTCTCTTCCTCATCAAGATCTGGGACACCGCATCTTGGTTTGTGCATTTCTTTGATAGTGGCAGGATCCAGATGACCTGTCTCAGGGATTTCAGACTGTTGCTGAAACAGCCTCAGAGCATCTTTGAGATTATGATTTCCATCCTTGAGCGGTGACAAATAATGGTATTCTTTGAGAAATTTCTAGTTAAAAATGATCAAAATATGTTTTGGGTCACAATGAATTAAAAATAAAGCAACATCGGCGTCGTGGTGATAACTTTCGGAATATATGTGCATTTTTGGAGTACGTTTTACCAGATCCTCACTGAGCAAAACTGTACTAGTGTTATAATCCTTGTGGTGCCTTAATTATCGACTTAAAAATGCTAAAAAACGTCTTTAAACTAACATTGTTCCGCAGTTTGGATTTTCACTTCTGTTGCATGCATCTCTTGAAGCGCGAGCCGGTGTCATGAAAAGATTAGGGCTAGTCCAAACCGGCCTCTAGTAGATGCTAGGGCCAGACTTTGCCATCCTCCACGACCAGCGGGCATTTGAATTTTTGATGTTCCTTCTTGTTAGTTGTGGATGTTCTTAACTACCTCCTTCCTGCTGAATTGGTGTTTAAAGTCCCACCCTATGGTTTGGCTTATGAAAAGTCATAAATACGTTGGGCGTAGCCGGATCCCTTTCCAATTAAACAATAAGCAATATTGTGCATGGATATCCCGCTGATTCTTAGGGTGGCCGAAAGGACATTGATACAAATAGACAATGAGGGTCGGATATTTAAACAAAGTCTAACTTATTAGGCCATGCCACGTTGAAATCATTGGACCTTTAGATCTCTTTCCTAATGGGTTAATAAGTGTTTTTTTTCAGTCTACGATATACGCTTTATCGAAATCGAATTGTTCACGATAAATAGTGTTTCGATAAAAGCGTTGGGCAAATTGAGCATGGCTTAGAACGTAGTTTTGTTAAACACGCCTAAACTACTTTTGAAAAAACTCTGTGGCCCTGGCAACACTTAAGTAGATTAAGGCCTGGGTCTAAGACATTTATGGTTTTTATGTACAGTTTCCAAAAACTATGGTTAAAAGCGTCAACGAGGAACGAGATACGGTAAAGTAAAATAAACGTTCAAAAATTTGAAAAAATAAATGTAAATTATTTGGTCACGTGATTTACCACGCCCTCCATTGTTCAAAAATTGCAACCAACAATTGCCACCTCTTGCCAAACGAGTAGCTTCAGTTTCTCTGTATCAAAACATTGTCCATACAAAGTGTCTACAAAATCAGCTCGGAGTGGCTCGAAACATGCAATTGGTGTTTATTGACTAGTGTCAGTCCTCATCTAGCTAAAATTATCGACAGGAGAAAGACGTTTATTGACCTCGCCTCATTCCGATTGTTTTAACGAGAAGACTATTAATTAGTGGCCCCTTTTTGGACCTACTAAAGGAAAACGGTTTGCTCTCTATCTGGTGGGAATTTCGACTCAAAGGATTTCTCGATAAAACAGGGCGTGGTTGGTCACGTGATGCAGTTATAAACAATTTTTAAAATGAAACTGAAAGATTTCTTAGTCATGACTGGCCTTATTAATTCGCCATGGGATATCTTGAAAATACTCTATGTTATACCACCCCCCTTTAAAAATTCTGAAAAATCTGTAAAGAACCAGGCCTTAATCTACGTGAGCACATTAAAACTTAATGCGTTTCGTTTCTTAGAGAGAGGCACAGTATGTAATATCTCATATAACCGTATAGTAATCAACCATGTTTAAACGTTCGGGGATGATTCACGGCAGCCTTCTATGAAGCAATTGACCTACCGATAAAATAATAATAATTACAAATAATAATAATAATAATAATGATAATAATAATAATAATAAATGGCAGCATGAATGTTCAATAAAGCTGATACAACCATAAGCTTTGCCGGGTAAGGCTAACTTTGTTTCTTATTTAGTTTTTATAACAATAAGCAACATGATGTATTGGAGTTTTAAATTTGTTTTCAAGCAATTAGGTTTTTTTTTTCTTTTTTTCTTCGAGTTATATTCTATAAACTTTTCAGCTGATTGTTAATGGCATAATTAGTGATTTTTCGTTGCACTTACCAACGCGAAATTCTTTTCGTTTTCATCGAGGGGAGCCCCAGTGGGAGTTTGCAAAAACGTCGCCAGTAATACTAAACCTAGTAACTGCTTTCTCTCCATTGCAGACGAAAGCTTGTTAAGTCAATTGGCGCTCTGTGATGTTGCTGCAGAGTCCTATTATATACTTATTTTTCTCTGTTAAAGGTATTTATCAAAAGAAGCTTGGAAATCGATACCAACTTTGTTCTCCTTTCTCTTTAAGAGACCTCTTAAAAAGAGGATAAATATCAAAATAACCACTTCACCAACTATCGAAGATTGTGCCAAAAGTGTCATTAGGCATTAAAATCTTTGTCATAGCCGGCCATAAAAGCAGCGTCATTTTTCAAAGCAAAATATGTTTTAAATAACATAATAAAAATATGTGTATCTCTCATCCATGAAATCGTAACGTTTCTTCAATGCTCGCATCTTGATGTATGAACATAGATGTATTTTTCGAATTTAACATAAAAAGAAGAAGAAGAAGAAGAAAAAACATTCTCTTTTGAATATACAGAACAAACTCGCAGGGCATTTTCACTTCCTAAGAAAAAATAAAAAAGAATAAAAAATTAAAAATTAAGATAATTAATTTTTCGAATCACTAAAACAGGCACCCCAGAAAATAATTCAGCTAGGAAATCCGAACAGATGAAAAGTTTTTAGGGGATAAAAATATGCCTATATCTACCGTTTAAATACATTTAATAACGCTATGTGTAAGTGGTTTTGAACTATATTTTCGTTGGGTGCCGCTGAAGCTCCGAAATTACTTTAAAAGTTTTCAGTGTACAAACCGTAGTATTTATTACAAGTTTAACCTTTCCTCTTTAATTCCGGTAAGGCCTCCACCGATGCAGTATTGTAATTAACAGATACTTAAACCGAAGAGAGGGGATATCTTTAATTGTTAACTACTTGATGCCGTTTTTGTTGTGTCTTTTTTCAGGGGCTTAGCGCCCATATACCACATACACTCGTGCGTACAGCTGAAATCTGGAAAATATATATTTTTCATTTCCTGAAAGCATTTTTGTCAGTAAATCGGGATGATTGATAAATCTTTCGCATTAAATTTGTGTCTTTACCCGTCTGAGGGGTAGACATCTCGCCCTTTGCTTGTAACCTTCTTGATAGCGTCGCTGTTTTACCTTTTTCGAGTAAACATTACACCTTACCGATTATTGCGTTTTCCTTCGTTCTTATTTACTGAAAATGTCTTGCGGAAAACGCCCCTAAAGTTGAAACATTTTTTGGGGAAGCATGTCCCCATATCTTCCTAGTTTGCAGTACCTCACTTCGGAGGTCCAGCCTTTCTTTCCGTGCGTACACCTTCAAAACCTCACGCTACGCCCCTGTTTTTGATATTGAAAAGAATATATTACTTACGAAGTATCCACTATTCTATCACGTAAGAGGGAAAAAAAGTCGATTCCCTGTTAAACAAAAGGTTTTTGATGCAAAAAAAAAAAAAAAAAAAAAAAAGGGATGAATATACTGGAAGTTTGAAAAGCCTATAAGTATTTCCTTTGAGTACACGTCGTTTACAGTAAAAGGTTTCGGAAGTACGAAAAATCATGGCATAAGTAAGTTCGAATCTGTTTGAATGTGATCTTGAAGATCCCTTGGGGATAAAAATAGATAGGGTGACTTTAAATATCTTCCGCAACATCAATGTTTTTGCAATGTTTTTAAAAGAGTTGTTTTGTTACTAATTTCCTCCCTGTCCATTAAACTCAAGTGTCGGCCTTTTTATGAAGTACGATTAGTTACTTCCTGTTCAAATCATCTTCGTAATGGATCTAAGTTTTCAAAACAGAGTAATAAACATAGGAAAAAAACAACAACAACAATAACAACAACAAAAAACACCTTATTTTCTTCGCTTTCCCTCGGACGTCATTGGTGGTCTTGTGGACTTGACCGATGGAGCCTGGCTCGAGAAGTAAATATTATTGTCACGTGATCACTGACCGTTTTGAAAAATGGCGGCTTCCAGTGTAAACATTTACTCTCCGCTTTCAAGGCTTAGAAGAGATAATCAGACGTTACTATCACAGCTAAAACAAGGCCAGAATGACACTTGGGACGTTCTGAAAAGAATGAGGTCGGTCGATGATTCATTTGTGACAAGAACCGACGGTGAATCGAGCTTTACTTATCGCGGGGCTGACAGAACGCCTGCCAGCGTGACTCGAAGAACTGATCAAGGGTCAACTAAGGCGGGTCAAACGAGCACTCCGAAAAACTTTCAACAAGCTTTGATGTCCTGTGGAAATGATAGAAGAAACAGGACTTCTGTCGTGCCGGTGTCGATTCTTTCCACTCCAGGAAACCGTAAGAAGGTCAGTCTTCAAACAAATGTACACGTACGTACATGTTAGTTCAGCTATGATTACTTAGTAGTCTGAGTCAGTTTGCATCCTTGTTTCAGTGTTAGAGAACTGGAAGCTGAAAGATGTCCAGTGAGTACTTTTGTTTAAGGGTTTAATTTGTTTTACAGGATATGCAACAACTTTTGCAAATTGTTTAAAACGTCATGAATATTCAATGCAACGCAAATTCTTACTGTACTCTTTGGTTGGTATCCGGTCACTTCGATCAGATCGTTCCAAGCCAGATCGTTCCACTTAATAGTCATATAGTTCCACAATTTTATAGTCAGAACTTTTTACGAGTCTTTAAGCCACGAGCGAAAACAAGGGCGCACCTAGTTCTCTAAGGGTTAAGCCATAAGCCAAAAAAGAAGCGCTTCACATCGAGTTTTACTTGGCCCTTTCTTGAAATATTTGGCCCCCAAGAATGGGTTGTAGGGGCCACTTTGGCCCTCAAGCGGAAATTTCTGTGTACGTGAAACGTGTTTACGGTCGTTTCGCTTACGAGTCGGCTCAGCAACGTCCTGTTCGCTAACTTCTTTTCACTTTCGTCTCGGGTCAGTTCCCTAACTGTTTTCGCCCGATTAGTGGCTAAAAGAAGGAGGTATGTACATGCGTATGGCACTTTTTTGGTATCGTGGGTGAGAGAATAAATTTTTGCCTGTTTTGTAGTAGATTCATCACATTTACATTTGACCTTTTTGGCCTTTACTCTTGTCTTTCATTTGAAATGGCTAAAAGAATTGAATTTCTGTCACTGATGCGAAAATGTCTTTCTAGTGAACAATCCCTACACTGTAGCCATGAGGAGCAAGAAGAAATGGCTATATTAACAGGCTAACCTGTTACTTTCTATTTCAGACACCTAAGAAAGCCCTCCATGTAAGTTTTGAACTTTCACCCTATCATGAGCGGAGTGTAGTTGGTAATGATGACAGACGAAGGTCCCTGCTTGGTTATGATTGGATAGCTGGGATGCTGGACAACACATCATATCTTTCGGAGAAACCAGACGACTATTTTGATGATCTAAAGGAGTTTAGGAGAGTTAATAAGGAAGACTGTTGTGGAAAAACTGTTGTAGAGTGAGTGCTCAGTCATCAAGATTGTTTTCATGTAATTTAAATCATTGCATTCTAGGGTATTGTTTGTCATATTATGGCTGCACATGTTCGAGACGGTGTGTGATGCAACCGTATGTAAAATGATACTCCATATCCATAGGCTCGCATACAACAGACATACAGTACCAACAAACATGGGCTATAATAATATGACCCGGACTCTCCAAGGAACTTCAAAAGTATTTGCTTGAAATGTAACACAGCCAGGTTTTTAGACTAAGAAAATAATTAGTTGCTGCATGTGATTTAAACTGCTACTTTGATATCCTTTTATTTTTTGGGTCCGCAGTAATTGGCGTTAGCTGTTGCGGTGTCCCTGCCCAAATAATTAAGTTACTATTAATGTATTGTTACATTCTTATTATTAAAACATAAATAAAATAAAACAAAAAAGAATTGCCTTTTTCAATCATTTTACTCAAGAAACCACATGTACACAACACGGAACTACACGATCTGCTTCCATTAGGCTAATAATTGTTAGCTCAATCAGTAAGAGCGCTGCACCGGTATCGTAGAGGTCAAGGGTTTAAATCCTGTACAAGCCTGAATTTTTGTCAGGCTTTCTTTTAGCAACTGCAAAAGTTGTGTCTATGTACAAGTGTAACTGTGATCTTCTTTCATATAATTCTCCATTCCGCAGTTCTCTTAATGATTTTCATATGTTCATAACTTCATCATACATGCACAATGCTGAACAAGAAAGTTAGTACATTCAATAAACTTAAACATGATGCACGAACAAGCCATACATGTATGGGTACATGTACACCTTCAAGTCAGTTTGCATGTACATGTACCCGACTGTTCCTTGTTTTGATGTCATTATTGTTGTTGGTTTGTTTTAGCCTGGGTGCCTAATTCAATTTGGTACATGTACATTTTGTTTTGTTTTCATGTATTTTGGGAAAAAATCAATAGTGAAACTGTCAATGACTACAGTATTCTCCCTAGGATTTTGGAAAGGCCAGGGGGTCTTCTGACTCAGATTTTTGATACTGCTTGAACAGTAAAAAAAATCAATTTGCTTTGACAAGCTTTTTTTTTTTGTTCCATGCAACTTGGGTTGACTGTCTGAGTTTTCCATTGTGAGTTGTGATACTGCTTAAAATGTCAGCACTGGGATTTCAGTTCTTACTCCTCGTAAGCTTCCTGAAGGGCCCTTATGTTTGTCCGTGGGTCAATTTCAAGATGGCTGCTGTTCGGTGAAACGAGTGCATCACAGGTTAAAAATATTTATCTAATGGTACATGTAAATCACTTTTACAATCAGTTGATTAGGAGAAAATGCACAAGTAAAAACACCAAGGTCAATGTTTCATCAACGTTATTGAGTGATTTTGTCCCTGAAGTACCTAGTTCTAGATGTCAACATAAGCATCCAGTCGGATAAATCTTTGGTTTTAAGCCAGGCGGCAACAATTTTCCAGTGAATTAAGCCAGGCGGCTCGCCTAGCCTAAAATACCTAGGGAGAACACTGGAGTATCTTTTTCAGTTACACCTGTAGTATGCATACAATATAGATTACTCCAAGCCTATGGAGGTGCATTTCAGGTTCATACATTCTATACAGTGCATGTACTGTACATGTAGTTGCATTCACATTATTTTAAACTCTGGAAGGGCTGCAACTGCTTTTTATATGCCGTAAGTGACACTGTACATGTCTTATATAAACTTGCACATACGACATGTACACTGTAAAGCTATGAAAAAAATATGTATAATTATTTTTTAATGTAAAAAATATACATTATGTACATTGTAACATATGACTTATTTCAATAGTTGAGCATGTCTTGACTTTTATTTTTTTTTCTTCTCCATAGGTTGCCATATTCTCCATTAAAGCTCACTCCTTCAAGAAGTTCCTATAGCCATGCTGAAGATGGGGTAACTTGTAAGCATTCTTATTGTTATAACGTTTCAATGTTGTGCTCTACATACTGTAGCTGAGCCCTCACCGGTCCCTGGTCCCGCCTATTTTTTGCTCCAACTCATAGAAAATCATAGTTTTTTATGTAAATAAAAATACTGGGTACCCTGGATTTCACAGAGCACTACATTGTACATTTCTGTAGGCTTTCTTTCATCTTTTTGTTAGAGCACAGCCAAGTGTTTTGTTCTGTTTTGATTTGTCTTGTTATTTATTCTCACCTTTATTTGATTGTTATTATTTATTTTGTTGAAATTTTTGAACCTGTACTAACCTCTACCTACAGTACTTACAGTACTCCACTGTATATTTTATGCACTGACCTCAATGCAAGGCCTGTAAAAACACACAAACCCCTGAAAAGCAATTAGGGCACATTTAAGTACTTTAAGTGCATGTACTTGTATCTGTGTTGTAGTTATTTTTTTTTTATTTCAGGTATTTTTTTTGTTTTGCTTTGTTTTTGGGTATTTTAATACATACTAACGAAGTTAAAACAATGGAAAAATAAATATTACCTGAGATAAAAAATTAATCAGCTACAGCTGTACAACATCTCTAAGTGAGACTGCTGGCCATGTCTCCAATTTTAACTTAGCCCACATTTTAAAGGCGGCTGAGAACAGTTTTGTGGGCAATCAGCAGTATTAAACTTGCATGACAGCGCATGTTTTAAATCAGACAAACAAACATGACGGCAAAAAAGCAATGGTACACGGAAGATGATTTTTCAAAATCTACTCATTAAAGTTTTGTGTCATTTGATAGAATTTTTCTTTTATTGTATGTTAAATAATGAGAACTTTAAAATGGAAGTTGAACAGACAAATATTTCATGTCACATTTAATATTTGTAGTCCAATTATGTTATTGATTATCTAAAAACCCGTCTGTTAAAATTATGGTCAAATACATGTACGTTTCAAATGGTAACGATTAATTATAGTAAGCCATGTGCAAGTTATAGGAATGTAATGAGCGATTTTTATGTAAACTCAGCCAAAGGGAAATTTTAAGGTTGTATTCAATCATTCATGTTGCCATGTGAAAACAATGAAAATGTGAAATTTTACCTATCAATCAAAATCTTTCATCAGTATATTTTTCACTTGCCAAGTTTCAGCTTGTGAGCTGCAACGTTTCTCTTGCCATGATTAATTTGGCAAATGACATGCACTGTATACTCTCAATTTAATTATACCTAACGTGTGTTCAGCCACCTTAATGTACAATAACATATGTACATGTACATGTACAGTCAACTCTCGCCTTGTGGACACCCCGCTATAACGGACACCCCGATAATACGGACAGCAGCTAAATCCCCAGCAAAAACAAAGTACAGATGTTTGACTGAAATCAACTCCCGCTGTTACGGACAGTCGGTAATGAGGACACTAACTCGAGGTCCCCACAGTGTCCGGTATAAAGGGAGTTGACTGTATGTTGTAAGGCAACATTGCCTTTCAGGTTAAATTTTTTTTGTCATTATAATTCCTTGATTTTTTGCTGTTTGTTTACAGGTGACAATGCATACACTTTAAATGATCGTCTCTTTGCTGTCCCAATCCATGGACCTGAAACATCCTGTTCAGTATGCCACACTAAACGTGCGTTTGAGTATGAAACAGAAGGAAGCTATGTCCGGTGAGTTTTAATGTTCCTTTCTGAACATTTCCTTCTCCTGACTTCTGGCTCTAAATCTACATGTACATGTGCGTGAAAAGTGTGATAATGTGCATCAATTTTTACTAATGATGAAAAGATTACAGGTAATATTAATATTCACAATAATGTCAAGAATAACCACGAGTTGAAGTACACTTTTGCCATGTTTAGTGTGTACACATGGCAAAAAGACTGCCTCCACAACAATAACAAAACACTGATCACTCTCTATGTGCACTACATCTTCATCTACATGTACACTGTACCTGCATGTCAGAATGAAAGGGTAACATGTAGTTTTAACTTGAACAAAAAAATAAAAAAAATTAAGACAGTTTAATTCCTTTTTAAGGGTGAGCGTACCCCGATCATCTCTGCTCTCTCCCTACCGATTCAAGCCTCACAGACGCTCTAGTTTTGATCCCACTGATGCAATGAGTTTGTCGTCACATTGTCTTGCTGGGTGGGAGAGTTCCAAACCCACGGTAGTTCCAATGCCATCATCCCTGGATCTCAGAACGTCTCTTCACCAGTCACGCACCACTCTGGTAAGTGCATACATGTAATTGTCTTCATGTACAACTTTATAATTGTTTGTGGCAAAGGGCATACAGTTTTTACCCCTGCCCCATTACATAATGAACTGATTATTCCAAAAATGAATCCGTTAGTTTAGCCACAACCAGTATGAAATTCATTCATGCATTATGTGAATTTTTTATGATAACTTCTCTGTTTTTAATCAGGTCGAAAATTGTTTGAATGGATAAAATTAATATTATTGCTTGGAAGACATTTACATCAAATTCAAGAAAACTGACCTGGTAGAATATTTCATAACAGCCTTGTGTGTGAATTCACTGCTCATTAAGTAGTATGCAGGAGTGCAAACATGAAATCTACTAAAAAACTACCAACGGATTCATTTTTCAAATGATAAATTCATTAATGGAATCTTGGAGGGTGGAAGTGGGGAAGGTACACTGATCTGGCTAGACTGCTGTACTGGATGGGAGTAGCTGCCTGCAACATGTTTACTATTTTTACCCTTTAAGTGCCAATGTCAACATACAAATTCACATTACAGCTTTACTTTCACTAAGATTTCAACTTGCTAGGTAGATGCAATTGGAAGGCAGGGAACTGAACTGTTAGAAAGTTCTTAATTTGTTTTTTTTTTCCTTTGGTTCTTATGAAAGTAGCCCAGGCTCATGCTTATGGAAGCAGGCGAAATCCCGAGCCCCTAGGCTTCCCCGAATCAAGACTGAAGTCCAGTTTTCCATTTAAAGATCAAAGAATTTTGCCTTTGGTGATCATTTTAATAATTCTCATAACCTTTTCTGTTGATGATGTATTTATTAATGTTGTTCCAAAGGAGTAATTAATTTTGATCACTCTTGTGACCACAGATAAAACTCCTTCACACATGATAATCGTTTTCTGTCCCTCGAGACAGATAGATACATGTATCTTGCCATTGTGGGCTTGCTTATGCTTTTCCCGGCCAGTGGGAGTCTATACCCCTGGTTTTGCCTAGTCCCTGTACGGTATTTTCCAAGTCCCTGTCGGTTAATTCACTTCGGACCACGTCACTCGAAACGCTTCGACCGTGCGGAATAATGAGGCCTAGGGAATAGGCAACTCCTGGGCGGCTCAACCCTGATCCTGTACGTCCAGTTTGGGCATGCGCATGGTGCTGACAACCACGCCCTGTTAATAAAATTCATTTCTACACAAGCGTGAGGAAAAGACCATTCACAATCAAGAGTTCTTTAAATGATGGACGAATCTTTTTTTCATATTAATCATTTGACAGGATGCATCACGAGCTGGCCGCTACCCAGGTTCTGTGGCTGAAAGCACTGAGGAATTATTAAACCGAAGCCATTCCCTCAGATATGGGCTCCAGGTTCTGGAACAGGAACGTGGAAGAAACAGGCAGTCTGCCCACACTACACCCTACCCCATGCTATGAGAACAGCATCAAAGTAAACATACATACATTTTTTTTCTTTACTTTCGGTCTCCTTGCTAGCAATCGTTTTTAACCAAGAATGGTCAACTTATTAAGGTGCGCACTGAAAAGCTACGTAAGGCCTGGTTTTTAACCAGCGCAGGGACTAGCGAAACTCAAACACAGGAGTCACACGGTCGACGGAGTCCAACGAAGTCGCAAGCGCTTTTGCTTTCTTCTATTTCCTTCTCTGCCAGCCTTATAACTCCGACGCATACGATTCAGTGAAAAACAAGTGTCGATGTCAGAAGCGGAAGCGGTTAAAAAAAAAAAAAAAGAAAGAAAACAGTTACAGTGCTTTTTCAATGTGTATTCTGAGGCGCTGTGATTGGTTCAGTTATAATACTATTACAATTAGGGACTTTAAGATCCAACGACGCCAACGGCAACGACAACGTCCAAAAAACAATAGGTTTTATAAGCAAAACGACAACTTCGCACGTGCATCACACTTTTTTGTACATTTCTTTCCCGTCTTTGCACGACTACGACGTGAAAATGCTTAATTTCGTGTTTTATGGAGAACGCAAACAAGCAACGACGAAAATTTATTTGTCTTTCTGAGGTTGGATAATGGTCACTTAAAATTCAGCTTCAGGAGGGTTCGCCTACATTTGAGAAAATACGTGGCTAGGAATAATCACTATAAAGACTGAAAGAACACAAATTCACTTTTTAAGCGACGTTCTCGTTGCCGTCGCGTCCTCGGATCTTTTTAAGGTGGCTGAACACAGTTTGCGGGCGGTCAGCGATAACTCGCGTGACGGCGCGTGTTTTAAATTAGACAAACAAACATGGTGCCGAAAGCGCAATGGTACACAGAAGTCGATTTCTCAAAATCTAGTCATTAAAATTTTATGATATTTGCCAGAATTTTTACTTTAATTGTATTTTTAATAATGAGAACTTTAAAATGGAAGTTGAACAGACGAATTTTGTGACATATTTAATAATTACAATACAATAAAATTCTTGATTTTCTAGAACCCGTCTGTTATAATTTGGTCAAATAAGTTTCAAATGATAATGATTTATTCTAGTAAGCCGCGTGCAAGTTTATAGGAAAATCTGATGAGCGCATTTTATGTAAACTGAGTAATTTAAAGTGAAATTTTATGGTTGTATTCAATCATTCATTGTGCGATGGAAACTACGGAAACGTCAAATTATAGCTTGTCAATCAGAGTCTTTCATCAGTATATTTTTCACTTGCCAAGTTCCAGCTTGTGAGCTGCAACCTTTCTCTTGCCATGATTTGGCAAATGACATTTTCTCACAAACTGTCAAAACTGTGTTCAGCCACCTTAAAGTCCCTAATGGTAGCCTGCGTCGCAGACGTATTTTAACCTCGGTTAGGAACATCTGCGAAGCAGCGCCAATATCATTGTTCTGGTCCCCCAACGGACTTATCGAATTACCGGAAGTGCGTTTCCAATAATATTTCTTTTCATCTTGATTGGTAAATCGACAATGGCATTTTTAACGGGCCAGTCATGGGGCGTACCAATCCTGGAACGCAGGTGAAGGCCCAGAACAAGGATTTCGGCGCTGTTTCGCTGACGGACTTAACCAGAGTTTAGTTTCGTCTGTGACGCAGGCTTGTCTGTTCTTGCGATTTCGTCATCGTAGCTTTCACTAGATTGTATGGGACAGAGATACAGGTATACCCGGAGTCTAAACTGTGTTTACAGTATTTCTAATCATAGCGCTGCGCTCTGTGCTTTTGATTGACTCCGACTCTGCTACTAGCGAAAGCCAGCCTTAAGATGTTGTTTCGTTTTACTGTTAACAATATATAAAGTTAAGTTACCCATTCATTAGCGGTTTCACCACTGAATGGATATCTTATTCAGTTCCCAACGGGACCATCATACTTGTAGGCAGGATTTTTTTTATTGCATTTCTCATCTAGTCTATAGCATTACAATCAGATAGATATTACTATCCACACCCTTTGCTATACTGATTTCTTGACCCTGCGAATGTTTCTCGGTTCCCGCCCTTCATTCGTATGAGTCACATACAGTTTTCTACGTAAAATCAGCCCCCCCCCCCCCCCCTTCCACTTCTCGCCCACCGCTCCTTACCGCTGGGGACGAGTTGCAAAATGTTTTAGCGATGGGGAGTGATGATAAACCGCTAGATATGCATTCGTAATGTATTTTGCACACACTTATCATACACCCGCTTTGATAGCACTCGACTGCTGTTTCTGTAAGTGCTCTCATTGTTTTCTTTATACGAAACAAAATGCATTAATCCAGAGGTCATTCGTACAGTTACACAACACGTTTACTTATTTGAACTACATTTTTTTCTGCACGATGATTTGATCCATTCTATTGTACATGCGCGTTAGGCGTTAGTCTCGTTAACGCTCGTTGTTTTCGTGTCATCCGCTTGTAGAATTGTATTCAGTGTTTTTGAAAATGATAAAAAATAATAATAAATTATTTGTCGACGTGCATTTTGTATGATATTCTTGAGGTTGCGTACATGTACTTGCCAATATCCTGCAACCAAATGTAGGGTGAAAAGAACTAACTGAAAGGTGGCGGCTAACTTTGCCTTAAATGTCTTTTGAGGAGCAAGGGTGGCTGCAATGGTATCACAACTCGACTCCTAGAAATGTCGTTTGAGATCGAATCATATCCAGAGGTGCTCTTATAATAATTTTCAGTTCATTGTTGGTAACTCAATTCTCTCCCTTAGTGTGGGAAGCTTCACCAAGTACTCTAGTTTTTCCTTCTCTTTAAAAACAAACATTTCCAAAGCGTAATTCGATCCGGAAATCGTTGCCGAAGAACCACACTATGGATGTCCTTCCATGAAATCGTCATTTATTTACTTAACAGACCATCAAAAATGTTATAGAATGCCGGGTACTCCGCTCAGAAAACAAACTATGCGTATTACGCATGAATCGTTTAAAAGAAAGTTTCATTTACTTCCAGTTCGTTTGCTTCCAGGATGCTGTAAGTATGCTGCTCTTTTATGGCCTTAATGCTTTTGTTAATCTTGTTTCGATGTCCGATTTGCTTGACACCCATATCTCTTAAATCTTCGTCTCTCAGTCCCCTAACTTTCTCAAGACTGTCTACATTTGCTGCTTGAAATGTTTCCAGATAACATTCCATGTTTATGAAGTTAAGCCACTCGTCCACAGACTCGAATTGTGGAGCATCAATCTCTTCAGATCTGAAATGAAAATGGCGTAAATCGTAAGTTAACTTCTATATATACACTAGCCTTAGACAAGCTTTCTTTATGGAAGATGGGGCAAATCATAAGTCATCAGTCCCTTCCGGAGTTTTCTTTTGGCTTAGTTTTATCGAATCTTTGTTTTCGCCTCTTCCCTGTTAGCAGGCTAGCGATACGCCTTTATTATTTTAGCAAGTGAAACAGTTATGCTATGCACCTTGGAGTCAAATTTTAGCCTCTCTGGAATCTGGCGTAACGCCCTGACATACTCTCTTTAAGTCCAACGGTTTATTTGTTCTCATCTTTTTATTACTTGTTATAACCGTAAGAAGTTGCCTCCAAAATAGTTCCCGTGAGGCCCTAGTGATTCTTTAAACTGGCCGTGAGATCTGTGGAGTTTTAGAATAGTTATTAGCTGTTTTTTTGTTTTTTTCACGGCGACAAAAAAGTGAAGTGTGATTTTGCAGACAACGGAGCTTATTTACTCACGTTTCTAGCGTTGATTGGAGCAAAGGAACAATTTCTAAGACTTCAGGGGAGCGAATTATTTTGTCCAAGCGATTGACGATTTCTCCAAACTTTGGTCTTTTGTTTGGGTCTGACTGCCAGCAATCCATCATTATACCATGAATGATTTCAGGACAATCCTGAAAGGCAGAAAAGGAAACGCCCTTACTGTTCGTTAGTTGGAAGCGATGCAAACGTATAACCTGATTGCTAAGGTCATTTTGCAAAGTAATATTAAATCATACCAAATTAAAGCTTTTCATTATTCTTACTCTAATGTGAGTTTCCCAAATGTGATGACGGGAAATTAGTCGCAAGGACAGATTAATCAAAAAGCAGTTAATCTAGCTTTGCAGCTAACTTAATTAATCTCTAAGTGTTTCTTTTCATTATTTCAGGTTTCCTTTCATCAGTTTTTGTTATGCAATTTACCGTTGCCCTCTTGCAAATTTTTAACTTAATTTTAGAGTGGAAACGCTATCAATAGAATGAAGACGAAAGCACCTACAGTCTGTTAGAGTCGAGTGAGCATAGCTCAGCAGTGGTAACGAATCCTTGTGTGTCATACTTAAATCTATGTTTTCCGTTGATCTGACTTCTGGCCGTGTTTTCTTATTTTTTACATATTAATAACTTGTTAGTATTGGTTTTCTAAGTACAATAAAATTACCTTCGGAGCAGGTAACCGGTAGCCAAACTGTACTCGGTCCATCACCTATTCAAAATCAGTAACAATTAGTGGTTATAAACACTTACATATTGACACAATTGTTTTGTAATTTTTATTGCGTACTGAAGCTTTGAATTTTAATAAGAAACAGAGACGTGGCTTGGGAGGAGTTTTTGAATGCCAACTGTCCTGGTTTCTTTATTAATGTTTTCATGCGTATATTTCGCACAACTATCCGGCTGTAGTAGCTATTGTCCTTTATTTCAGGATTCACACGGAGTCTTGAATTATCGAAAACGTCTTAAAATTTGCAAACCAGTTTTCCAGACGGTGGGAAAGTCTGAAAAGACAGATAAAACCTGGAGTCTTTTTGTTTTAAACTAATATTTTGGTTTTGTCTGTTTGGTTGCTCGTTGTTGTTGTTGTTCAGAATATAAACTTAATGAACCTCTTCTGAAGCTAAAACATTTGATCGCAGAATGACAAATTTCAGAACTTTCTTATGCCTACTCTGCACGTTGGTGTACAATTGCATTGCCACAAAACTTTGTCCTGTACCGGTTGGATTTTGTTTTTCAATCTATCGCTTATTTAGATAAGCATGGGTCTGGGAAAGAAATTATTGTTTTAGAGAAAGTCTGGAAAAGGTCTTGAAGTTGGATTCATTTGGAAGACGAGGCATTATTTTGTAAGACTGGTGACAGATGGCGTTGTGTGAGATGACGTCATAAATAGCATTACTGACGAGGTTGATCCATCAATCGCTTATTTAGATAACCTTGAGGTAAATTCGTCAATCGGTTATTTAGATTATAACCTCCAGTCTAGAAAATAATTTAATCGAAAGTCGGGAAAAGGTCTTGAATTTAGATTCATTTGGAAGACGCGGCATTATTTTGTAATGTTCGGTGACAAATGACGGTGCGTCCCCCTGATGACGTCATAACCAGCATTACTAGTGAGGTTTATCCATTTTGGGTCTTCGCACTTTTTGATGTAACGTGATGATGATTGTTAAAGATAAAATGTTCGATGATTCTTTTTTACATACCTCACTGTTGCTCCACCCCCAATATGGTCGATCAGCGAATGACATAATCTCCCAAAGAACGATACCATAACTCCACACATCACTTGCTGAGCTGAACATGCGGTTCTGAAGAGCTTCTGGTGAGGTCCATCGAACTGCGATTTTACCCCCCTTTAAAAACAGTTAAACGAGATGCAAGTATTTTCTACATGGGGTCCACTCCTCTCAACTTCGTTAGCTATCTACAAAGCATTCAGGGCAAACATTTCTGTTTTTGTAAGTTATGTGATGTATTGTGATTTATGTTTTCTCGTGTTTATGCTCAATTTAATTTTTTGTTGCAAGGAAAGTGCTGTTCTGCCACAGTTGGAAAACTCCCATTATGTTGCATATCTCTTTCTTTTGTTTTATACCTTGAAAAGTTTTATGATTGATATAATTTCCTTCAAGGAGAAAAAGCACTTAAAATGAAAGTTTAGAGGTTGATTTAGAATATACAGACATGTCAAGCGACTAACAAGTAGCATGAATGAAGTCAAGTGGTTCGGCAAGAAAGACGTTTTGGTCCGTCTGCGCGTGTAAAATATGATTACTTTTAACTCAGGAATACTTCTTTGAAAATCAACTTATTCCTCACTTCAGAACTCTAGGGGGAATGGGTACAAGCTTTGGGTGCAGTGATTTCTGGGATTGGTTAAGTGGACAACTCTTAGGTATTGATCCATGGTACGCAAGGTAACTATTAACCAATCATGAGTAACGCCTGTCCACACAAACGATCCTTGAAATCGCTGCGCCGAAAGGTTGTACCCATTCCCCTTTTATTTCTGAAGTGGGGAACAGGACACCTTAAATGTACCTGTGTCTCGTAAACCGGACTGTCCTCTGCCAGCTCTCTTGACAGACCAAAATCAGAAACTTTGCACAACATGTTCTCACCAACGAGAATGTTACGAGCAGCCAGATCCTAGAAACCAAGCGAAATAATCCAAGAGGAAATTCACTGTTTTCAATTTATTGAAAAGATTAAAAATATAGGAGAAATTACTTTGTTAGTGTCAACTTTAATGTTTCAGCAGGAAATAGTATAATTATCTGTTCAAAATAAAATTCATCTCTTCCAATCGATACATTATATTATTATAAGTATCTTACCCGATGAATTAAGTTCATTTCAGAGAGATACACAATGCCACAAGCTACACCTCGAGCCATGCCGACTAACTGAAGGCTTGTGAGCAGACCCTTATGCTCCTGAAACAAGAACACAGAACGTATTAAAAAGACTATACTTGCACAGTAGATAAGTCAATAGAGAATGTGAAGAGCCCTTTATCTCATTTTGCGCCTTCAGTCTGTAATCCCTAGGACCAGTAATTATCAGGCTACCTTCAAAAATTTATCCAGGGATCCACTTTCCAAGAACTCTGTGAGGATCATCATGGGCCTGCCTACAAAAATATTAATTATTAAATTCATGATCAAGAGGAAAAACTCCTTCATACACATTGCAAGAAGTTAATAAACGTCCAAATGGCATTGTGGAAAATTTTCATGATATTCAACCCGCAGTTTTTGGTCAAAATAATTCAGTCGCTTTTTTCACTTACTCTTTGTGACAACTCCTACTAACTTGATCACATTTGGATGATTGAACTGGCCCATGATTGACGCTTCGGATAAGAAATCTTTCTGGTTCTTCTCATTCGAGCCGGGCTAAAACAAGCAATTAAAAATAACACATTATAGTTCTGAGATTAGTAGGTAAACCACATAAATGTCACCAGTCGTCTCATATAGCTAAATTCACGTCCAAGTGTATTACGCCTTGTACGACCTACGACACGTATGAAATGTAACTTTTTTGGCCGTCAAGAAAAAAAAAAAATAAATAAAACTCTCACATAGCAGTCATAGCAGATGAGAGAACTGGCACAAAGACGTAATTTGGTTTTGCGTTTTCCAAGGTTGAGTTTGATTAGGAATGGTGGTGATCGATTAGACGACGACGAAATCAATGGCGATGATGATGTTAACGATGATGATGATGATGATGATGATGCCGTTAGACCCGGGCGAGGAGATGCCCACTCCAATTGTTCCTGATCTCGAAGAGAATCGAAGAGCACAGAGAGAACACCTGGTACAGCAGCGCCGCGAGAAGGCACGTTTAGTCTTCGCTGGTTCTTGGCTGCGTTCCACGGAGAAGGAACTTGACGAGTGTGTAGAAAAGTACAGTCGTACAGACGATCCATACATGCGAAGTAGCCTGATGGCGTACCAGGAGGTCCTATCCGACAAGCTGAAGCTCCACCATCAGAATCTTGGGACCTTCAACACGGAGGAAGCGGTGGCGGAACGTAGGAGAGTCTGCGTGGAGCTGGGAATACTGCGCGAAGCAGACCAGCTCATGGTAAAAAATGTGACGGAACCCTTGCCAAGACCGACAGAAGAGCAAGGTGTCGCAGAAGCCGAAGCGGGTACCGAGGACGACAGCGCCGATGAGGTATTTACCCAGGTTCCTAGCTGGCAGACGAACCACTTAGAGTTTTTGAGGACCTGTCAGGGCGAGCAGCAACTCCAGAAAGGGACGAAGAGGGCAAGAAAACAGGAAGGGCGAGTTCGTGCAAAGAGCAGTAGGTCTGCGCTCAGAGTGGACGAGAACAGAACATTGTATTTTGCATTATTGCCCTTTATTCGTAGGTCCTTCAGTTTAACTCGAGTTAAGCCTATCGTCAGTTAGGTGTCCTACGTGCTCATGATCAACTGCGTGTGCAAGATGATTCAGATTCATTTGTTCGTGATCAAGTCCAAATAAAATTTGTTTGTGCTTAAACATGTGTTGTTTTACGATCACTACTAGCTTTTAAGTGTCGCCCGCCAAAAGAACGCATTTTTTGTCCCGTTTTATAACTTTCAAACTATTCCACTTAGAATTCCGGTTAAAACTTCGTAGTCTTAGTGCATCGTGCTTGTCCAGCCGAGGAAAACTGGGGGCCCTCTTAAGCTGTGTGTTATGACCTAACTACAGTTTAGTGTTCTGGTGCCCTTCGCAAAATTATGTTTTGCTCACAATGTAAAGTTCTAGGATAACTTAGAAAGTGATCCAAATCTTTGCGCTGCATGGCTCAGCAGGGAGTTGGCTGTCCTCCCCTGAAAACGAAATTCGGGATCCCTGAGAATCGCTTTCCATTGACGTAGCCGTGTCGCTCGATGCCTGCTTTTAGATAATTGTCTTCTTCAGGGGTGAACATCAGACTCTTCTTTCTCGCCTGGAAATCTGTCGCTATAAACGCATTTTCCCGCTTTAGTCTTGCGACACCTGACGCTCTTCGTTAGAGGAAGTATCGGTTTTGCTACCATTTTGATCTTCAGATGACGCAGAATTGCCAGAAAGCCTCGAGCGCACGTCTATTTCTACCTCTGATCCCTTTTTCCCGTTCAATGGTTCCAAATATTCATGTGCTTTGCTCGCCACCTCGCGCGATCGCTCCTTCTGATAGTGAACCCTTGCAACAACGGAGCTGTGTTTCTGGTCCTCGGAGATTGTGCTCCTCGCGCTGCCTGCAACTCGCGGTCTCCACAATCTGTCGATAGTGAGTCGGGTGAACGTATTTGCCTGTTGCATCGAAGACCAGTTTACTCATTAGCTCTCCCAGCTTGTTGTGCTGCCCTCCATTTCTTGTTACCAATACAAAGTCGCAGGTCGGTCTGAGTAGGGGGCGAATGTGGTTGATGTAGCCATCCAACACTTGCATGCTCGTCTCAGTCAGGTAAAGAGAATCGAAGCCAAATTTTCCAGCCGTTTTGAACATTTTCTGGTCTATAAATCCACCGTTAGTCTTGGCTTTGTTCACCATTTCCACCGTTAAGTACTGATATGTCATGGGGCGCGAACCCTTGACCTTGATAAATAAATAGACGGCCAAAAATTTGGTAGCAAAAGATAAATCTATTGGCAAAACAGCACCCGGTTTCTCCTTGCATGATTTCAGTACGCTCGACCAAGTAGCGCCCCACGACTTCCAACAGTTCTTCTAGTGTGGCCCAGTGCCCTTGGCTTCTAAGGCATCGATATCGAGCTCGCTGGTCCACTGCAAGCGCATCATTTGGAAAACCTTTTCAAGTAAATTTTTTGGCCAGCCCTCTCAACACTGATTCCGATGCTCCATTCACTTTTCGAAATCCAAAAATGGCATAAATGCGTCCCGCGTGTCCCAGATTCCAAATCCTGCATGGTATCAACAAACTTGAAAAAAGGAGATTCGGTGAACATAAACTAAAGTCCACAATGTCAAATGTGAGCTCCTCTTCGTCTTCACAACAAAATTTGAGAAACTTTTAAGCACTTGCTCACGATCTGTTGTGCTTGTCGAACTTTTACAGCCCCCACCGGCCAGTGAGCCACGAAAAAAGTTCTTGGCAACGAATCAAAAGAGGCAATTGCCTGATGATGACGACGACGAAGAGGACGACCATTAAATGCGTTAAGGATGTGCAGCCGATTAAACTTACCCTTAACACTTTGACCGCAACGACATCTCTACCATTTCGTGTCTTCAAGGTTCCTTTGTAGACATCAGCGAATTCACCTATAATTACACAAAACAAAGATTAGAAACAGAAGGGCTAAATACGATATTCAGCTGTCAAAGTCGTTAGTCGCTCATTAAAGGCAAGTTACCTTGTCCAACAAACCTCTGCAACTTTATCTTAGGTTTTTCGATTTCTGTTGTAAGCGTAGTGAGAAGCTCCATTAGATCACCATAGTTTGTAGGGTCGATGTAACGCTGCTGACTAAGGTCACTCCCTATGAAAGAGAAAACGAACAGTGGTCGCTTTATGCTGCAGCCAAGCCTCTGCATACGGCCAACATTGAACAACGGCGACGGCCTGCACTTCATTGTCCCAAGCCATACAATTTGCCCAAAATAGCCCCTACATAATGACCAACTGGCCCTGTTAAAATTGTTTTCCCTCTAAACCTTGATTCCTGCCCAATGACCTTAAAGGCTGTGACTGATGTTGAAAATACTTTTCTAACCCCTTGGCCTCTCATTTTGTATTGTATTGTATCTAGTTTTCGTTTTGATTTTTTTTCTGTTGATTTTGATGACTTCTATATATTCCAACTTTCGCACTGCGCGGTTTAAGCGAAAACCAATATGGCGGCCATATGGGCACAACGTCTCAGCAAGTAACCAACCTTACTCTGAAGGTATACGAAAAACAGTTGGAGTTAGTGGGGAATTTGAGTTATCAGGGTAAGTTTCAGGGAAATTATGATCAAGGGAAAGGAAATTTAGTTCGAGCTAGCGGGGAGTTCGAGTTATCTGAGTTCTACTGTACATTTAAGACGCATGTCCCCTATGGATACGAGCCTTTGAGCTGATTGGAACACTTAAATAAAGTTGTCATGGGACGATTGCTATCGTCGCCTTGGTCTTCCCCCAGTATTGATTAAGTTGTTTAATAAGGAGACAGCCTCACCGTGCTCAGTGCCTCGTATATAATCCCTCTGTAAACTTTTCCTAAGATAAGGAATAGACAAATTGTAAGGTACTCAAGGATACACAAGCATCTCTATTTTGAACACAGTTATGTATTCACTTTACCAGATTGTCTGTCGCTAACACCGACCGCCCCCTATTCTTGTTATTAGAATTATTTTAATTATCAAAGAAACTTCTTAGCGTTTATTCATCTATCCAGAGAGTTAAGACTCAAATACTTCGCGCTCTCGAAGAATTGCTGAAGCTATGAAGATAGTAGGGATGAAATTGGTCCTCAGCCTCAAGTGTAAATTAAAATGGTTAAAAAGTAATCCCTCTGAGTACAACAACAAAACATATTAATAATAATGATAATAATAATACCGATAGCGATGATGATGATAGTAATAAATTCATTTACAAGACAATGCTTCAGGAAAAGCACGCGAAGAAGTTACAGCCAAGGGTAAAAAAGGATGACAAAAAGTTAAAATATACAGCATAAGACTATGTTAAACTTTGTTAAACCCACCTTCGTCGCGAAAGGAAAATGATAATGATAAATACAACAACACAAACGAACAATAGGCTTCCACCTCCAGCAGTAATAAGAACAACCAATTTATCTAAACCATCACCACCTATAATCAATCAATCAATTAGTGTGCCAGTCGATGCATGTTCAATAAATTTCAGTATTCCAAGAGAAGATAATTCGATTATTTAAACGAATATTCTTGTTTTGCTTTGTTTGTTTGTTTCTTTTTTCACAGCTGTTCAAGATTAATGGTTTCAACAAGAAAAAAATACAGAGTTCAAGAGTGTTGAAGAGTCTTTTTAAATAGATAGAGATAGACTGATAAATTCATCAATTTGAAGAAAAAACGGATCAAAAGTTTTCAAGGCTACTCCAGTTAAGTAGCAACAACAACAAAAAAGAATGATAATTTGGATTCATCGTGTTGTTGGTTATTGTGACGTCAGACATACAGCTGAAGTGAAGAAGGAATGGTTTGCAAGGTAAATAACCTCTTCCACTGATCCATTCTGTCAGCCGTTTTAGCAGTTTCCTTTTCAAAGTTTCAATGTGTCGTGATTATAAATATTCATGGTTACCTTAGTAACGAACTGAGCCTATCACTAGTTTGAACACTTACCGTTTTGTACTGTAAATTTTTTTACCCCGATAGGTCCTCTTCCATAGTTATTCTCGGCAAATACCTGAAAGCGGCGTAAAACTGAGTAGTTAGTTAATTTTTGTTCAAAGTTATTAGGCTGCGACACGTGAATAAATCATATGCTTTTGAAGATGGCGGGTCTAAAATACAAGTCGCTTTTCCACAAGTCAGACTACAGGTTACCATCATACAGATCAATGAACAGCATTAAAAGTGTCTCCTAGCCCTAATATCTTTAAAAAAATGGGGAATCTGTGTGGTTTGGTAATTTATCAATGGAGCAGTGAACTGTTCCCTTGACCTGTGGAATGTGACCATACTTAAGACCCGGCATTTTGAAGAGCAAGCGGATATAGCAATGCAGTATGTTAACTCTTAAATGTACAGATATCTCTGGAAGACCATGCAACTCAGAATATTTAGTAGTTATTGAATGAGGCTGAACAGATTAAGAAGGGTGTTATCGGCCGAGGTGAATAACCACCTCCGAGGTTAGCATAATTCTTCATATCCTACGAAAGCCGAATTCAATAATAGTTTTATTATTCATTCAAAAATATTTTCAAATCCCTTAAAGAAGAAAATGAGCAATTTAATGGAAATTATGCAAATTTGACAACAACATAGATCTAAAATTATTTTTGCTTTAAATTGCAAATAAATAAATGAAATCTCTGTTAGAAAAAAAAAATCATTTTTTTAAAGAGAACGTTGAGAGACTCAACGGTGCAGCCTTAAAATTAAACTGCCTTGTATTTTGGGTCTTATGTGTTTGTACGTTCAGGTCTCTGAGAACAATGTCCTCCTGCGAATTTTTTAAGGAATTCAAGCCCAGGAAATCCAAGCCCCTCGCTGATGGAGACCTGTTACATGAAAATGAAAAAAGCCAGTCACAGTTGACTCTCTCTTAACGGACACCTCTGTAAAACAGACACCGATTCGCTTTATTTGACCCCCTATAAGACGGACACTAAGTGCCGGGCCCCAAGGGAGTTCAAAGGTGTCCGTCTTAGAGAGAGTTGATTGTATCCTTTCCCGTCTTCCAACATTCTCTCTTCCGTCATGGATAAAGGTGGATGCTGGTTATGAGAGTCAGTAAACATCAAAACCGATATAAGCAACGATGCCACAGTTGGATGCTTCCTGACAGTGCACAGTGCTAACAAAAACATAACAACGAACCCTAACGGATCGGAATTCATAACCATTCGACTTTATTAACTGTGCTCCTGTCAATTCGGTACTTTGTGCGTTTGTAAATGAGAGCAAAAAAGAAGAACACTAAAAGACCAATAACAGTGATAATAATTAACATACTAACGAAGTAATTAGCAGTAGAGGAAATATGGTGTTTAAAGTATACCTGAAATTTGTACGTTTTTCCAGCTTGTAAATCTTTATATTCGTGTTTTGTTTTATTTGTTGGAATACTTCTTCTATCCATATAATTATCTTCTCTTACGTATGTCACTTCATAATTCTTTATGATGCCATTCTTGTGCTGTAGAATCCAGGAAACTGACACTGTAACTTCGTTTTGTTCAACGAAGAGCTCAGGTCGACCAGGAACTACATTGTAAATTAAAAATATTGCCAATGAAGTAATAATACTATGTAATAATCAGATTGAAAAAAAAAACGCAAATTAGAAAAAAAAATGACTCCAAATATATGTAGGCAAAGTAGCTTCACAGTGATCTGCTGGACAAACAAATTATCAAAAAGTCGCAAGAGTTAAAAAAAGAATCCTGAAGTGCTCCAGAAACTAGCTTTCCATGGGGTCAAATCAATGGGTTTCATTGCCCTTAAAACTGGTGACATTGTAATAAAACTTTGCACAGTAGCTATGCAGGACCTCCGCTTTAGGCCGATATAAATTTACATGTACAGTGATTTATAAAACCTCGCCGTTTTCTTTGTTGGAAAGAGTTTCTTAAGGTTGGTGGTGGTAGTGGGATTGTTGTTGTCGTTGCAAATGTTTTCGAGGTTTGGTTGGTTGTTTTTTTTTTTCTTACTGACTTACCTGTACCAATAGTTGTAACAGTTATTACAGTGAAGTTTCCTTCAATGCCATGCCTCCTCTTGGCCACTTCACTAACCCTGTTCCTTGCGTAAATTTTGAACGTGTAATTAACGAATGGAGAAAGATTCGTCACCAACACTGTGGTTGTATTTAGTCCTTTATTGAAAGGGATGTATTTAACGTCATTTTGACATGGCTCCTCAGTACACTTCGTTTGGGCACCATTATTGCATGGTCGAAGGCAACTAACGTCATAAAACACGTGACTTCGATCACCAATTATTTCAGGAGACTTCCAGCTTAACCCGATTACACTTTGGTTGAGAAACGTAGCAGTGACATTTCTTGGAGCTGATGGCAACTCTAAAGCGAATGGAAATATAATCATGGTTAGGTAAAGGCGTACACGAGCCAAAGGCCCCCAGTAGAATGTCGCCGATACCCATTTCTACATCTGGGTGAAGAGAGACAAAGTGGTGTAAAGTTCCTTGTCTAATGATATAACACGACAAGCGAGACTTGGACCCCGGACCTCCAGATCCGGAGTTCGGGGTGTTAACTGCTCGGCCACACCCGCCTCCTCATCATAAACGCGAGTTTTTCATGGAACTATAATTAAACCAAAGAGATTGCGCGTTGCATTTTATTTCAGTAATAATAGCAAAAAAGAATGTTGTTCAATTATTGTTAACACTGTTCAAAATTAATTAGTGAAAGAACTAATTGAAACGAGCATGCAGGTCATCATCTGTGATATCTGGTTAATTATAGCTTACCTGTGCAATTAAGGCCCGTCTGGTCGTTATATTTCCCCTTTTTACATCCTAAAATGAAATTACGTATTTAAGTTTTGAAACTGAAGGAGATTTTAGCTTTGTTAATGTTAGAATTATTCAGTGTATATAGTAAACCTGAACTCATCTTTGTTTTTACGGGGTACAAGTCTTTTCGCTACCCGTTCTTTCCCCTTAATGGATACGAAAAAATACAACAGGAAAACAAATAAAGCTGGAATAGATAGACTGCTCACAAACAGGGGAATTTACTAATTAAACAGCTACATTGTAAGAGAGAGTTTACAGTTGATTGAAAAAGGTTTTTAGGGGTTGTGAGGATCTAGTTAAGGTTAATTGCGAGGAACAAGAGGAGCCTGCAACTCTAATCTTCAGGTTGCTATTGGACGGGCACGGCACACGTGTATATGGTTTACGGTCAACTCGCCACCAAGAAGTCTACTTGCCACCACATAATAACTATACAATAATTGACACTGTTTTCTTACCTGGGGTTGTTATTTCTTCCACAAGCCCAAATATAAGTTTATCGATTTTTATTGACTCCTTGTGTCGAACTTCTCATCTTTAGTGTTCTATTTTTGTGACAGGTGCGGTTTGTTTAAATCCAATAGCCTGTCCTATGAGAATTGGTTACTTTTGTCACTTGAACCTTACCTCCTTAGATTTCATTGTAATTTTAAAGCAAAAAGATTCTTTTTAGAGTAGCCTGCGTAGCATGGCGGTTATTTTTAGAGACGTGTCCTTTCGATAAGTATTAAGATATATATTTCTTGGTGGCGAGGTGACCGGATACCATACATACAGCCAGCTTCTTTTGGACTTGCACTAAGAATGCATGGAATGCATAGAACGCAATCTGGTCTCGGGCGTTTGAACCCGGCTTTTATCACTCATAATGTGATCACGCGTGATTTGACATTCTATCACGTGAAACTTACGCACTGCACAGCGTTGGTGGAGCAGAAGCGTTTTCTTTTTCTTTTTTTTCCGAGTAATTTTGATAGTATCATACTCACCCGCACATTGGCCTTCAATGTTTTCCATGTCCTCCTTGCAAACGCACCCCCCTCCAAGACGAGTGATATTCCATTCACCACTGCTCTCACAAAGAACATTCAAACTGTTCGAAACTAGTACAGAGTTGGCAGCACATTCTCCTAAAACTGAAATCGATTCACGGTCATTTGATGGTGCTAAAGTTCGCGGCACAGAGACCAAGGTTCTACTGAGTGTTGTTCGAGGGCAAACATTGTAGGTGACCTTAACGGAATTTAATGTTCTACAGCCACCTTGATCCCGAAATCCAAGCACAAAGTATCTTCTTGGTAAGACAAGTGGCACGGTCAAAACCGTAAAACCACTGGACTGACGGTTGAATGAAGCGAATCTTCTGTACGAACCGTTGATGTTTATGGGGTGCGGTATTTTGTCACGTAAGACAACTGAGTCGGATTCCCATACATAAGCATCAAAGTACTCTTTACAATACAGTGCAGACGGAGGACACTGAGTTATAGAGTACTCGACAGTGACGTCTACTCTGTTAACTTCTGTTACTTGAATGAGATCGCTAAGTAGCCAATTATTTGGTTCAAATGGAGATTTGTAATACGAAGAACCATCAGGTTTTAGAATATTGCACACAGTATACTTTGATAGTGCATTTATATCTCCAGGTACGGATGGGTGGTCCCACTAAAACAGACAAGAAGGGAGAAAAAGAAAGATAGAAAACTACATTAAAGTGCTGGCAAAAAGTACTGGTGTCCTCGCGAAATGACGTCTGAGTAAAAATAACGAGAACAGAAATTGAAAATGGTGACGCGTCCCTAAGCAGATGTAGATCGTGCTTCGGATTGGTTGAAGCAAATTTCCCACCCAGCACAACCAATCAGAAGGATTTTCCAGTTCTGCGTAGTGACGGGTCATCAGTATGCATTTTCTGGGCTCGTTTATCCGACGTTATTTTGCGGGGAAACTAATGGTGTCGCCACGAAATGTCAGCTGTTTTCTTATGCAGTTAAGAAACTGAATGAGCGTTACGTTTAGGCGTGATTTCTGTGTGGTGCATAAATGAAAGGAAACGCATAACCGAACATACTAAGGCGTTTGAAGAAAACGGTAATAACACCCTATGTTTACGACAATCCGTTTCTGTCATAGAAAATGGAATAGTTATATCAAATAGTTATATCAAAAGTAAGGTCTATAGAAGGCGGAACTCTTTCGTTCATGTATAATTCTTACTGTGAGTAAACGCAAAAAAAAAAAAACAACAACAACAACAACAAGCAAAAAAAAAAAGTCCGAAAAGTTTAACCTTCTTGAAAAAGATGTTGAATTTCGTTTTCAGCTTATATATTACCTATAAGGCTAGATTTCCGACTACGAAACTGTTTAAAAAGTTATCATCGTGTCGAGAGATTGGGTAAGGAGGTGTAACAGTAGGCGACGAATGTACGACTTGAGAACACCACGGTATGGGCTGGGAGACTCAAGAGGAAGAAATCAGACGTTGAATGAAAGTTTCAATTACTGTGTGTTATCACTGTTGATCAGTTCGTAAAACTAAGGTGATCCTTAGCCTCCCCAGTCCCCTTCCTTTTCTCTTCTTCCATATCCCTAACCCCTTTCGACGCCTGGGCTAAGACAGGAAAAATAAATGCTTTATACACTTACCCCGACAATTGGGCATGTTCTGCATTTAACTTCGTAACGCGTCCAAGTCCACTTGCATGAACTACAATCCGGTTTCTGCACCATCACGATCTGTTCTAATGCTGCCCACGAGATAAACGTCAAGGACAAATATACGACAGTCCAAAACTGTGCCATCTAGTTATATAGGGGCTCCAGCTAAATTAAATGGTAATGCAAAACGGAATAAGAAGTTATTGGATGATTTGGGAGTATACTACTAAGTGGTTTTCCTTTCTAAGTGAAAATTTCATATCAAGAAGAGTCAGTTGAGGAAAAAAAAGGCGTCTGAAGGGTTCAAATCCTGGCCGAATTAGCTTCGTTCACCAACATTGCCCCGTTTCCTTGCAGTTTTACAGCACCAATATGGAGACCATAGTGACTTTGGGTTACGTTCCAGCGTTTTGATCAACTAACCAAATGAATTTTAATGCATCAAAATTCATCCTGTCCACCGAGACTTCGGGGAATTTAACAAAAAAAATCATCACCTAACGGTTCAGGAACAGACGAATTAATGCATCTCGTTTGGTTTATTCCCCCAAGCCAAATATGAATTTCAACATATCGAAATTGGTCTGATGAGATATCAAGGAAGAAGCACGATTAAGCTTCAACTTCCGTATGCGAGGTCAAGCGTTTTAATATCAACATACCTATAGAGCAAGTTTGGTAGTTTGATCAGCTGTGGCAAACAAATGTAATCATGTCTGTTGCAATCAAGTAGATGAATCGAATATTTGTCGATCGACGGAGCCAAAACTGTTATGTCATTGAACATTGCCCAAAAGAATATGGCTATTCTTCCAAGCCCTGCCTGTAAATTCATAAAATAACAATGGCTATACGCCTTGGCTGCAAATGAATTTATTTTAATCAATCCACAAGTCCTGACAGTTTCCAGAATGACATGCGTGCTCAACCACACTGACCTGAACCTATGTTGTAAAAATTTGGTAGCGTGCTGTGGAATGAGTGTAAAACACTGGGAAAAAAATCTGAACCATAGGTAAAACTGAACTGCAACAAATTTCCGTTGCGTTAATTGCAGCGTAATCACGTTCGCCATTCCGACATGCGCTAGGTCTTGGGTTAACTATTGTACTTTCAAAACTAAAAAATCTTTTAATTGGTAGAAATTAAAAAATATATATATTTATGAAAATTTATATTTTTGTCATCAAGGCTTCGGGGAATAAAGCCAAAGAACTGCTTTTCTTTTGATCACGCTCGCCATTCCTACATGTGCTAGGTCCTGGGTTAACTATTGTAATTTTATAATTAACAATTCCTTTCATTGGTAGAAATAACAACTTTCATTCAGTAAAATTCATACTTGTCTTCAACGCTTCGGGGAATAACCAAGGTGATTTCTTTTGTCTTTTTCCCGTGGGGCCAAGTTTATAAATGTATTTTTATGAAACGATAAAACGAAAGCCAGCCTTGACTTATCGTTACGTCAAGGCGTGCACAATCGAATCCAAATGGAGTTTACACTGATGCCCCTCAAACACGGCTTACGACAAACTCACGTCGTCTTTCCAAGAGAGTTTGCGCTGTCTTTTTCAAGATGGTTACGACCAGCACTAAACTATGACCATGTGAGTTGCACGTTCGAAGGAACCGTCTCTCAATAAGGTACAATTCGCAGCGATTTTAATTCGCATTTTAGATCTAATAAAGTACGGTTATTTCCTTTAGCATTTAACTAACATGTCATTTACGCCACTGAACTAATTACACTATATTAATATCATGATCCACAGCATGTGCTCAGCAACAAGTTGCCAGCGGTTCACGCAAGCGCTTTGCAGACATTAAATCAGCTGCGACACTGTTGCTGCAATTTAGATCATAATTTTTTTAGTTATGATCCTTCTCTTTAGGGGCACCAAATTCCATAGAAGAACTAACGAACAATTGCTCGACAGTTAATGACTAATTACATACAAATTTACATCAAAATGTATTTTCTTACCAAATTTATGCACCTGATAGGACCGTATGTCTATCAAGTTCTTGAAGTTTTAGTATTGTAATTTCAAAGCCATTGCGGTATCATCTCCCTTTTAACACATCAAAAGCAGCTATTCTTACGAAATCCAACAGAAATGCTTGAGGCAAATTTTGTTTCCATCATTATCTGTTGTTCAATATAACAGGAAATGGCGTGGATACTACAGAATCTATGCAATTTACTCTATGTTCGTGTCGTAATTCATTTTCCCTAAATATTAACAATCGGTTTGAATATGAAAGTAGTTTATATTGGGTTTTTTGGTTAAGAAGCTGTGTCACGCGATCTGGCCAAACCCAGCCACTGAAATAGAAACCGTCTGGGAAACTGAGTAAAATGTGTGTGATTGAAAACCGTAATTATTATTAAGCTAAAATCTCCTTGTTCTAAACTCAAATACACAATTTCATTTTAGGATGTAAAAGGGGAAAATATAACGACAAGAAGAGCCTTAATTGCACAGGTAAGCAATAATTAATCAGATATCACGAATGCTAACCTGTAAGCTCGTTTCGATTAGTTCGTAAGAGTTAGTTTGAAACACTGCTGACAATAATTGTGCTACAGTCTTCTGTTGTTGTTGTTGTTGTTGTTATTATTATTATTATTATTATTATTATTACTATTATAATTATTATTCTAACGTTAAAGGTATGGGTTATCTTAACATGGAAGAAACGCCCCCCCCCCCAAAAAAAAAAGTTATTGATAGTCTGGTAAACAACAACAACAACAACAACAATTTATAATAATAAGAATAATAATAATGATAATAATAATAATAATAATAATAATAATAATGATAATAATAATTTTAATTATAACAACAACAACAAGACCAAGTGCTCAAAACTGTTAAAAGAATCCACAGAGCCACGAGAGTGACAGTAATACCCATCGTGATTGGTGCACTTGGAATTATCTCGAAGAATGCAAAGTCTTGGTATGGGAGGTTGAGTCTGCCTGACATTTTTGGAAGTACACAGTTCTCAGCAATCCATGTTACTGCTCATATCTTGGGGAAGGTGTTGTGTCTCTAAGCTGAGACATGGCTGAGAATACCCAGAAAATACCAGAGAACTGGAGGAGATTACACAATAATAAAGGTAAAAGTAAACCTTAAGAAACGAGGGTGGTCCAGGATTAAAGAGATGAACATGGGTTATAAAAAAGTTAAGGGTGATTATCTTTTCTATTTTGCATTGTAAGATGCGAACACCGCAATGCATCTCACTCATAGCATAAAAAAACATGCTCAGATTTTCAATCAAGATGGACATTTAATTCTCAAATATTTCTAGCCTGGCATCGAAAAATATACATTCTTTCAATATCTTGAATTGTAGGAATTTAAAAAATACATCGTCGTAAAAAATGCACATTTCTATGTAAAATGCTTAAAAATATCTTCTTTCATTTGTGTAAATAAATTGAAAATTGGAAACTATTACGCAAAGGTCTGAGTCTCTAGCTTGGCTAAGAAGAGAGAGGATAGTTTTGACTTTTTACAACAAATTTAAAACATCTTGCATACTCTAAAATCTTAAGAAGTTACAAAATAAGAAATCTGATACTATAAACCAAAGCAAACAAAAGAGAAATAAAAACTTAAAATTAAAATGGAGCCAGAAAGAGAAACGCAATAATATAACAGCTCATGACTTTTCCCTTTGACTACTTTTCTTTTCAGGATTAAAAAAAGCCTCGGACAAAACGATTGCCGTTCGTCGATAAGTCTAAAATTGCTAATGATATATATTTTTTTTTCGCAAAGACATCAATGTCATTTTCATATTTTCACAACGGCTTAGAGTTACCAAACTAAAGAAGATTTCGTTCGATTTTGAACATTAAAAAAAAAGAAAACAATTTAAAAATTCCGAGAATAAGCCGTACTTATTGGGGAAAAAAGAAACTGTCACAAGTACACCGTAAATTGAGGTGTCTACTGAATATTGTTTGGAACTCATTGACTCTTGTGTCCATGAGAGGGTGCCCGCTTTATGCAGTCGAGCCTCGGCTAGCGGATAGTTCCCGTAGGCGGACACCTTCCGAAAGGGGACCTCGCCCTTAACGCAAAAATCAAAACATCAAAATTCTCCTAAAAATCAATAAATAATCAATGGAAACGCTTATGAGGAATTAATAAAATGATTGCCAAAGAAAATGCTTTGATTTTTCATCGCATTCTCTCAACTTATTCTTTAAAGAAATGCCGGTATGGGGATAAGTGTGGAGAATTTATGTGTGGGTATTGGGACTTCACGAGTTAAGGTATTGGATCTACTGAGAACATGCTTCATTGTAGAACAGAGTTCTACCAATTTAAGGTGATGTTACACAAGACGATTCGCAACGACGATTTCAGCAGAACAAAGCCCTACAGCATTGTTCCGACATTGTTTTGAATAGTTACAACATTGTTCCAGCATTGCAACGCTGTGTTGCGCTAAAAATCGTTGCGAATCGTCCCTTGTAATATCACCTTAAAGGGGCTATGTCACGCTAATTGCTTTCTTTTTAAAAAGCTAAAACTTTCTTTGCGTCAATTGTATTCCAAAAATAATGACACAATTTTGTTATTTAACCGATATTTAGACATTCAAACTTTTTCCTGTCGTCTGTTACAACGGATGCCAAGGATGGATATGGCTGAAACTTAAAAAAAAGTTGGGCCAGTTTTTCCACCCTTTCACTGCCAGAGTGCTTGATAGAGTTTTGTAAGGTTACTCTAACATTTGAGTCTGCGGTCCAAATCCTATGAGGTGACCATTCAAATGAAACCTCTCTGCCTGTACTTACACATGGTGCTATTTGTTTCTCCAAATTTCACAAAATGAAATTTCGAAATTTGGTCGAAAATTGCTTTTAGTTAAATCTGGCAGTGAAAGGGTTAATACTACATCTGCAAAAATTACAGAAAAGTATTGTTTTATATCTTCTTCATAACTCCCCAGGGGCATTTTGTGTGTGGGTTAAAGGCACTAAGCATTGACGTCAGTACGGAATTGACCTAAAGCAGCAATATCCCCACGACATAGCCCCTTTAAAACCTACAAATAACAAGCACCACTATATTGCAGCTTCATCGTCGTCCAGTGCCCTGTTAACAAATTGTGATTTCATGGATCTTATGCTCTTGAGCATCTTATTCCTATGCCCAATCAGGGTAATTCCCATGCCTTTTAATTTCGTATCGTCCAGCCGAATAACTTTTTGGAGGCTCTTGATATTTGCAGCTTTGAAAACTTCTGAATACTTGTCCATGTTGATGAATTTCAGCCACTCGTGAACAGACCGGAACTGTGGAACATCAGGTTTTTCTGACCTGAAAGAACACAGTACATAGGCTTCAATTACTTTTCTGGTTAATCTCCATGGTTTATAAGTTGTGGAACTACTTTTTATGTGCCTTGGCTACGGATGACGTCCCAGTCTTAACACTATAAAACGACGGTCACATTATTGTCCCAAAGCAGTCCTGTGTAAAAGCCTTCTATGGTTCTTACTAATAATCTTGCATAGATGCTGGCCAATTGTGTAAGAACACTTTGTATGTCTAGTTCTACATGTTGAATACTGCAATTTACTTTCAAAAAATCTAATAACATAGATTAAATTAAACTACTTGTTTTAAGAAACAACTTACGTTGCTTTCACAGCCAATAAGTCATCATTCAAAACTTCAGGGAAACGGAACAATTCATCCAAGCGACGGACGATTTCTGCAAATTTGGGTCTCTTGTTCTTGTCGGCTTCCCAACATTCCAGCATTAATCCGTGGACAACTTTTGGACAACCCTAAGTAACAACAACAACAACAAATATGAAAAAGAAATTTACAACTAGAAAACAAGACATAGCATTTTAAGTTATTGTTATTTTGTAGTTGTTGCTGGAATTAGAACAAGCAAAAGAATCCAATACACGACCTTTCAATCACCAGTTGGACGCTCTAAGTATTCACTGAATTATGGGCGAGTGACTATAATCATGATAGGGCATAGGCCTGCCGTTAGTCAAGGAACTTTCCATCGATTCTTGCTGGGGAACTCGAATTTTTTCCGAGCAGTACATGCTTGTGTACTCTGGTTAATATCTTTAAATTCCTTACAATTATATTGTAGCAACATAACAATCATGCCAATTCCAATATCACAGTATAATTTTAAAAACAATTCCAATATTTTAGGCTCTTATATATAAAACCACTACTAACTCGAACCGCTCTGAAAAATTTGAGTTATTCAAATGATTAGGATTGACCTGTCTTAATTCTAATATTAATACTCACCACTGGATTGATTCAGTTCACTTGTGAATTGAGTAGCGATTTAATAACACGAAAAAACAAAAATGGCGAATAAAGACTTTGAATATGATTGTGCGTCGATCGGCATTCTCTTTGTCAGTGTTAGCAGATTTTATTCGGAATATTGTTACGTTCAAACAGTGGTTATTATTAATTTGCTTGGCAGAACATTTAAGTTGGCAATTGCTTGTGACAAGTTTTGCTGAGTGCAATCATGCCTTTACATTTTTGGTGGGAAGTAAAAATTTCCAGTCACCAACGAATAGACGAATCTTTGCTGACGTCATTGTTTTCCCCATTAGCATATGAGCTGACCCATAAAAGGTGTCGCCGTATGCACCAAAAATATATATTCATTAAGTTGAAAGAGTTGGTTTATTTGAGAAATTTGTGCAATGCTTTGCAAGCAATAACAAATAAATAATAATAATAATTATTATCATAATTATCATTGTAAAACAGCAGCCATCAAAAACTGCAAAATTGCTGAGTGGCAAAAACGAAACTATTCGGTATATCGGCCTCAGATTTTCACAGATAACTGAAATTGTTATGCTCTTTCGATATTCAGAGAGTTTCTTCCATAGTTCCATCAGAGAAGAAATGGCATATGCTAATAAGGCACAAAATGTAAACAAATATTCGCCTGACAATTGATATTTCCATAAGTCCATGTCCGGTAAAAACAGGTACATACCGTAACTAAGCAACAACAACCCCAACAAAACTTACCGTGGGAGGTGGAAGGCGATATCCCGTTTCCACTCGGCCAATCACCTTTGTGAAAGTAAAAGCAAACCAAAAAAGTTCGGATGGGTTTTATTTTTTTCTCCACCGGGATAGGAAAGATGGCATTTCTCCAATTAAAAAAAAGAAAAAAAAATTCTTGTAAATAAGGCAAACACTGTTGGTTTATTACAGTAATATCACCAATCAGGAGAGTCAACGACAAGAATCATTTTCTTCATTATAAAAGCAATCCTAAGTAAACATGGCCCATACCTTCAGTCCAAAGAAACAAACAAACGAAAACGAAAAAAAAAATAATAGTAATAGTAATAAATATAATAATGATAATGATGATAATGACAATAATAATAATAATAATAATAATAATAATAATAATAATAATAATAATAATAATATATTAATAAAAAATATATATTACTTTCAAACCCAAGACAATTAAAAAAGTTTATGCTTCAGCACTCAAGCGACCCAGTACCATACAAGAGTATGGAGACTATTTATTAGGCTGACGTTTAGATGAGTTGAAGGGGTTATAATGAAGGGTTATCAGTAAAAATAGTAAAGAAGTTTTGTCAGACAGGATTAGAGGTTGAACTGAACCGGTTGTCTGTCAAAAATTATTGTAACGAAGTAGATCAAATGACTTGGGTTTCCTGTCATGGAAATCCAATCAATTTGTCCCATCTTAAAGTGAAACCCTTAATCTCATTTGACACTCACATCATAGTTGTTCCAGTCCCAGTATGGTCTCTCGGCGAATGACATTATCTCCCAAAGAAGGATACCATAACTCCATACATCACTTGCTGAGCTGAACTTCCGGTGCTGAAGAGCTTCCGGTGCGGTCCAGCGCACGGGAATTTTGCCTCCCTAAAAGAAATGGAATCCGCACAGTCATTTTATGGCAATTTACAAATAAGCTTAGCATTCGATACCTCCAAAATTCATTTTGTTAAATGCCGAAAAAAAGTTCATTTAAAATATAATACCGCTGGATTTTATTTAGAAACTAAAAGGTGAGAACCGCTTTCTTACGAAATGTACTCTGGGAGTGAAAATGTTAAAGATCCAGCAAAGAATCTAAAGGCTGCTAAAGTCCGCGAAACACAAAACGAAGATCAAGTTGTTTTACCTGTGTCTCATATTCTGAATCAGGTTTGTCATCAGCCAGTTCCCTTGAAAGGCCAAAATCAGATACTTTACAAGACATGTTCTCACCAACAAGAATGTTACGAGCGGCGAGGTCCTGGTGTAAAAGAAATCAGCACGAAAGACAAGTGGGTGAAAATATGTAACTATAGCTGCTTTATAACACATAAGTTAAGAAGAGAACCCATCATTTATTACGGTTTGGCCTAAAGCAGAAAAAATATCGGGAGGAAATGGTCTTGGCGAAAGGGAAATGTGGTCTATACGACTGCTTTCCAGTCGCTTTGCAAATTGGTAACCATGGCAGGGTTTTCTCTGATGGTATTGGGCTGGTCTGCAGGGCGGGATACCGGGGGATCTCTGCCCTCGGGCGAGTCCAATATCGAAGGTTTTGAAGTAACTGAGGACGATGACGCAACGCTTAACCTTATTCCATTTCCATTTTGCTGACAAGCCTAACGTTGAGACCCGGCCATCTTCATGTAGATCAAATAACAGAGCAGGGATGTCCCTGCATCCGTCATTCAGCTGGTTATCTAATAATTGTCCGTTCTTCTACCGCGCAGGAAAGTTTCCACATGTAAAGGATTTGCGTTAGTTTCAATTGCCTACCCGGTGAATAAAGTTCATCTCTGAAAGATAGACCATTCCATTTGCCACGCCTCTAGCCATTCCCAACAACTGAATAGCGGCAATTTGGCCATTGCGACCCTATGGACAAATAAAGATGCAACATATTTAATAATTGCAATACTAGTCTGTAACAATTTGAGAGAAAATCTGATAATAAAACAAAATTCAAAGGACTCTTAAAAAAAAAGTAAAGTCAAAGGAACAATTTGAAGCATTTCATAATCAAAAATAGATGAATAAATATATTTATTGAATACAGGCAAACGAGTTTTGCCTTCGCTATAACGCAGCTTTAAAATGCGGTGTCCTTTCGAGTTAACGTCAATTCACGGAAATTATGAACATACTAGTCATAAAACGTACTTTTAAAAAATTGTCCAATGAACCACTCTCGAGAAACTCTGTTAGGATCATCATTGGTCTACCTAAAATGAGAATGAAGGAAGCATCTTAAAGAGGTTAACTGCTTGTGGTTGATAGCCTTATTATACGCTCTTAGATGGTTGTTGCTGTTGTTTTTGGCTAGCTAATGGAGCATAGTATCTCAGCAACTTTAAAAAAAAAAAAAGAAAAGAAAAGTAAAGCCGTGTGCCCAACGTTAAATTTTTAACTCTTAAGAATTGGGTAACATCAATTTTATCCAGATAATATCAACAGCGTGTCACAACGTTAAAAGAAACGTTATGAGAATCAGATAATGATCAAACCAAAAGAAACGTTTGAGAATTTATTAAATTCTCTCAATCATTCTTTAAGGAATCTATGGAGATCATTGTAGAGACTTTTTATGGGAATATTACGCCTGAAGGGTTAATCGGTTAAGACGGAATCCATCAGGAAATTGAGTAATTTTAGTTTTCGGTGGAAAACCATCTTGTACCAGAATAATATAAAGCATACTACATTTTTTTTTTTTAACATTTTTCAAGGGCTAAAGATGTAATAAATCATCTGTAGTAACACCGAAGGAAATTTTTCATGGAAGTCCGAGAAAATAAATGTCACATTTCACAAGAATTGTGGTTATAGAGGTGAAATTCTAAAAATTTCATGTGTAAGATGCAATTTTGCGAAATTTGACATTCATTTTCTCGTTCTCCCTCAGGAAATTTTTTCGTATTACTACAGATGATTTATTACATCTTTAGCCTTTGAAAAATGTAAGAAAGAAGACATTATGCTTTACATTATTGTCCAAAGAAAATCAAAATTACTCAATGTCCTGGTGGATTCCGTCTTAAACTGTAGCAGAAGAACATTTTCCTAAAAGTACAGCACAGGGGGGGCCCTGAGGGGCACGCCGCGCAAAACGTCACACAGAAAGAAAGAAATAAAAATTTCTTGGCTTTTCCCCAAATGTTCAGTGCCCCTCCAAATCATTCACTGTTGCCTGGAAATCAGTGCAGACTTACTTTGTGTAACAACTCCTTTCAGCGCAATCACATTTGGGTGATCAAACTGGCCCATGATAGATGCTTCTGACAGGAAATCTTTCTGGTTCTTCTCATTTGAGCCGGGCTAAACGCACACACAAAAAAATAGTACCTTAAACTGAAAATCAACTAGGGAAGTAAAAATTCGAGAATGGCAAGGCCTTGGAATAGGCGCTTTTGATTTGCTTAACTAAACATTAGACAAATGTGGGTCAAACAGGTACTCACAATCAATGGCATGCATAAATTTCTGGGCAAGAAAGTAATAGCCCAATGTTATACTCACTCTCAAAACTTTGATTGCCACGATTTCTTTCCCTTTCGGAGTTTGCAGTGTTCCCTTGTAGACATCAGCAAATTCCCCTAGCAAGAGAAAAGAAACAAACAATAAGTAAATACGTAACTATTATTAAGGGACTTTCCAAGAATAATGATAAAGAACATTTTGGCAACAGGTGTTTCATATTGAACGACGTAACAATCTTTAAGTTCCGTACTGAGCTGGTTATTTACGAGGGCGGTCGAGAAATTGAGCTTGCATGAGACTAAATTCGACTGAATAAAATCCAGCTAACGGTCAGTGAAGGGGTCGCGCAAGCAGGAGTCACGTACTGAGGCACTAAAGGCAAATTCACAATAGAATAGAGTGTTTAGAGGAAAGAGATACACGTATGACATCATATCACTATCTCAGAATAAATTTCTGTAAGAAATTGAAGAAGATCGGAGGCGAGAAAACTAACCACCAGTCAAGCAAAAAGTAAAATCGGCTTTATGAAGCAAGAGCACCAGCTTCACAAGACTATTACATCCATATGGTCCACTCACTAGCAAGATGCAGGACAAAGACGGAAGAAAGCATTAACTCGCCGGATTTTTTAACCTTCTTGCAGATCACATTTTGATGCAATTTTTATATGTAGCTTCCGATCATAGGGTACGAAACAAAGAAAGAAACAAACTAACAAGAAAAAATCTCATCCAAAATGCAGAAAAAAAAATTCTTACCTTGCCCAATAAGTCTATCGAGCTTTGTTTTACTTCTTTCGATTTCTGTTGTAAACGTTGACAGCAATTCCATTAGATCAAGGTAGTTTCCTGGGTCGATATAACGTCGCTGATCCATTGCTTGTAGATCAGTTCCTGTTGCAACGGAAGTTGATTTAAGTAGCTGAGTAAGAGTAATTAGAGAGGTTAAGCATCACGTTTACGTCAAACGGCAAACGCGAATTTGTACCACGTGACCAACTTTCCCCTTTACTTGCCGTTTACTGTTCACTTACTACTTCATCGTTTGCCGTTCATTTTTTTTAATCCATAAGGATTGTTTTGAGCTGTTTTTATCTGCTCATTTTCTATTTTGAAAAATTCTCAACTTGATTCTGACGCTTTGCCGTTTGCCATATACGTGAAACTTAATAACTAGAGTAGAGAGGTAAAGGTTCACGTTTACGCCAAACGGCAAACGAGAATTTGAACCACGTGACCAAGTTTTTCCCGTAATTATCGTTAACTGTTTATTACTTCAACTAAAAAATAAGTAGTTTCACGCCACTTTTATACATAAGAATTGTTCTGGATAGTTTTCATCTCCTTATTTTCTATTCTGAGAAATTCTCAACTTGAATCTGACGTTTGCCGTTTGGCGTAAACGTTAATCTTAATCTTGAATCTCCCTACTGAGTAAGATGTAACGCGTGGGGAAGGGAAACTATTTAATTTGTTCATACCTTGCTCTATAGTACGCATATATTCCTTCTCTACATTTCTTCGACTGCCCCTGAAATAACAAGAAGCTGAACATTAAAAGGACTTTCCTTCCATCGTCACCCATAAAACAATTTAACCATGAGTAAAACGTTCAATAAAAATCTTAAATTTCTCCCAGCAGAATAAGCGAAAAAAGCGGCACGATGCAACTGAGTCCGTAGAGGTTTCAATTTAATGGTCACACCATGGAAAAAAAGAGGTAAAAACACATAGCACATAAATAAACAGTAAAATGTAAATAAATAAATCTATAAATAAATAGGGTCATGTGGAAATGCTGCTGAAGAGGTATCATTGCAGTTAGTGAAACCATAGAATTTCATTCCACAGAATCTACTGGACCAATGAGTGATAGGCAATGCGAGTGACAGGCATATAGAAGCTTCCGTAACACTCCAGTAATCATGTGACTTCACGTTAAGTTCTAAGAAGTAAGGAAAATCAGAGATTTATCTTTACAAATTTCTTATAGAAAGTATCAACAAACTTAGTACCTTCTGAAGCGAAAGACGACAACGATGACGATAATGAGGATAAGTAACAGCAAGCCTCCTCCTCCTGCGGCGCCAATAATCACCATTTTGTCCTTGGTTGATAAACTACTTCCTAAAATATTTAAAGAGTTGACGACATTGATTAGTAGAAGTTAGCACTTTCATCAACGTACCCCCAGAACAGAGAGGTACAAGAGACTCTGCACAGTTACAATTGAAATGCTAAAACCGGCAATACTATAACTGGGGGATATTTCCGTTTTTATTTCCTCTTTATAGGTAAGAGCAGACCTCCACTGATTGGCCCGAGCCTCGACAAACGCCAAACCCTAAGTGAGTTGAGCAGATTCAATCTCAGTGCAACAGAAGTTGAACAATTAACATTACCAGACAAATTGTTTGGGATTGTAAATCTCTTTACGCCAGGTGGCCCTTGTCCGAAGTTGTTGACGGCAGTTACCTACAAAAATGAAAATAAGCAAACAGCTGAGACATTTGGTTGACTTGACGTGCCTTTATAAGAACATAGCCACCATCGCTTATCCAGACAGTAACCAGGCCCTAAAAAGTTAAACGGCTGTCAAAGCCTGAAATAAATAACCAGTCAGATGGTCAACCCAACACCGCCCGTATTAGCTCAATTGGATAAGCGTCAATCTGCCAAGCGCGATGTCGCTGGTTCAAAGCTTGACAGCCGCAATATGTATAAAAGGGATATTGATGCTGGTGTTACTGCTGCTACTGCTGCTGCTGCTGATGATGATGATGTCAGTTCGTCAATAAATCAATAGTCATATTCAGTAAATCATTTCCAGGTTCTGTTACAGCACGATGGTTAGAAAGAAAACAACTTACCTGGAACTGGTACGTTTTTCCGACACTTAATTTTTGAATCCATTGTTCTGTCTCTGGGGTTGTCAAACTCTCATGGTCAGAAGTATCATGCACGTCAAAGTACGTCACCATGTATTTTTCTATTATGCCATTTTTGCATTTTAGTTTCCATGACAATACGATAGCACCATCTTCGGCTTGCTGAACAGACACTTCCGGTATGCCAGGAACTGTCGCGAAAAACGTAAGTATGGATAGTTGTAAACAGGCGACATCACAAAAAAAGAAGAAGAAACGAGGCTTAGAGAAGCAACGAGAGATGTTTTGTATCTTTTCCAAGTGAATCCCGCGTTAGTAACATCATAAGAGCCCATCCCTCCACTTTCAATATGCATACTCTAGGAGAGGAGACTAAGATTCCATTTTTCATTTTAAAGTTAAAAAACGCCAATCAACAAGAATGGTTAAACCTTAACATATTTCTACACTTTGAATTAAAAATAATCGTTTAGGTTTAAGGGAAAAAAAAGTAAAGTCAACAAAATGAGGAAGCAAGTGGATTCGATCGCATCGTATACCCCGGGTACAACAGCCGGTAGTCTGCCTGCCCAGCACTGGAATACCGTCGGAGAGCCTTACAAGGTGTCTTCTATGTTACGAAGAGACTAATGTTTGCCAGTGGAAAGACGTTCCCCATTAATTTGCGCTAGGCCTGCACTGTATACCCATACGAACGTTCAGAATAACTCTGATCTTTAATTATTCTCCTTACAACCAATTAACAGTCATGAAAGAAAAGACGTGACAGTTACACTAATAACCTACAGATTTTGTCTTATCAAAATTAAACAAAGTCATTGAATTACCAGATCCGTTTGTTTTGAATGTTATTGTGGTGCTCCTTGCTTCGACCTTGTGTTTTCTTGCGGCTACCTCACTGACTCTGTTCTTGGCCACGATCTTGCAAGTGTAATTTACAAACGGGGAAAGCAAACCCATTGTCCCCGGAATCGTCACTGTAGTGGCGTAACTTTTGTTCATAAATACGACACCTGCATTGTTATCACCACCACAGATTTCTTCAGTGCAGTCCTTGCCATCAATTTCGCAAGTGCGTTGACATTTAACTTCGTAGAATACCTGGTCACCAGTTATCTTGGGAGGCTGCCAGTTCATCGTAGCTGAACTTTGGTTAACAAAAAGTGTAACAACATTTCTCGGGTGCGATGGGATGGCTAAATAAGAAAAGAAAAAAACACAATAAAGAGATTTTATTCCGCCAATAATTAAGTTAAAAAATGTCTTATTTTATTTATAACTCTAATCTTTTGCTCATTCTTAGGATTCGCCTCTTACTTGTACGAAACTATTGACATGAGTGAGTCAATTGATTAACTTTTTTAATGGACTAATTGTATACGCATCAGTCGATTCATTGGTTGGTTACTGAGTTGGTTGGTTGGTTGGTTGATTGAATGACTGAAATAAAGTGTTGTTGTTGTTGTTGTTGATTGATTGATTAATCAATTGATCATTGCCGTAAATGTTGAATGACAAGTAAGATTTCGGAATCACATTCGAATAAATCATAGCAGAAAGAAGAGTGCCCATAAAAAAATGAGAAAAATAACTGATTACACACCGGTACAGTTAAGCCCCTTTGCGTCGTTGTAAGTTCCCTGGGAACAAGCTGAAATAAAGGGAAAATAGTAATTATAATTTAAAAGGATGTTTACATACATACAGTCGAACCTCCCGTAAGCGACCGCCCAAAATGCAAAGGCTTGGTGGTCGCTTACGAGAATCGGACCGCAAGAGCGGAATTTTTAAGTCAACCTAGAATGGAGTGGTATTTTAAAAAATAATGGAAGTTCACTTTCCCCTGCCAATTACTGGTAGTTTTATTGACACAATCATTCAGCTATACTATGTGACAGTCCATACACGGAAGTGCAATTAATTACGCGCATTATAAATTTGTGGTTGAAAAATGTTACTTGTGAACGTGACTTCTAAAACATCTGAAGAACAAAAACTCATCTTCTTAAACTAAAACCTGGAAATATAACTCCTTCTTACGGGTAATGGTTAAAACTGTAGTTATAGATCGAACTAATAAACACAGTCATAGATGTGTAGACAATTATGACAGCAAAAGAATAAATACCTTTTCGTCCATTTTTACAATGTACTTCACTGTTTAGTAAGACCATGTGTCCAGTGGTCGATTAGCGGAGGTTGAAAGCAAAAGAAAATTCTAAAACTGTCAGCCGAAAAAGTGGTCGCGGTCGCTTATGGGAGGTGGTCGCGCGTTTACGAGAGGTTGCAGTATGGCTTTGACTAATGACATTTTTGGTGTTTTGGGAAGGTGGTCGCCTGCGGCAGGTGATCGCACGTGGAAGTTCGACTGTATTATAACCTTAAACCTTTGCCTGCTACGTCGCTACATCGCTGACATTTCACACCGTGGGCTGGCTACAACGTAGGCTATCCGTTACTTTTACAGTAACCGGTCGCGGGGCAATCTCTTTTAATACTCTTGCCTCCAAAACCGCATAAACAGTTTGGTAAAGTTTGTTTCAAAGTCGACTACAGATTTACGCTCTAGTTTGCGTTCTTGATAAGTGTTTATAAGAGCTTATACCTCTTTTTAAGTCTATGGCTCGGGCGTGCCCATACCTCCCCCTCACCCCACCACCCCCCCTCTCACCCCCCCCCCCAACTCCCTCCAGGCATTTGTCGGGCATTTATCATTTTGTCTTGGAAAAGCTGCTAATGCCCCATGGTGGGGCCGGGCGCTCATACATTTACGAACACCCCACGGTGGGGCTTACAAATACGGTACAAATGCCCTACCCCGGAAAAACACAAAATTGCATTTTCCAGTAAATAAGCTGCAAAGACCATATTTATGGAAAATTATCTGTAATAATCTGATCAAACTCGCGCGTGAAGTACCCTAATCAAATAGTTCCTAGCCGCTAGTTATAATTATTGCAAAAAAGATCACATTGATCTGATTAATACTCAATGACAGAATTATAAATATAATTTTAATAATACCTTGCTTAGTTTCGAAGACGTTTAATATACGGTGAATGATTAAAAATCTACCGACGCCCTTTACATGAGTATTATCTCATCACCATGGAACCGTTGAATTGTCGCATTGATCGTACAATACAGGAAGTTTGTATTAGCTTTCAAATATCTCCTCTGTTTCTAGCCCTTTCTGCCTCGAAAATTCACGCACAAAAAAAATGTATTTTCCTTTAAACTTTTCAAACAATACATTAATTGTTTTTCCTCCATGGCCAGCAGATCACGATTGGGGGAAGCAATTTCCTGGATGCAAAATAACTGTGAGTTAGAGAATTTGTGATGGAGCGAAAAACACGCATATCGTTTTAAAGCATAGGTATTAAAAATATTCTTTGTAAAGCTACCTAAATAGATATATATTTTTTTAGTGAAATATTGAAAAAGGAACGACGTTAACCGCCTCTAGAAGAATTGACGAACGCCCCACCCCCAGGCAGAGGTTTTCTGACAAATCCCCACCACCGGGACAGACAAGATGACAACTGCCCGACAAATCACCGGGAGGGGGGTGGGGGGGTACAGTTGGAATAGAATGAGCCATTACCTATTTTCCCTCCGATTTTCTTGTCCACTAAACAGTCCAAACGAGGACCGCTTTAAATTTAAGAGCGCAAAAGCTTCAATTTTGGAGGCACGCTCAAATTTCCATGAGACACCCATGAATATTGGTGGTAAGTTCTAGTTAAGTATGTCCTCGAAACAGGGCCAAAATCCTCATTCTGGGCCCCCAGCTGTTGAACCAGGATTTGGGTACGCGCCTTACATGATTAGCCTCTCCAATCAGCTTGAAGGGAAATTCGAAACGATTCTCCGTTACTAACCAGAGTTAGATAGATTACGTCTACGACGGGGTAAGATATGTCCATCATCCTATAACTACCCGATATCACAAGTAACTAGCAGGTAAGACCAATATGAAAGGGAGTTATTACCATATCCATAACTTGACATACCTGTACATGTCCCTTTAACATTTTCCTTGTCTTCGTTGCAGACGCATTTCCCTTCAAACTGACTGACATTCCACTGACCACTGCTTTCACACGTAACATTCAAACTTCCTTGAACATGGAACGAGTCTACAGTACATGTTCCTCCCACTAGGATGGACTCAAAGACACTTGATGGAGCTACTGTTTCCCGCAATTTGACCAAACTGTCGTGGAGTGTTGTTTCGGGACAAATGTTATAGGTAATCCTGACGGAAGACAAAATTTTGCAGCCACCTTGATCGAGAAATCCAAGAACAATATATCCCTTTGTTAGCTGAAGTGCTAAAGAGATGGTTTGGCCGCTACCCTGACGGCGGATAGTAGCAAATTCTCTGTAAGAACTGTTGCTGATCAGGGGATCCGGTACCAAATCAGATGTGACCTTTAAATCGGATTCCCATACAAAGACTCGAATATTGTCGGTACAAAACGTGTTGGGATGACTGGAGCAAAAGGGATTTAGTGTGTATCTGACGGAAACGCTCACTCTGTCAATGCTGTGAACATCAATAACTGTACTTCGTAACCAATTTTTCGGTTCTTGGAGAAACGAACTACACAATGTATAATGATTGGACACAGGAACGTAATTCCACTAAAAATAAACAAAGAAAGAGACAAACTTGTTAGTCAGCAAATGAAAATAAAAAATATACTGTAATACTAAGTTACGAGAAGTCAACCTCTGACTAATGAACAACAACAGTATGGTGCCCAGCACATGCAGATTAGAAGTACGAAACTCAGGAGTGTAAAATAACACGGGCATACGGACAGAAAACATTACTTAAGAGTCAGTTGTACTTTGAGAGAGGTGCCCGTCTTACGGTGGTGTCCTTTGAGAGTGAGGGAGAGTCAACTATGATGCACCCTGAACACCATAAGAAAGCTGCTCTTTGACAAATGGGATGCTTATAATCTGGATACTGAGGAAAACAACAACAAAACTAGTTTAATTACATTCAACGAAGACTTTCCATTAGTGTTAGCAATCCAGCCTCCCCAATTATTTTCATTTCGTGTTTGATACAACAGCTTTTCTTCTGCTGATATCCATGGTATGAACGCCAATATGGTACAGATTGCAAACCAGCAAAACTCCATAGCAATCAAACAATCAGGTCACAGTTAAACCTAAAAAAAAAGGAACAAAATATTGAACATTCCTCGTAATCTTATTCCTTCATAACCGTTTCCCTCGTCAGTTTTTTGTTAAAAAAGAAGGATTTATGCGAGGAGGTTATTATCAGTAAGCCATAAGAACCTGGAGTGATACAACCGACAAAAGAATTGAAGACAGGAAGTTAATATAGTCACGGTCCTCCTTCACAGGCCTTTGAGGTTAGTAATTCAGTAGTACCTTTGGATTCCATTCAATCCTCGTACAGTGTACATGTTTTACCACGTTTACGTAGATTAAAGTGCCTCTTCAACATTACAACGACTTAGAGGTACTTTAAAGGGAGATACGAAAAAGACTGAATTGGAAAAGGACGAGGGAGGAGTAAGGGTTAACGACACTATCTGTTCGGTAATCTTGGGATCCAACTATTCAACAGACTCCTGTGAATAAAGCGTTTAACTTAGGTGGCCAGTGGCTATGAAAAATTATTGGAATAAAAAAAGCGTTTAGACAAGAAAAGGAATTAACCACCCAAGAATAGTTTGGGACCATCGTAATCGGCTTCTGTCGTATTGCTCAAGGGCACCCATAGACTGTTTTCTGTAAAATATCAGTTCGGAGAACCAAATATTGCCTAGAATTTCCATTGCTTGAGGACGGCAAACAATTTGTTCACGATCGTTCCATTCACGTACAATTTTCGAAGCTTATCTAATATATATTCCCTAAGATTTCCTGAAGTTTAATTTTCACATTTAACTTCCTAAGTTAGTCTTTTTTCTCTTTTTTTGTTGAAAAAAGGAAACCGATAAATTGTTGGATTCAAAAATGCGACGTCAAAAATGCGATGGAGATTTGAATCAGAAAATGTCTCACTTTCGTATACGTCAATTTGCACGTAAAATTTTCGCGAAAATAATAATTAAGGCCTTGTAATTTTAAAAAGACTCAAGTTTCCCTTGAAGAAACAGATAACAATTTTATAGCGCCGCTTAGAATGCAATTCTAGAGATCTAAAACTACTCTGGTAGCCTATAAAGTGTTTTCAATGTCTTCAGGAGGACACCGTCGTTGGGTCAGCCCCTGATTTAGCCTCCCACGCAGACGTTCCTAGGGGTCTGATTGGGACCCAGACGATGTGATGTCACAGGAAACGGTCTGAACGGCAACTAACTCAAGACGATATTGTTGACGTAAAAACAGTATCGGACTGTATGAGCTACAGATAACTACAACCCGCTTTTTTGTTCTGAGCTCAGTTAAAAGTAGTTATATTTCCATATATTTGATATTCATCCAAATATATGTTGTACATGGCCAAATATTACAGTTTTCACATTTAACTTCCCAAGTTAGTCTTTTTTCTTTTTTTGTAGAAACAAGGAAACCGATAAATTTTTGGATTCAAAAATGCGATGGAGATTTGAATCAGAAAATGTCTTACTTTCGTATACGTCAATTTGCACCTAAAATTTTCGGGAAAAAAATGATACTTAAGGCCTTGTAATTTTGAGAAGACTCAAGTTCCTCTTGGAGAAATGAACAGATAACAATTTTATAGCGCCGCTTAGAATGCAAATCTAGAGATCTAAAAAGTGTTTCGATGTCTTTAGGAGGAAACCGTCGTTGGGTCAGCCCCTGATTTAGCCTCCCACGCAGAGTTCTTAGGGATTCGTCGCGCGTTCCTGCCCCAGGCTACCCTGATTGGGACCCACAAGATGTGACGTCACAGGAAACGGTCTGAACGGCAACTAACTCGAGACGATATTGTTGACGTAAAAACAGTATCGGACTGCACGAGCTACAAATAACTATAACCCGCCTTTTTGTTCTTAACTCAGTTAAAAGTAGATAAATTTCCACATATTTGACATTCATCCAAATATATGTTGTATATGGCCGAATATCACAGTTTGGAAATACTTGGTATTAATAGTTAGATGTAACATCAGTTTTAAAACTTGTCAAAACAGCACACTGTCCTTACGCTTCAAATGTTACTACATATGTTCTATTTCCCTACCTGTCAAAACGAAACCATTTCAGGAGAAGACGAAAACGCTAATCGACTCAAGCAGAACTTCCTAAAGGAACAATTAATGAAATAAAAATAGATAACCCATCAAAAGCAATTATTCCTGGTATTTACAGCAATAAATTATCATTTTAACTGAAAGAACAACAACAACAACACAAATCATGGTTGGACTGATGTAAAAAAAAAATGATCTAAGAGGGAAAGAAATAAAAGAGATTAACAAGAATTAAAACAGGAGAGAAATTAAGAATAAACCAACAAATTAGCAGCTGCTTGTATAGAAGCCGTTGCCGTGGAAGCATGACGAGGTATTTCCGTGTGGCTAAGTCAACTGTTTTAATATAATTACTTGAGGCCTTCGCGTAATTAACTAGTTGACTATGCAGTATAACATTTGTCGTCATCGCCATATAAGACGTTTTAATTTTCATATTTAGAGCTGCTCACAGAGAAGAAAAAAATGAAAGTAGACTGCTGGCAGTCCTTGGCTTATTCATTTTGTCATGTAGATGACTCGAGAGAGCGAACTAAGGAAGTTCATTCTGAAAGGGAACTATAGAGCGTGTGAACTCGCCTCCTTCGGCTCGCACGTAACATCCCGGTTTGCGGCCGTGCGATACCAGTAGTCTAACCGAAAACCACACGCGTTGAAGTAACACTTCGTTGCCAGGTCCTATGACACAACCACCTTTGACCGCGGGTTGTTGTTCTTTAACATATTGGCTACGAGAAACTTGATCTGGTGGATTGACGTCTTCGGCGATTCTCTTCCATGTAGCAATACAATTATAAAGCAACGAGTGAAGACTAAATTTAAAAGGAATCTGCTTTCGGACAAACTTTCACTCGCTACAAAAACCGAAACCCCTTTATCATTGTTATTATAATAGTAGAAAATCAACACCAGTACAACAATTTACGTGATCTAACAAAAGTAATAAAGTATCAGAAAGAATACAAAGATCACGAATAGAGTAGACCCTTATCTGACTGTTTGCATCGCCATCTTCAAACAAGCACATTTATAGCCAACGCCGCTTATCTCGAGAGGGAAAGTTGAGAACTAGGTTTTATAGCTATTCTTACAATCTGTAAGCTTCAAAAGAAGTAAAACGATTACACCTTCCGAACGAAACCAAAACATCAGTTTGTTTGAGGTCACCCAGGAAATAAGCGAGCTTCAACCAAGATAATTTGCTTTCTACAATACTTCCACGTTTGGAATTCACGAAATCGAAACCAGACGACATAGTTCGGCCGAGTAGATCTATTATTCAGTAAATTTGGAAGCGATTAAACAGAATTGATAAAACGAAATTGGTTGAACTTACACGCCGTCACGAGCTGCGTTCGTCATGAGCATATTAAACTATGGTAAGTGATAAACTAACAGCTGAAACTTACCAAGTAGAACCCAGCCAGGCAGAGAGTAAAGATGTCGAAGAATCTTCAAAAAAGTTAAGTTCAGAGGCTGTAAACCGGAAAATGTAGAATGAAACACTGAGCGGTTCTGCGCGTTAATGATTATGCGAATTTGATATTATGCAGAAGGCAATAATTATTACAAACAATACCCTAAATGGTCACACAATAGCCTCTCTACTAAATGATCACGCAGCACAGGCTAAGTGAATTCGCGTGACGCAAAAAGAAACGTATTGAAAATCACAGGTAACCCTACCCTGGGTCCCAGATTTTTTTTTTTCGTATCGGTACTGAAGGTTCGGGGCGGTCTCTAGCGAGTTTTAGTTCTACCGTTGCTCTCTCTCTCTCCCTTTCTCTCCCCCTTCTCTCCCTGTAGAGTCCCTGTAGTTCTCCTGGATTCTATATGAAGCAACGGAAGGATGGCGGTAGAAAAACTCGCTAGAATCGTGCTGAAGGAGGCGTAAGGGTTTGCGGTGATGCGGTTTTGCTCGATATTTTTGTGCGATTTTGCAGAAACTGCGGTATTGCAGTTTTACACATCCAAGCGGTTTGCGGTATTTAGAAATTAATTTCAATGCGGTTTGCGGTTTCCTCATGTTATAAATAAGACAAGGCGGCAAGCTGAGCATTCTTTTTATGCATTTTTATTTCCATTTAATGCCCTCATGCTAAATAACCACCGCTAAATTCTCCATACAAACCCTTGTGATATTTCTGCTGCGTCAACGATTCTCACTCGTGACCTTTGGGTACCTGTGTTGAAAACAGAAAAGACATTTTATCAGAGGGGATCATAAATCGGTCGGCCCGGCCTTCTAGCATGTGCACATGCAAAATTTCTATCTATATAAAAACGAAACAAGCATCCTATCAGAGAAGAGAAATTGAGGAATCCGGATTTGAATAAATAGTGGTCGAAATCTTGTACTTACATTAAGTATATGGGACTGATATTAGACCAAATTGTTGAAGGAATTGAATGTACGTCACAGTACGTGAGCCGCCGAAGTGACCGTTCTGGAGTGCTGGCATACCCTTATTTTGTTGATTTTATTTATTGTTTTTATATAACCACTTATTCTTTTATTTTTAGCAATTTTTTTCTTATGATCTTCGCTGAAGATCGCAAAGGGAACTCTACTGGTTGATCGTGTGGATGGTCAGATCGCATAGGGTAAATATTTTATGTATTTATGTATTTCTTTATTTCTTTATTCATTCGTTATATTTCTTTTATTTTTGTTTTTCATCTGCCCTCCTGAGCCGTGAGGGCTATGTCTGCAAAGCGAGGGTTGAACCAGTCTATGAAGCAAAGGATATTTACCACGTTTCTATTAATGCTGCCCTTGAAAAACCCACTACGAAATCTTGATGGCTTTTGCTTGCTCGTTTGCTTGTTTTTGTCAGCCATACACTGTATCCAGCTTTAAAATGTTTCCTTTGAAGTAACCGTAATTTACATTGAATTTGCATTGAGATGTTTTAGTTCTTTTAAACACATTTCACTTCAATGTTGACTTTTAAAAGGATAATTAGTTCATCTGAATCATTCAGTACAGCTTAGTCACTGAATAACTGGATCTTTCGCCTGCTCAATGCAAATACCAACCGTTCGTAGTTTTTATTTTGTCATTTTAAGGAATCCTGAGCGAAGGAAACTCGCATTCTTTTGCACAGCTTTACTGCTGAATCTTTGTAGTTTCCGGCGAAATTCAGATCATTTCCTTGACTGACATTTTAATTTTGAGTCATTTAGTTTAGCATATAAACTTTAAAGCTTATTCAGCCTTCCCTCCATTTGATTTGTGAGTGTAATAAGTTGATCGGTTGTAGAGCACTGTTATCCCTGTTTTTCGATTTACACTGCGATTTACATGGATGAGTTACATGTTGGATGCACACGCATACTTGACTTCCACGGGCTGAAGATTAATCTGTTGAAGTCCAAGTTTGAGTGCTGTCCTGTTTTCCAGTTGTAGCAGAGTGCAAGCCATTGTTCGATGACTCGCAGGTAGCTCGAACCAAAGATGATTATAAATTTTCTACAGCAAAGGACCCTCTGTTTAATTCCACCGGCTTCTGTAAAGTAGAGGATCATTGCAGGCAAGAACACAGATGTGATTGTCGGAAGTCAGAAGTCAGAAGTGGGAAGTGGGAAATGGGAGGTCAGAAGTCTAAACATGGAAGTAAGAAGTGGGAAGTGGGAGGTCAGAAGTCTAAACATGCAGCATTGAGTCCCAACGGTCAGAAATCAGAAATCCGGAGTTCGAACTATGTCAAGTCTGAAGTCTGAAGTTTGAAGTATGAAGTCTTAGGTCTGAAGTCTCTAAGTCGGAAGTCGGAAGTCAGAAGTTGGAAGTTGGAAGTCGGGAGACGGAAGTCGGAAGTCGGAAGTCAGAAGTCGGAAAACCCTCCTCGGCTTTCATTACGCTGTCCATCCAATGCTTGCAGCTTGGTCTTAGGTTTACAGTTTTTAAACTGTAATTTAAAAATTACTAGGAAGGGGGTGGGGTCTGTGGTCTCAGTTGTACAGCCTTCTATGTTAATTAAAATGCTGTGGTGTTTAATGATCTTGTATGCAACTTTAAAGTGGGCCAGATAATATAATTTAAAGATTAATTTTGTGGGTTGCTAGATGCTCATATAGCGTTTAAAAAGGAAACGCACTTAGTATTTAGTTTTGTTTTTATTATCACAATTTGACAACTTATTATTTATTTGATTAAATCTGTCTTATTTTTGTACAGAAAGTTAGGAAGGGGATGAATAAAATACACAGAGTCTAGACCCTGAAGGAGAAGCGGATAGATGAGAAAAGGATGCAAAATGAGAAGAAAGAATGGAAACGATGTACATAAAGAACACCTACATGTAATTTAACTGAAAAGACAAATAAAGGTTTCACTCAATTTTATTTACAATTTTGCCTTTTTTCTTACACTAGACTGTCTTTTAGAAACTCTTGTTAGCCAAGTGGTCTAACTGACCAGCCATCATTTGGAGATGGGGAGCTATCCAGTTAATAATCCTCTCAAGGATTTATTACCTGTTTAGTATTATTATTTTTTCTGCTTTTTCTTTAAGTCGTCTTTCCTGATCTTTGATCATCTCTCTTGCTTAAACAAGGTGCACTATTGTGGTCTAAGTGAAAAAGTTGAATTCTGTTTTTTCTCTTCTGTTTCAGTCGCAAATAGTACATCCCTTAATATTTCCATTTTTTTTCCTGACAACTGAAAACGGGGATGACCCCAACCAGTTTTCGAACATCACTTGTAGTTAATAGCTTCTGACGAGCTCATCATTAAAATGCAAAGCACTCTGCAATTATAATGAAATGTTGAAAGCGTTGGCTCACCTGATCAGGTGGTCAAAAGGCAATCAAGGAAATAGGTCATGGGGAGGGGAGAGGAGGGAAAAGCTGGAAAAAAAACTATTAACCGAGAAAAAAATATTTCTGTACAGTTGTTGATCCGTTTTTAAAATATTACTTACAGTGAATTCAAATTGATCAGAATAAAATTTTAGTTAAGTGTGGTTTACCATATTTTCTGATGTCTCTTTCTTTTTTGGGGGGGGGGGGGAGTGAAGAGATTTATAAACTGCCTGGTTTCTGCATAATTATTACACCATTTTGTCCGACGTTTGTAGTCGGTAACGTTGTCAGGTTGTTCCTGCCCACCTCGTCAAATACTGCATACACTCTCTCGAGGACTGGAATTCTAGCTGGATTTTACTGTGTCCCCATGAAGATGGACAGGAGCAGCGTTTGTCCTCGACAAGGGTCGCGTTTCTATGCCTCAGGCAAGACCATGGTCCTTCAGCAGGTGCCCCTTCTGCCATTGATAAAACTAATCAACACTCCGGAGCTGTTTTTGACTACAGTTTTCTCCTGATCTCTTCGTGTTGGCTTCTCCCTTCCTGGACTCATCACGCATTGGAACAGCGACATTCAGTAAACAAATGGCGAAGACAAGCTTACGCACGTCGGCTCTTTTAACACGAATAATTTTTTTAGTGAAGGTCCCAAAAAAATCAGTGAACTTGGAGAATAATGAAAATTTAACTATCAACTGTGAAAACAAAAACTTTATCTTTGAAATATTTCACCTAACTTTGGCCTATTTTTGACGATCGTTCAGTTATATTTTGCTATAATTTAGCGATCCTAGGGTTAACTACGAAGAGAATAAAGTGTGATGGGTGGCATAAGGTACAGAACGCAACAGAGTACGAAAGAAAATGCTCTCATATTTTCCTGAATTTCCCCCAGTCCCCATCCCCCTCTCCAGCTTTCTTTCTTGCTTTAGACAGCCTAAGCGAATTCTGGTCCCCCCTTAAAAAAAGGCCTGCAAGGCATGCTGCCTTCACGGAATTAAGTAATATTTCCTTGAGACCGCTGCTATAAATAATGCAATTTGCAAACTGAGAAGCATTAATCGAGGGATACTGTAATTTCAGAGAAAAGAATTGAGTTTTTGGTAAGTTGCTAATGTATTACAAACATTAACCACAAGGGACTGCAAAGGACCGCAAACGAATATTCTGAAGAACGTAGGATCTTCAAAGACCTGATCAGCAAACTGATGATAAAGTAGACATATTAAATTTTGCTAGCAGAATACTGCAATGCTGATCGTTCTACGTGAAAATTAACTCTGCAAGACATCAACACGACACCGAAAGAACCCAAAACAGAGCGGGATTGTAGCCATAGACAGCTGTTTCGCCATCTTTGGGGCTCGTCAGTATGGCGTATATGTAACAACCAGAGATCAGGCTTTGATGAAAAATATCCGCGCACTCTGATTACATTTATGTATTTATTTTATTTATGTATTACATTTATTTGGTAATATAGATACCTTAACATTGGACTGCGAGTCGACTGGGGATAAAGTATGATATATATATAGAAGTAGATTACAAGTTAGTCGCGGGATTTGTGATAAATCGTATCCCTTACAAGTCTCTGTATCTGCTTATTTGCAAAACAGATGCAAACGAACTGCACTGAACTCGCATATGTTCTCAAACTGAGTATTCAAATGTTTCTCGGTCTAAAGTCAGCGACTAACTCAAGCTTTGAACGTCAGGATATAACCTTGAAAGCCGTCATTATTTCGCTGAAGTAAAAAGGCTCGGAAAAGCTTGTTTAACAACGTTTCCGTATTTGCGTCGTAACGGGAGTCAGGAGCTACTCTGATGCTCGATTAATTGAATGTGAGTCCACTCATCTGATTGAACCCGAATGAGACGCGAAAGCCGTTTTACGAAAAACTTGCCAGATCCTTTGCCATACCTTCCCTGTGTGCTAAAACCTTCAACGGCGAAAAAAGTAGTATTTCCGTATAAAAGTTATTTAACACATTAACAGGCTTCATGCTTGATGAGTTGTTGACTACTATTTGCATAAATCCGAATTAGAAGTAAACCTAGCAGCGCCATATCCCAAGGAGAGAGGCCATTATCATAATTGGGTTAGAAACGCTAAGGGTTAAAAGCAAAAGTAAGTGAAACCGAATTTAGATTCAGCGGGTTAATAATTTTCTCTCTCTCTTTTCTTTTTTCATTATACATCCGGCCAAGTATGTATTTAATAATTCGGAGATGACCTTTGACATTATTTTGAATTGAGTATCAGAGGCAAATATAATTCACCCTTTTATTTTTGTTTTCCCTATTACTCTTTCTGCCGTAAGGATCAGTTTATTGCTCTAATTTCAAAATTTTGGTATTGTTGGTTTTCACTTGACGTCACTAAAGTGCAAACTACAAAACTATCGATGCTACCGAGATTTTACGTTCACGATGTATTAGAGCAGCTGAAAACTAATTTTCATACAAATTTTTGCTTCAAAAGGGTTCTTGGTTTTGTGATAGAGCACGCTTGAATTCCTGAGCTTTTGGGTGACGCACCATTTACATGAAGTCCAAGAGAGTTGTCATGTAGATTTAAAAAAGTGACTCAGTTATTTCAAGGAATTTTGCTATCTGAACGGTTTATGTATTAGTACAAGTATTACTTTAAGGTTTATGAGTTCCTCGAAGAATGAATTCACGCTTTTGTAGCAAAACTCGGCAACATGTTTCTGTTGGTTTCCGTCAGCCATGTTGGTGCTTATTCCGATGAGCACCAGCATGGCGTCTTCATACAAATCTTTGTAAAATTTGGGTAAAACATTTCTTCGGATATCTCGTATACGAAATATTCCTCTGACCTGAATCTTGGCCAGGGTCTTTGCATATTTCCCTCCTTTCATTTCCCAGATTCTGGACTTTATCTATTGAACAGTTTTGATTCTTATTTTGATCTACTTTGAATGGCGTGGCACTGAAAACCAGCAATTGAAGATCTCACTGAATACAGATCAAGGTGTACTAAATATCCAGCTGACCTTTACTGATTTGTTGTTGTGGATTTGCCTTCACAAGGGTTTCTTATCAGAGGTTAGCCATTTTTAGCAAAGTACGGAATGCTGGCAAAGAACGAGGGGAAAAGAATTGGGAGAGTGCTATTATCTATTTTTTTTTTCATTAACGTTATCTTTATCATTGTATTTGAAGAAGACATGCTTGTATAGACAGTTCATAATACTTCAGTTTTTGTTGACTTTGTTAGAAAGGACATTTTTAATCTTAGAAAATCGTTTAAAAAAGAAGATGGAAGGGAATAGAAGGAACTAAAACAAGGGGAACATTCTTTATTCTAGTATTAAAGAGCAGCGAGAAAAGTAAAAATCGCGTCACAATAATTATGTTAAGATTAACCCTATTTACACCTGGGGGGGGATACTTTTAAGGCTCCCCTCACTAAACAGTTGATTAACCGTTCAAGCTATGACTGTTACGGAATACATTTGATTAATTCAAAATTTCGGATCCAAGATGGCGGATCCTCCAATTTCTTATTTGTAATCAATGATGTCATCATCACAACACTGCTAAATTCGCAAAAAATAAATTCATTAAGTGACGTACAATTACGTAGGCCATTCTGTCATTCGAGTTATGCCTAAAAGTTAGCCGGAGATGATGAGTACATTATTCTGTGTATTTTTGTATCATGAGCGGTCAAAATCAAAAGTTTTGATTTATAGACGGGTGCTGACGGAGGGTGTGCACGCAGGTGCTATTCAATTTAAGGTTCTCTCCTACCCTACTCCCTTTTCATTGTGATACTCTTTTTTATCTTCTAATTTAGAGTGAAACTTGTCTCCACCATAATGGATAGCATTTTATACATCAAAGAACTGTAGGTGAGGAATATAACCTTTAGCATTTTGTTTCATTTTTGTCAATTTTGATAGTCTTCAATACTTTTGTTCCTATAGAACAAGTGTTGTATCCATATACCAGCTTAATGAATTCAGCAATATACTGGACGAAACAATTCATTCGCACCAAATTTTCTCTTGTGCAATTTTTTTGAAACTGAGGGATAACTATGAGCAAATGTGGTAAGTGCCCCATGTGCATAGCTATTTACACTAGGGTGTAAATAGGTAGACAGTCAAGATATTTTGCGTTTTCTCGAATTTTGGTCAAATCCCGGGACCCTGGTAGCAGAAAATAACCAGAGGCCAATTCCTGTGACATACAGAAAGCCCAGGAAATGAACTCTAAATGTCAGAAAAACAGCAATGAGCTCAGTTAAAGTTTGGAATCCTCCACAGTGTAATGTACCGTTCTATCGCGAGAAATAGAATCATTGGAACAAAATTGTACATGAATGGAACGGTACAGGTGGTTTGGAAATTGTTAGCCGTCCTCGATTAATGGAGATTCTTGGCAATATTTGCTTCTCCGAACAGATATTTTACAGAAAACAGATTAGGGGTGCCCCTGAACAGTGATACGCTAGTGGCGGTGATTGCCTACCAAACAGAAAGCCAGTTACGCTGGCCCCAAACTATTCCTAGGAGGTTATTTCGTTTTCTTGTGTAATTTTGTTCCGATAAATTTTCATAGCTACTGGCCACGCGAGTAAAACGCTTTATAGATAGGAGTCTGTTAAAAAGTTGGATATCCCGAGAGTACAAAACAGATAATTTTGTCAACCTTTGCCCTGCCCCCCCCCCCCTTCCTTCCTCCCTCATCCTTTTTCTTCAATCTTCTTCTATCTTCCTTTAAAGTCTCTAAATCGTTGTAATGTTGAAGAAGTACTTTTATCTACCTAAACGTGGTAAAAAACATGTACAAGGATTGAACAGAATCCCGGAAAAGGTGCTACTGAATTACGAACCTCAAAGTTGTACCAAGGAGGACCTTGACTTTCTTCAAATAATAGCCTCCTTGAATAAGTCATGTTCTTTTTTTCACGAAGCATGGGAAAAGGTTAAGAGGAATGTAAAACTGTTCAATATTTTATTTATTTTATTTTTTTATTTTTAGGTTTAACCTTGACCTGATTTTTTTATTTCTATGGAGTTTTGCTGGTTTGCAATCTGTACCGTACTGGCGTTCACACCATGGATATCAGCAGAAGAAAAGCTGTTGTATCAAACACGAAATGAAAATAATTGGGGAGGCTGGACTGCTACCACTAATGGAATTTCTTCGTTGAATGTAATTAAACTAGTTTTTCTGTTGTTTTGCTTAGTATCCAGATTATAAGCATCTCATTTTGTCAAAGAGCAGCTTTCTTATGGTGGTCATGAAGGATGCATCATAGTAACCCTCCCTCACTCTCAAAGAACACCCCCGTAAGTCGGGCATCTCTCTTATTGTACAACGGTCTCTTGAGTCATGTTTTCAGCCCGAATGCCCGTGCTATTTTACACTCATTTGTTTTTTGAACTTCTAATTTGCATGTGCTGGGCACCATACTGCTTTTGCTTATCAGTAAGCGATTGGCTTTTCGTACCTTAGTGTTACAGTATAATTTTTGTTTTCATTTGCTGACTAAAAAGTTCGTCTCTTTCTTTGTTTATTTTTAGTGGAATTACGTTCCTGTGTCCAATCATTATACATTGTGTAGTTCGTTTCTCCAAGAACCGAAAAATTGGTTACGAAGTACACTTATTGATGTTCACAGCATTGACAGAGTGAGCGTTTCCGTCAGATACACGCTAAATCCCTTTTGTTCCAGTCATCCCAACACGTTTTGTACCGACAATATTCGAGTCTTTGTATGGGAATCCGAAGACAAGGTCACATCTGATTTGATACCAGACCCCCTGATCAGCAACAGTTCTTACAGAGAATTTGCTACTATCCGCCGTCAGGGTAGCGGCCAAACCATCTCTTTAGCACTTCAGCTAACAAAGGGATATATTGTTCTTGGATTTCTCGATCAAGGTGGCTGCAAAATTTTGTCTTCCGTCAGGATTACCTATAACATTTGTCCCGAAACAACACTCCACAACAGTTTGGTCAAATTGCGGGAAACAGTAGCTCCATTAAGTGTCTTTGAGTCCATCCTAGTGGGAGGAACATGTACTGTAGACTCCTTCCATGTTCAAGGAAGTTTGAATGTTACGTGTCAAAGCAGTGGTCAGTGGAATGTCAGTCAGTTTGAAGGGAAATGCGTCTGTAACGAAGACAAGGAAAATGTTGGAGGGACATGTACAGGTATGTCAAGATATCGATATGGTAATAACTACCTTTCAGATTGGTCTTACCTGCTAGTTACGTGTGATGTCGGGTAGTTATAGGATGATGGTCATATGCTAGTCTGCGTCATAGACGTTATCTAACTCCGGTTAGTAACGGAGAACCGTTTCGAATTTCCCTTCAAGCTGATTGGAGAGGCTAATTATGTATGGCGCGTATACTCTTTATCTTTTTAAGGCCTTTGATACCGTCGATCAAAATATTCTGCTTGACAAACTCGAACACTATGGTATACGTGGCGTGGCTCTGGACTGGGTTAGAAGCTACCTCTCCAACAGGTTGCAATTCGTTCAATTTAACGGTCAATGCTCCTCTCCTCAAACTATCTGCTGTGGTGTCCCCAAGGGATCCATTTTGGGCCCCTTGTTTTTCTTGCTCTATATTAATTATTTAAACAACGTATCGACGCTCGTCGAGCTGATTTTATTCGCTGATGATACTAATTTATTTATGTCCCATAAAGATCCTGTCTAACTGCCAGCCTCACTCAATTCCGAACTTAATAAATTATCCACTTGGTTTAAGGCAAACAAACTCTCCTTAAACCTGAAGAAAACAAACTTTATGTTATTTAAGCCTAGACAGAAAAGGTATTATTTTCCAATGCAAATATTCATAAATGAACAGAGAATCGAACAGGTTAAGGAAACGGTCTTCCTCGATGTAGTCCTTGATGAACATCTGTCTTGGAAACCGCTCATTTCTCAAGTAACTCGTAAAATCTCGAAATCAATAGGTGTCATTAATAGAGCAACATTTTTTCTACCTAAACCCAGTCTAAAAACTCTTTATTATTGTTTAGTTTATCCTTATCTTCATTATTGTATTATTGTCTGGGGATCTACGTACAAGACCAATCTTCGCCGTCTTGTCTCTTTGCAAAAGCGAGTTATCAGAATTATTTCTAAATCAACTTTCGATTCTCATTCAGACCCTATTTTCAAAGAATTAGAGCTACTAAAACTTTCCAATATTAGGCAACTAGAATTGGGTAAAGTTATGTTTTCTCTTAACCATTGTCTTTTGCCTTCAAAGTTCAACAATTATTTTTCTTTAAACAAACAAGTCCATAGCTATGCCACTAGACACGCGAATGATTTTCACTTTTCTTTTTGTAGAACAAACCTTCGTACATTTTCTGTCAGTTTCCAAGGACCTACTTATTATAAATCTATAGAAAATGATATTAAAGAATCTAATTCTCTCTACTTATTCAAAACGAAATTGAAAAAAAAATTATATATGAATTATTAGTTATAAATCTTGTAGTAAATAGTTATATTTCTTCACATGTCTGATATTATTTTTATACTTATTTTTACGTGTACCATACCTTACATTTTGTCAACTCAGTCTATGTAATTAGTTAACTTACACTTACCTTCATTGTATTTTACTTTCGATCCTGCCCTTACTGTTACTGTTAACTTTATTTTTACTCTGAGGGAGCCCAATGTCCATAAGCCTCGTGGTTTCTTTAATTTTGGGCTTCCTCGCCACTTTCATTTGCTTTTGTGTAACTGTCTTGTTTTATCGTTATTTGTATTTTGTGGTAAATCAAATAAAGTTACAAAGTTACTCAAATCCTGGTTCCACAGCTGGGGGCCCAGAAAGAGGATTTCGGCCCTGTTTCTCGGACATACTTAGCCAAAAGTTTAGTTCCGTCTGTGGAAAGGCGAGGCATGTGCTAGTTAATGAATATTTTAACCACCAATCTTCATGGGTCTCTCATGGAAATGTGGGCATGCCTCCAAAATTGAAGCTTTGCGCTGTTAAATTTAAGGCGGTCCTGGCTTGGACTGTTTAGTGGACAGGAAAATCGTAGGCGAAAAAAGTAATGGCTCAGTCTCTTCCAAGCGTGCCCATCCCCCCGGGTATTTGTCGGGCATTTGTCATCTTGTCGGTCCCGGTGGTGGGGATTTGTCAGAAAACCTCGTCGTTCCTTTTTCAACATTTCACTAAAAAAAATATAACTGTTTAGATAGCTTTATAAGGAATATTTTAAACACCTATTCTTTAAAACGATATGCGTGCATTTCGTTCCATCACTGCCCTAGCACACAGTCATGCATTTGCACAGTATTTTTAAGCCCCACAGTGGGGTTTTCGTAAATGTATGAGCGCACGGGCCACCGTGGGGCATTTGCAGCTTTTTCAAAACAAAATGATAGATGCCCGACAAATGCTTGGATGGAATTGGAGCGGGGGGGGGGGGGGGGGGGGTTGGCAAGGATGAGGGGGAGGTATTGAAGGGGAGGTATGGGCACGCCCAAGCCAATCAATCAATCAATCAACTTTATTTAAACACGGTAAATGGCTCAGCAAGCTGGTTTTCAGACATGCCGTGTGATAATTACAATTTATAAAAATTAAGACTAGTGATTAACTAACAATACAATATAAAAGCAAGAAATGATTATTAGAAATAAGGCTAAATTAGAATATGGCGAGTTTAAAGCTAGTAAGATCCCCCATCTCACGTGTTTCATTTGACAGTTGGTTCCAAGCCATTGCACCCCGATAAGAAAATGAACGCTTGAGAAAATTTGTTTTAGGTAGTGGTAGTTGGAGATCATAGTTAGAACCCCTCAAATTATAGTCATGAATTTCAGAGGTTGTATGAAACCGCCCCCGAAGGTACGTAGGACAATCATTATTGAATATTTTAAACATCGTAACTAATAAGTGTCTTTTCCTTCTTTCTTCTTTAAGTCTTTGGCTTTTAAGTCTATGGCTCTTTTAAAAAAAAGAGGTATAAGCCGTTATAAACACTTATCAAGAACGCAAACTAGAGGGTAAATCTGTACCCGAGTTTGAAACAAATTTTACCAAACTGTTTCTATGTTTTGGAGGCAAGAGTAAAGAGATTGCCCCGGCGACCGGTTTCTTGCTTTCAACCTCCGCTAAACGAACACTTGACACATGGTCTTACTAAACAGTGAAGTACATTGTAAAAATGGACAAAAGGGAATTTATTCTTTGGCTGCCATAATTGTCTACACATCTATGACTGTGTTTATTAGTTCGATCTATAACTACAGTATTAACCATTACCCTTAAGAAGGATTTATATTTCCAGGTTTCAGTTTAAGAAGATGAGTTTTTGTTCTTCAGACGGTTTAGAAGTCACGTTCACAAGTAACATTTTTCAACCACAAATTTATAATGCGCGTAATTAAGTGCACTTCCGTGTATGAACTGTCACATAGTATAGCTAAATGATTGTGTCAATTTAACTACCAGTAATTTGCAGGGGAAAGTGAACTTTCATTATTTCTGTAAAATGAATATACCACTCCATTCTAGGGTGACTTAAAAATTCCGCTTTTGCGGTTCGACTCTCGTAACCGACCACCAAGCCTTTGCATTTTGGGTGGTCGCTTACGGGAGGTTCAACTGTATGTACATGAACATCCTTTTCAATAGTAATAACTATTTTCCCTTTATTTCAGCTTGTTCACAGGGAACTTACAACGACGCAAAGGGGCTTAACTGTACCGGTGTGTAATCAGTTATTTTTCTTTTTTTATGGGCACTCTTCGTTTTGCTATGATTTATTCTAATGTGATTCCGAAATCTTACTTCTCATTCAACATTTACGGCAATGATCAATTGATTGATTAATCAATCAATCAATCAATCAATCAATCAATCAATCAATCAAACAACCAACCAACCAACCAGCCAACTCAGTAACCAACCAATTAATCGACCGATGTGTACACAATAATAGTCCGTTAAAAAAGTTAATCAATTGACTCACTCATGTCAATAGTTTCGTACAAGTAAGAGGCGAATCCTAAGAATGAGCAAAAGATTAGAGTTATAAATAAAATAAGACATTTTTTAACTTAATTATTGGCGGAATAAAGTCTCTTTATTGTGTTTTTTTCTTTTCTTTTCTTATTTAGCCATCCCATCGCACCCGAGAAATGTTGTTACACTTTTTGTTAACCAAACTTCAGCGACGATAAACTGGATGCCTCCTAATATAACTGGTGACCAAGTATTCTACGAAGTTAAATGTCAGCGCACTTGCGAAATTGATGGCAAGGACTGTACTGAAGAGATCTGTGGTGGTGATAACAATGCAGGGTTCGTATTTATGAACAAAAGTTACGCCACTACAATGACGATTCCGGGGACAACAGGTCTGCTTTCCCCGTTTGTGAACTACACTTGCAAGATCGTGGCCAAGAACAGAGTCAGTGAGGTAGCCGCAAGAAAGCACAAAGTCGAAGCAGGAAGCACCACAATAACATTCAAAACAAACGGATCTGGTAATTCAATGGCTTTGTTTAATTTTGATAAGACAAAATCTGTAGGTTATTAGTATAACTGTCACGTCTTTTCTTTCACTACTGTTAATTGGTTGTAAGGAGAATAATTAAATATCAGAGTTATTCTGAACGTTCGTATGGGTATACAGTGCTGGCGTAGCGCATATTAATGGAGAGAGTCTTTCAACTGGCAAACATTAGTCTCTTCGTAACATAGAAGACACCTTGTAAGGCTCTCCGACGGTATTCCAGTGGGCAGGCAGACTACCGGCTGTTGTAGGATCGAATCCAGTTAGTTCCTCATTTTGTTGCCTTTTTTCCCCTTAAACCTAAACGGTTCTTTTTAATTCAGAGTGTAGAAATATGTTGAGGTTTAACCATTCTTGTTGATTGGCGTTTTTTAACTTTAAAATGAAAGATGGAATCTTAGTCTCCTCTCATAGAGTATGCACATTGAAAGCGGAGGGATGGGCTCTTATGATGTTCCTAACGCGGGATTTACTTGGAAAAGATACAAAAGATGTCTCGTTGCTTCTTTAAGCCTCGTTTTTTCTTCTTCGTTTGTCGTGATGTCGCTTGTTTACAACTATCCATACTTGCGTTTTTCGCGACAGTTCCTGGCATACCGGAAGTATCTGTACAGCAAGCCGAAGATGGAGCTACCGTATTGTCATGGAAACTAAAATGCAAAAATGGCATAATAGAAAAATACATGGTGACGTACTTTGACGTGGATGACACTTCTGACCATGAAAGTTTGACAACCCCAGAGACAGAACAACGGATTCAAAAATTGAGTGCCGGAAAAACATACGAGTTCCAGGTAAGTTGTTTTCTTTCTAAGAGATCATTGACGAACTGACATCATCATCATCATCAGCGGCAGCAGCACCAGCACGAGCATCAGTATCTCTTTTTATACATATTGCACCTGCCATGCTTTGAACCGGCGACATCTCGCTTGGCAGATTGACGCTTATCCAATTGAGCCAACCGCACGGGCGGTGTTGGGTCGAACGCCGGGCCGTCTAACTGGTTATTTATTTCAGGCTTTGACAGCCTCTGAACTATTTAGGGCCTGGTTACTGGCTGGGTAAGCTATGGTGGCTATGTTCTTTTAAAGGCACGTCAAGTCAACCAAATGTCTCGGCGATTTGCTTTTTTTTTATTTTTGTAGGTGACTGCCGTCAACAACATCGGACAAGGGCCACCTGGCGTTAAGAGATTTACAATCCCAAACAATTTGTCTGGTAATGTTAATTGATCAACTTTTGTTGCACTGACAATGAATCTGTTCAAATCAATTTTTTAGATATTTTGGGCAACACATGAAACAAAATTACCGGTCATCATTTACTTTTAGCGCTTTCAGGGTTTGGTGCTTGTCGAGGCTCGGGCCAATGTGGAGGTCTGGTCTTACCTATAAAGAGGAAATAAAAACGGAAATATCGCCCCAGTTCTAATATTGCCGGTTTTAGCATTTCAATTGTCATTGTGCAGAGTCTCTTGTACCCCTCTGTTCTGGGGGTACGTTGAATATACTTCCTCGTCTACGACCTTAAACAGCTTATAAATAGCATAGTTAAAACATGTTTGAAGAAGGTTTAAGAGGCTGTTTAATTTAAATTGTGATTTGAAATGACGAACACCTTGAAATCTCTCCAAAGAGGATTAAAACTGGCTGTTTTTACAGTATTTTCACGAACTATCCTCATTTAAAAGGTATTTCCACTGTAATTACTTGATATATTGTTGAAGGATTATCATTCAAGACCAAGACGGTGATTGCCGGCGTTGCAGGAGGCGGTGGTCTGCTGTCAATTATCCTCGTCATTATCATCGTCATCCTTTGCTTTAAAAGGTTAAGTATTGAACATTTTTCTCTGCTAAATCCTTGCGTTATGTTAAATTTGATGTCTTTAGAGCGATTTTCGTCTGACCTTGAAATGAAAACGCGCGAACAAACTGAGAAGCTCCGAATTGTCAGCGACTGGCTTTTACTTTTGGAACGGATCTAAGTTCACTGGTGGACACACGTACTGTTTGAGTCTTCGCGATGCGAATAAATGTGAGTACGATTGTTCGTTATTTTAGAATAATCTGTTAAATTGGAACGTCTAGGCATAAACGTTATGAAAAGGACAGTTGGATATATGGCCTTTCGAAGAGCGCTGTCAATAAATTTTTTACCAAGAGCTACACTCTTTTTTTTTTATAAGAATATGGAGGCTGAAATTTGCGCAATTTAAAGAATATTTTAAGAATACAGCCGAGGCTAAGATTTTGAAAAGGACAGATATAATTTTGTGTTGAAACATCTGTAAATACAATACCACTTTATGTTTTTAACTTAACCGTATAAAATTATTCCTTTCCGTGAACGGCGAAAAACCAAAAGCCAAAACGGCCAAGTGTCGTTTGACGTGACATCTTGACCTTGCTGACAGCAACGAAAAGCGATGGAGCACGTGGACAATGTAACGCGATACAGATCTAGAAACCAAACACTTGTAATTGATACCCCAATAAATTCTAAAACGGGAATGTGATAAGCTATAATTTAAGTGATGGTCCACATAAGAAGTAGGCATCCGAAATCCAAAGCTGTCAACAGCTAATTATATAATTGAATTAAAATTCTGGTCTCCGATTGGCCGAAAAGTCGAAATCGGGGCAAAAATGTCCATCAAATGATTTTTTTGGCTATTTTTGGCGCTACAGTCGGTCCCAGCATCATCAACATTGTACATGGCGAGTTTCGTTACCATGGGAAATGGGGAACTGGGTCTGACCGAAGAGACGGATGGTTTTACGGTCGGCCGCCATATTGGATTGCAATTTTACTGCGGAGTTACCACGTTTGTTGTAGAATTCTTTGGTTGGATTTCTGTGGGTTTATTCAGATTATTTATTCAAACAAGTGTTATTTGCATTTTTATTGTTGATTGGAAATGAAGCCTATGATTTGAAGTTAAAAATGCCGAAAACCGCTTCGTGTTGTTGCCCACATCACAAGACGTGGGGACATTCAGACGAGGTAGAGCTTAGGGTAGCCACGGACTTTGAGGTGAAGATTTGTCAAATAGATAAGGATGGTCGGCACAAAGGTCGCAAGAAAAGGATCTGCACGTCTTGTAGAAGCCGTATCCAGTTGGAAGAGAAATGCGATAAGTTGCAGGTAAGATTTTTTTTTGCATGTTGGTTATGTGTGATAAGGGAACGCCTACTGGTCTGCCAGATTGCTTTTTTTGTTCTAATACTGTATTGTCTTGTGGATTTTCACTTTCATTCGAGTTAATCGGGAGCGGCTGTTACATGTAGTTTACCTCAAGGTTTGTCGTCATTACTAGGTAAAATTGTTATTTGGCGAGACTGTTCAAAATTTCAATAATTTGATGTCAACAATGCCGAATGTGAACGTAAACTACAAGTTCATAATATTCTTTCTATTGGTTTATCAAAACCAGAAAACTGTCTCTGATGCCTTGGAAGGAGGGAACACTGAACACAGCAATATTGAAGATTCCTTGAGAGCACTCAATGATGCATCAACCCAAACTGATCACAGCATCTATGCAGTCTCTATGCCCTCTCCATCCACACAACCTGCTAGGTCAGAACTTACCAAGGAAGCTGGACCTTTGGCACCCATTCGCCCATATCAGTGTTATGGCCGTAGTAAGAGAGCCGACATAAGAGCAGAAATTATTGAACGTATTCATAGTTTGTTGGGCACGTATGTACATGGTGACAACCAGGCACTCTATGACCTGATGGACAACCTGCTACAGTCAAAGAAATGGAGAAGCACGTTTGTAGATTCTAGAAAGAAGGAAGATGACAAGATCAAAAGTGCATTCCTCTCCTCAATCGTCCAGGAGTCTCAAGAGTGCAAAAGAAAAGAAACAGACAGTGTTATCAGGAAGCAATCTAAAAAGCTTCAACAGGCTATAAAAATTTCTGGAACAAAGTCCAACAGCCACATCGCCTTGCAAGGAAACACTCCTCAGTCTTTTAAAACACGAGTTGATACAGCCAATAGCTTAGGCAGGCTCACCACGTATTCAGCTGAAAGAAGGCGGCTCTTGTCAATTGTTGCAGCAGACTATCCACAAACATTTCTCACAGAGATTTTCAAGTGCTCCAAGAGTACAGTCACTGCTGCACGCATTCACCGTATTTTATTTGGCAGAGGAGGAGTGCCACCTCAGCGCTTGAAGTTTACCCGTCAGTGTGTGTCACAGGACATCAATTGGCTGAGTTCCTTTTGCGTGATGACATATCACGACCTTCATCATGTAGGAGTGTTGTAATTGATGGGAAGGAATGCCCGGTAGGCTACTGGCAAAGTTCAATAAAAGAGGTCATTCAGCATTACTTGTTAGAGTTCCCAGGCAATGTGAAAAGGAGTTACATCTATGGTCACATCCCAAAGAACTTCCGCAGTAATACAATGCTGGCTGGTCTGTGTAATTTGTGCGAGGACTATGGATATTCCAATTTTGCAAATTTAAAGGCATTTGTCCAGAAATTGGGTGCTGATTGTCCACAACAGGAATTTGGTGGCACTGTGAAGAAGATAATTAACAGATCTTCAAAGATACCTCAAGACAAAATTTTCACATGAGGTACTTGCTTGTTTACCTACCTTGTTTAGTACTTTGGATGTATGCTGTGAACATGAATATTACCCAGTATTTTTATACTGAGACCAAAATTATAAAAAAATGTTTCTTATTTCAATCCCTTCTCACTTTTGGCAGATTGTTTTACATTTTGGATACAGTAAGAATAACATGCTACAAGTTTACTGTCAGAAAGATACCTGCTGAATTTATGGTGTATTTGCAAATGCTCCTTCTATTGCATTTTTAGAGTGTTTGCCAAGTCCATTTTCTGAACATACAATGTAGTAAAAGAATAATACAAGAATATTTTCAGCCTAAGATCGGCAGAAAAATAAGAATATTCAGCCTGGGCCGGAAAAACAACATTCTTAAATAAAAAAAGAGTGTATTTTGGCTTTTGTTTATATGTGTTTGGTTACCGGTCGTTTTGGTACAAACTACAAAGTAATTTCGATACACCAGGCGATACATCTCGCTCAGACACAATCAATTCAGTCGCCGTGTACAATCAATATTTCGCGACATTTGTTTTTCTTGTTCACGCGCAATAACTATACATCACGTAATCGCAATATTTTTGCAGTTTCACTTCTTATTAAAGTTCGTATCAAAACGACTATTTTCTTTTACAGTTAATTGATCAGATTACATTCTTGCTCTCACGCCAAATGTGTCACGTTAATTAAGCTTTGAGTCCGTCCTCTTTCGCTCACACATAGCAGTACCAACCACAAAACCAACAGTGAATGCTCTGGCTCAGGCCTTGCAAGCTTCATGATGATTTTAGTGGAATCAAATATTATTGTGTTAGGTCTTGCGAGAATGAATGTATGTCTAGTTGGCAAGTAAAATTCATTAATGAGATTATATATCATAGACATGTAACTTATTATATTGGCTCAGTTAAGCCTAACATGGTTATTTTTCTGCTTGGGAAGTCCTAAAAAGTTTCAGGAACATGGTGTTTTGACATTTAGTTTGTTACATGTAAACAATCAGGACCTTACTTTGGGCATTGGCAATTGAGCAACATGCAGAAAGGTATTGTTTGGTGGTCACTCAAGGAAATCATTGCATTGTTTGGTATGCTGAAATGTCCAATAGCCAACCTTTACTTAATCAGCTATATACAGTGTAGCTTCTGACGAAGCGACAACCACAAGCTATAAATAACATCCAGTACTTTCATTGCATACATTTTATAACAAAATCTTCTAATATATAGATTTAGCCAGGGCTAAAATCGACGCTATGGTTCATAATACTTGTAAACAAAAAAAATTAAATCGTGTAATGCTAAACGGGGAGGGCAATGAAAACGGCATCAAGAACAATAGATCTAATTAGCCAAAAAAAAAAAAAATTGGACGTCAGCACGCTTTTTGTCTTTCTTTGCCGTTGTTTTTTCACAACTACAACGCTCTTTCGTAGGACCAAAACGTCAAACGTCCTAGTTACGCATTATTTTTATGGAGGAATTGTCATATGTGCTTACCCAATATTTTGTCTCCTGTGTTCATGTTCGCTTTTATTTTTCACTACCGCTCATTTTTAGCTTGCTGGCCGCTAGCATTTCTCGTTGTCTCACAGCCGCTTTGAATTTTCATGTTTTTCTTCCTACAAAATTCGTCTCTTTTGTTTTCAATCACTCGCTCTAGCTCTTTCTCTGTTATCCACGTGACTGTAAACATCAAAAATAACGTCGAAAAAGACACAACTTTGTTGTTGTTTTTTCTTTCTAAAAGTCCGGGCGGCCATGCGATTTCTTTCCAAATAAAGTCTTGAGTTGCATTTGGGTTGCCATACCTGTTGATTGAATTATCTTACATTGGTATGCCTGTGTTGTGAACGGACGGTCGCACTGTCTTGCGGGCGGGCGGTCGGTCGGTGTATGGTCACGTGATTACCAAATTTTCTCGGATGGGTAGTTTACCACATTTTTTTACCCATGGTGCTCCGCTGTGCACGCTAATAATTTCTTGTCCATACAAAAAAATATGCGGTGACTTTGTTAACCGCTGCATCCTGCATCCCTGATGCATAAAAATTCCCAAAGATGAAAAATAACAATATTCATGGCATTGCAATCCAATGGACGCAAAGATCCATAAAAAATCTGAACATGTGTATTTGTAGAAATATCCCGTTTGTGTATTCTGTGGCAGTTATGGCTGTTGTTCACTCACTCACTCACACTCACTCACTCACTTGGTCGCCCGAAGGCGGGCAACCACTAGATCTTTCCACAGCCTCTTATCAGCCATCAGTACAGCAATCTCACTTGCTTCGAATGCCCCAGTATCCCTCTTAAGAGTGTCAATATAGGTAGTAATCGGTCTTCCTCTCCCGCGATGACCATGTGTGGGCTCCCATAGGACTAATTTCTGGGTAATTAGCTCTGGATGGCGATAACAGTGTCCCGCAAGTTGTAGTCTACGAGAGGCGATTTTTTTGCTGACTGCTGGTAGATCTCCGTGCAGTTGTTGGTTTGGTATCTGGCTGCTCCAGAGGATGTTTAAAGCTTTTAGCAGCATCCTAGTGTATGTTCCATCCAACAACTTTTCTTGTGCTTTTGACAGAGCCCAGCTCTCGCACCCATAAAGTAAGATTGATTCGATGGTGGCTATGAAGAATCTGATTTTCAAATCTTTACTCATATTGGACTTCCATATTTTCGTCATACCACTCAAAGCTCTCCAAGCCTGTGCTTTCCTTATGCTGATGTCTTTTTCTGAGTTATCAACCCATGACCCTAAATATTTGAAGTCATCCTTCCATTCCAGATAAGTGCCATCAAGTGTATGTAATGGTGTTGGATCATCAATGTTATAAGCAACTGATTTTGTTTTCTTAGCATTCAGTACAAGGCCAACTTTCTTGCACTCTATTTCTAGCAGTAATTCCTGAGCTTGAGCTATTTCATCCGACAGTAGTGCTATGTCGTCTGCGAAGTCTAAGTCAGCAAGAACTACTTTGGGGTGTCTTCTTGATCTTCGAGGGGTGATGGTAAATCCCAACTCTTCTTCTTTCCCAGCCATAGCCTTTCTCATAGCATAGTCATGCACGATTATAAACAGGAAAGGAGCTAATGTGTCGCCCTACAGTACACCGGTTGAGATGTCGAACATCTCTGTTTCTCCATCTGGAGAAAGCGCTTTGGCCTTTGTATTCGTATACATCATCTCAATAGCTTGCAATAGGTTAGGTGGAATCCCATAGGCTTTAAGAATACGCATCCTTTTACCCAGATGAATTGAGTCGAATGCCTTCTTGAAGTCAATAAAAGTCATGACAGCTTCAATGTTATTTGCTATAACTCCCTCGCTAATTCTTCAGAGTGTTAATATTTGGGCCACTGTAGATCTTTTGGGCCGGAAACCGTTCTGGTTTACTCTGAGTCGGATGTCAATTACACTCCTGATTCGGTTTAAAATCAGGCGATTATACATCTTGGCTATAATGCACATCAGGCTGATTCCCCTGTAGTTATCGGTCTTTGACAAGTCCCCAGATTTAGGTACAGGGATGATATTCATATAGGACCACAGATCAGGTTTGTCATTTTTTATCTGAGCTTGATTGCAGAAGTCTAGGCATATGTTGTCAAAGTCACATAACTTGAATACTTCAGGGGGTATTGCATCCGGGCCAGCTGCTTTCCCGATTTTTAATGAAGATTTCTTTTTCTTGAGCTCTTCAATAGTGAACAGGCCGTCATTGATATCAAGGTCCTCAAAGATGTTTGGTATTTCTTCGTCCAGATCTTCAACCTCAGGGGGATTACCCAGGAGTTTCTTAAAGTGGGTGAACCATGTGGTCACTCGTTCCTCAGGGCTTGATCCTTCTACTTGACCTTCTTTAGCTCTTTTCCTTCCAGAAATCTCATTAACTACCTTCCATGCCTCACCATATTTCTGGGCTTCATGAGAGGCTTCGATGGTTCGTATTTGTGCCTCTAACTCCACTTCCCTCACTTGGTCATATACTTTATACAGATTACTTAGGGCTTGAGACCAAGCTTCTTTATCTTCCTCGGTGTTGGTGCATTCGTACAGACTCTGCGCAGCCTGTGCTTCCTGGCGGGCTGATACCACTTGTGCGTTTGATGATCGGAGGGATTTCCTAGCTTTTGTTTTCTTAGGCAGGCATTCTTCCATAGCTTGTCTGTTGGCTTTAACAAACTTTTCATACTTAACCCCATTACCTTCATCACTCAATACGTGGTATCTATTCTTGACAGCGACTGTGTATTTCCACTGTAGGTCTGGGTCAGTGGAAAACTGCTTCCAGTCATATTTCATCTTCTTGGCTGTTGTTGAAGGATGCATATTTCTTTTAGCCTTTAGAAGGACTGTATTTTGATTTCAGCTTACTGCAGTAATACAGAGTTTTGGAGTCTGTCAAGCTAATAAGTCAGATTAACTGTCTGGTTACACAAAGGCCCAAGCATTTTCAATTACAGACGTATCTTTTTTTTATCTGGGACTCAACGTCTCTGGACTGGGACTCTAAATTCAAACAATTTTATACGGACACCCATTGACTAATAGTTATTAGGACAATGCTAGTAATAAGTTAGTAATAGTTAGGGAATACAAAAACCTTTTTTCAGTCCAACAGATTCGGTCACAACTAATCTTGGTTAATCTTACTAATACGGTTTCTTTCTTATCAACTGTTTGCTGTAATAAGACCTAAAGTGTACATGTGCTTTTTTCAAATAGAAAAAATAATACTTTTAATTACTTAATTGAAACAACATGAAAATGTTCACAGATTTTTGAGTTTAATGACGCTAGTGTCCTGTTTTATTTCTCTAGCAGTAGCTTTTTAAATTTTTATTATGGTCCCCTCAGTGTCTGTATTAACAGAGTTTCACTGTTTGATTGAAAGCAATATATGTCAAACAGTCAAGCAGAGTTCTTGTGAAAGTAGAACAGTGTCATGAAAATAAACAACAACAAAAACAGACTGTGATGTTCAAGAACTCAGGTGCTGTCAATACAGTGTAGATTACATATTTTGTACTCTAACCCTCATTCTTGAATTTAAATGGTGGAGGAAAATTGCCTGTCCCAGCAACAGTACAACTTAATGACTAGGCAGCTAGAAGGCATGTTATTATATTTCGCTTAGTTTTACCAATTACATGTACACTACGTGTTATTATGAAACTTTGCCTTAGGGAAGAAATTACCGCTAAGCAATATTAAATCAAGCTTTATGTGGAACAAACAAATATAATTATGTCTACCCGGTATTCTTATTTATTTCAGTTATACCAGAGAAGTCTATTCTAGGTTTTTGTTCATTCGGCCTATCTGTTTCCAGATCTGTATCTGTTGTTTCATTAAATAATCCTCAGCAAGCAAAGAAATTAGTGTCCGATAGGCCAGGGCTCGTTGATTTTGCCATCGGGCTTGTGATTTTTGTTCTTAACTTACCCGACAGGCAAGTGCTGTTTTTTAGGAAAATTCAAATCACAGAAGGATTGTAATCAATCCTGCTCATCAAAAAGGGTTTTGGGGCTAGTTGAAATGACTTGTGGCCTATAGTACATGCTAGCTACTGCTTGCCCGAATGGCAGGCTGTAAAACTGACTTTCTTTGCACCCTGAGATCCTTTAGTGTTTTGCTAGGCAGTTACTGTACCAACTACTTGTGACCTTTGTTTTGTACAAATGAATTTGGCTAATAGTTGTATTATAGTAGGAATGAAGAAAGTAAACTATATTTTCCTTTAGAAATCTTTATTAAACCTTGGGGATTTGATAAGACAATTTTAGAACACACTTTTCTAGTAGTGTTTTAATTTTTAACAAACAATCATATGTGAATATGGTGAGTTTTAAAGAAAATTCCCAAGACATACATGTACGTGGTTTAGACAACTCCAGATATAAGTGATTTCATTTTTAAAGGGTTTTTCAGCTGGCTTTTAAGGTGTTTTTGAAAACTTGCTTCTATTTTCAAGTTTTTTTTTGCAAGGAAAATGCTTAAGTTTTTATTTTATTAATGTGATAAAACAGATTAAACACCATAAAAAGCAAGTTAAAACACCGTTAAAAACAGATTAAAATACCATTAAAAGCGGGTTAAAACACCATGTTTAAATGCGCGAACAAGAAGAATTTTATTAACTTGCATTCTGCTGCTTTTGTTACAGTTTTTGGACGTAATTTGGTCCATGCCTACAAATTTCGAATTTTTCAAAAAACCGCTCGATAATATTTTTTTTATAAATTCGACAATCTCGCGATCAATCGTCAATGAATATTCCCTGTAAGTTTCAAGAACATTGAAAACAGGAAAGGCTTTTAAATGGGACCTCAAATATAACCAATTTTCCCCCAGATTTTGTGTTTACAAGTGAGCGTCCTCATTATTCACTAGCCTTGTTTTCAAGTTTCATATACACGTGCACATTTAGCAAAAAGTTAGAATTTGCATAAAAAAGGACCCTCGGTTAAATCTCCGGAATACGCTAATTACTGGATAAAGAGATCATAGTGATACATTATAACATCAGAGCAATTCTTTGTAACAGTTTCTGTGATGTTATAACCCGAGTAAGATAATTAAGTATTGCATCCTACACGATGAGCGGGGACGTTCACCGTTTCGGCTCTCACTGCTATCGGTGACACAAGCCAATTATTATAAGCATATTCTGGATATTTCTTCGAAAAGTAATCGAGAGTTCTTTTTGATGCAAATTTATATCTTTGCTAGCTGTGCACGTGCATATGAAACTTGAAAACAATGCCAGTGAATAAAGAGGACGCTCACTTATAAACACAAAATCTGGAGGAAACATTGGCTATATTTGAGGTCCCATTTAAAAGCCTTCCCTGATTTCAGTGTTCTTGAAACTTGCAGCGAATATTTATTAACGATTGATCTCAAGATTGTCGAATTTATAAAAAAATTTATCGGGCGGTTTTTTGAAAAATTCGAAATTTGTAGGCATGGACCCAATTACGTCCAAAACCTGTATCAAAAGCAGCTGAATGCAAGAAAATAAAATTCTTCTTGCTCGCGATCGCCCTGAGCAATTCCTCTCTTTTTTTGTATACAGTTTTCAATGGAATCAAACCACTATGGGATGAAGCCGTGTTTCCAAAGCTTATAAGTTTCTTAAAATATTAGCGAATTTTGTGGATAGCATGCTATTTCGCTGTTTTTATGATTGTTAAAACTGCGTCTCAAAATATTTCGAAAACGCTCTCATAGAATTTGTTTAAACTTTGCCATAATGGAGACAATTATGGCAGGTACATACTCCCCTATGTGATTTCTTCAAAAAACTCCTGATACAGAGCAAAACAAAGATAAATAAAAAGCGTAATAGCGTCATTACGTTGCTATGGCAACTCCGATTGCAATAAAACCCAGATCATAAGAAATTTTCATCATTATATAGAACAGTTGTGGTAACCTTTTTCCCACATCTCTACTCATGCCGACGTAGTTAATGCTCAAACTTGTGAGGTATGCCCCCCAAAAAATCCAGTCGAGCCACCTTAAACACCATTAGAAACAGATTAAAACACCATTAAAAATACAATTTGGTACCTGTTTTAAATGAAGTTCTCAAATACAATAATTAATTTTAAAAAGTTTTAAAAATATATCAAAAATATGCTAAATTTAGTGTTTGGTTTGGTACGGGTTAACAAACGAACGGAAATAGAGCGATTTTAGTAATTTATCAAACGGATACAAAAGCGCGTAACGCTCAGGTGAAAAAAGTTCTTGCCCGAGAACTTCACTTTCTAGAAATCAACCGATACTTCGCCTTGACGTCATACCGTAACACAATTGGCCAATCCTACAATGCCTTCTCCATATATTAAGTTTTTCTTTGGCGGGAAACGAAGAGTCCTTGTTTTGATTTTTTCGTCCATTGGCTGAGAAAAAAAAAATAACGAACACTTACCGAAACTAATTTTTTAAGGTCATACGAAAATCGGTCTATCTTTATTTAAACGTGCTACGTTTCAACTGTGTAGGGATTAAATTCTGAGCTTTTGCATTGGTACTCAAGGGTGAATGATACGCCAATGCAGCAGAAGGTATTTTCTTTCCTACTCATTTTCTTCCTTCTACTTCTTTTTCCCTATTTTTATGTTTCTGATCTGTTCTTTTACTTCAGGGGTAATGGAAGAAATAAAAAGGCAGACAATATGCCTCTTAAGGAGCGAGGTATGGGAAAACATTGATAATGATTTGCTCTAACAATATTAAAATGATTTATTCCCATTTTAATACAGTATTTTATGCAAATGTCATATTTAGGGAGGACGTACTGTCATCCGACAGGGCAGTTTAACATGGATGTCATAGAAAAAGAAGAAGACGACGTAAACCATGTAATAAATCACTCTCCTCAGTATATGGAGATTAGTGAAATTCAATCATTTGAGCTGAAACGGGATGACGTTGCATTAAAAAGATTACTAGGAAGTGGTAACTTCGGTGAAGTATATAAAGCCACCATGGGGAACGATACAGTGGCTGTGAAATCTCTTAAAGGTAACATCTGCCTAGGGTTTTATTGCCTCTTTATACATGTTAAGTATTATCCTTGTGGAAAGGCTGCCTCGCTGGCGACACGATTTCCAAGGCGTATTATTAACGTTTACATGTATATCGTGATTCTTATCTTAACCATAAACTTAGATCGAAAGGGCGTATAATCACTTTTCTTAGCTAGTGTTACGTTTCTGGACAATTTGATCCAATAGTTGGTTATATATTCTTAAATAATTAGTGTGTGGTTTGTATTGTGTGGTCATTCAGTGTCATCTCAAAAGGAAATTAAACAACATCAGCGACAACCTCTACAGCAATAAGCATGATTTAATACTTTTATAGATGTATCTTGTTTTTCATATCGAGTTTCCGAAACCTAGAGTATAGTGATTGTGGGCAGCATCCATTGAGTAAAACCAGAATTAGGCTCTACTACCTGCTAAAAAGGATGATTCCGGCACATTGTTTCATCGAATTTAAGGAAGCGCCACTGACAAAGATAAACAAGATATGGTCACAGAGCTGAATGTTATGAAGAGACTCAAGCCTCACCCTCATGTCTTGAAGCTGATTGGCTGCTGTAGCATCGGTGGTAAGTAAGTCCCACATCTCCTGAGTGCAACTCGATACAAAAAGACAGCTTAAACAAACAAAAACAAACAAACAAAAACGAAAAGCAAAACGAAACAACGACAAACAGAAAATTAAGACAATTAATGCGAGTATTTGAAGTTAGGGAACTAAAGCGGACAATAGGGAAGAATTAAAAAAAAGAAAACAAAAACAAAACATAATTAGTCCTTTGATTCATATGTTTCTTAAAACAAACCAAGGATTAGGTCGGACTTACAGGAACAAAAAAATGACAAAAGAACAAAAACAAAACCAAACCAAACCAAACCAAAAAGAAGAAGAAGAAGAAGAAAAAAAGAGCCACACTTCCAAAGACCTGCGCACTGGTATTAATGGTGGTTTACGCGAAACGAAGGAAAGTGGGTAAACTGCCAACATTTCATCAATTCCTTACTGTAGTGGCATCCGTGTTAAACTGAGGTATTCAATTTGTTTAATTATTCAAATGCATGACAGTGTATAGATGAACTCAAGTAAATCAGCGAGTGTCTGAAAACCAAAGCAAAAAACTCTCCATTCCATCATATAAGTACTGTTCATACTTATCCATTCGATTAGAACGGATTCATTTTTCGAAACGTATGTATGTCTCTAGATCCTCTTCTTATCGTCTTGGAGTATTTGCCGTATGGTGATCTACTGGGATATCTAAGGAAAAGCAGAGGACATTCAGACAGCTACAACACAGGAGAAAAGAAACCCTCATCCAAGCTCACAGCGAAAGATCTCTTGTCATTCGCATGGATGATAGCTGATGGGATGCAATATTTGGCCACAATGAAGGTGAGGTGAAGCAATCTCCTGAATAAGTGATATATCTGATTCACTGCTTAAGTGCCAAGCACCTCTCGGGACAACAGGAAAAGTATTACTAAACTTGCTATATATACCTCTTATTAGCCGAGTTTTCGGTCATAAATCGATGGAAAAAAACGAGGATCCATAATTTACAGTACGGATCGAAAATACGAGGCTAATAAGATGTTTATTATATGGCTTCTTCCCGTTTGGGGGAATGGAAACAAGTGCAGGACACACGATTTGACAGTCATTTGACAGGCGTCTAAAAAGAAAGTTTTGATTGGCGCACGAAAACAATAGCACTTAACAAAGGCTTTCCGAGAAAGTAAAAACAAATTCGCAATGTCAGTGAAAACGTTTATTCGGTCAAAACTAAGAGCACAGTAAGTTTTAACTCTTTAATGTAACGCTGGAGTATTTTGGAAACCGGACACTGTGTCTGTCTAGAAGTCTTTTCCATCTTTCCTCCGTTTGTCCTTGTAAAAAAAAAAAAAAACACTGCAAAAGGCAAAGAAGCTTTTCAAGGTAAGTTGTTGTCATTGTCGAAGGATTCGCTCGTTAATTGTTTTTGCAAAACCTCTCTTTCTGCCAGTTCATTCTCGTCTTCAGTTGTGATCTGCGTTAAAATTTTCAAACATTGACTACAATTCTCTTCCTCGGTAAGGTTACGATTCAGTTTCTACATCAGCTTCGTTCTCATTAAAACAAAGCTACAGGTTAGGAAAAGCAAAGTCAACACCCCAGTCCTCAGGGTTTACAGACATATTTTAAAGTTTATTCGGTCAAAACTAAGAGCACTGTAAGAATTCACTCTTTAATGTGACGCTGGAGTCTTTTGAAAACTGGACATTACTGTGTCTGGCTCGAACTCGCTTCCATCTTTCTTTCGTTGGCCTTTGAAAAAACACTGCAAATTGCAAAGAAGCTTGTCAAGATGATCGTGTGTAGGTATGCTTGTTATCATATTTGTCGAAGGAATTACCCATTTTCTCTTAGGCAAAACATCTCGAATCTCTGCCAGTCGATTTTCGTCTTCTTAACTATGTACTACGATAAAATTTTCAAACACTGACTAGAATCCTCTTCGATAAGTTTACGAGTTAGTTTCTTCATCGCCTTCGTTCTCAAATAAACACAGTTTAAAATGTTGAAGGCCAAAGTCAACATCCAAGTCCTAAAGGTTAACAGGCGTCTTATAACTTTATTTAAACCTTTTTTCCGAGGAAAAGAGATTTAGAGCTCCGAAATTAGCATTTTCTTTAAAAATTTTGGTCCGTATAGCAAGTTATGGACCGCAAATTGACCAATGGCATGGCGAAAACAGACTCAGCCATATAATAAAGACTAGTATTGAATGCTCACCGGACCGACCCAAAAAGTTGCTGTTTGTTCTTATTGTTATTCACTTTACTTATAGAAGTAAAATAAGACGATGAAAGTAAAAGCAAAAGTAAAAGTAAAACTAAGACGGTGCTGTGACCGCGGTTATTAGATTTTCGCCTGACTTACCGCACCACAATATGCCACACAAATAAAAAACGCAACTTTCGTTCGTTTTTCTTACGATTGACCTGTTTCTTAACACTAATCACGATAAATTGGCCACAAAAACGGAACTTTTTGAATAAAATGATCCTCAATGTTGGATGTCATCGGTAAACGTCGACTTTGCGTAATGGCAATGTGGTCCGAAAATAATAATTATTCGTTTTTTGACCAGAACTGCGGAAAATAGTATAATGTTTCAAAATTCGTCCTAATTAGTGTGGAAAGAAAATACCGTTTCCAGTTAGTTATTTATTTAGTTTTTAATTTATCCATTACCCCCGTCCCCTTTTCTGCTCGTATTCGCCATAAAAGCTAACAAACTTTCACTTAGGTTTGGACTGCTAGGGAGGTTTTAAATCTAACGTAAACATTTATCAACTTCCAGGTGATCCATCGTGATTTGGCTGCTCGTAACATTCTTGTCGGCGAAAACCAAGTGTGCAAAATTTCTGACTTTGGACTAGCGCGTGACGTACGTGATGGTATTTATATGCGGGCATCTAAGGTAGTGATTTTATCTTCATGTCTGTTAAGTGAAAATAATTAACCCGTCGAAGGAAGGGTCCTGAAATATTTATTTTATTTTTACAGTTGTTTTGATATTTATTGGTTGGATCAAAACATTCATTTTTGCTTGCTCGTACGTAATTGCTAATGGTCTTTCTTTCCTTGTAAAGGCTCGTCTTCCAGTCAAGTGGATGCCTCCAGAGTCTCTCTTTCACGGTGAATGCAGCACTATGAGTGATGTGTTAGTAGCCTCTTTTGATTTATTCCGTTTTGGCTTTCGAACCTCTTCGTATCTTTTCCCTTGTAAACCATACATAATTATAATGCCAGAAAATATCTTCCCTTTACATTGTGCAATGGTGGAATTAATTTTAAAAGTGAGCTTCATATGGTTTACGTTAAGTAAAGGGCCGTGGCATTTTATAGGGGTTGTCTTGGCCGCTAAATAAGGTGTATGATCACAACGTTTCCTAAGCTGCAGAACGACCGCCTGATCGCAGGTTAAGAATATCTGTGCTTAAGCCGCTATAAATTTTTTGAAGAAGTACATTTATACAGATTTGACACTGGACTTCCTCGCTTTCCCTGACGAGTTTTAAAGAGAGTCTAGTAGGTTTACCAACAACATTCGCATTTTGTTAAGCTTAATAATATCATGATGGGAGCATTCTCACACCATCAATGATGCCTCTAAGATTGAGTAATTATCATTATTATAACCGATCCATACGTGAAACAGCTGTTTACTTTCGGTGAACCGAATAACGAATATAATCAGGTGATAATACGACTGTTGCGATGCAAAGAACTACTCTGATGTCCGAATTTACATGAAAACAAAATGACAACAGCACTAAAACAGTCTGCTCCCTATTCTTTCTTTCAACAGGTGGTCGTATGGAATTGTACTGTGGGAAGTTTTCACAATTGGTAATCAAGAACAGATTGATTGTTGTAACATTAGTTCCTTGTTGAAGAAGTATATAGCCGAGTTTATGTAATTTAGGAATTTTTGTTTTTCACAGGTGACTCGCCTTATCCCCGCTTCAAGTCCCGAGAAGTGCCGTCGTTGCTTGAAAGAGGGTATCGAATGCAACGGCCGATCCATATTTCTGACGAACTGTGAGTTATCACCATAGTAATAATTATCATCATCGTCATCGTGACTGTGACTGTGATTGTCATTATTATTATCATTGTTATTCTTGTTTTCTTTACGAGCTTTAAGTTATATACTCTAAGAAAGTATATCTGTTATCGATTCATTTGGTTTGTCAAGAGGGTAAATAGTGTGTTATTAACAGGTGGCACGATAGCATAAATCGATGGACTGAATGACTGTTGGGACGTATCGAGATTTCGAGGTATAATGGGGAGTCCAATAATGATGAGGATTACATAAAGCGATATTTCACCGTATATACTTATAAAATAAATGGTTCAAATTGTTTTGGTTTTCGTTGATGATTGATCGAATAGGCCATTTCCGAAGTTCTCCAACCATCTGTTTCAAAGCGAGGCTGAGTGCGAAACCATGGGATATGTAAGGGATTGTTTCTTCTAAAAAGAAAAAAGAAAGGTTTTGCACTTAGCCTCGTTTCCAAAGTGAGGGTTTTTGGAACTCGGAAATGACCTTTAGTTTGTTGATATGTTAGATGATGACCCCCATCCGTCGGGAGGTAAAGCCCCAAATAACAAGAGTTCGATAATTGCGGTGGTTAATAAATCAGTCAACCGGAAGCTTTATTATTTGTTTGCGGCCCCTGTTATCAGGTTATCTGTTATGGCGAGGTGTCCTTTAAATGGGAGTCAAATTTATGAGTTAAATCAAATCAGTTAATCGATCGACACATTGTTTGGTTGCTAGATCAACTGAATTGTTCGCTTACCAGCTACCCCTTGTTTTTGGTGAGAAAACGCATTGATGAATTAGAATTGTGCTATTTTCAGGTTTTCTGTTCTGACCGAATGTTGGGCTGAGAATGCCAAAGAGCGCCCTTCATTCCAGTGGATCTGTACTGCTGTTAAGAGGTTAACGAAGGACCAGAAGGTAGAGAGGCTGGACACAATTACTAGAGAAAAGATTATCCGTGTAATATTCATAAAGTAACTTAAAGTTAAAATGCCAATGACCATGCAGCATTAAATAAATTAATAATGCCCAGCAATATCAACACCCATGTTAGAAAGCTGGAAAGAGAGGGACGGGTTCACACCAATAAAGGATCTTTATTTCCCAGGTTCTCTTTATATCCCTCCTCCTTTGAAGACATTCTATGCAGATTACGCTATGTTAATTAAGGAAAATCGCATTCTTCACCAATGGCGTTTTCCTCTTATTGCTTCTTTAAAACAGGCCTACATCAACCTTGATGAGTATAATGATGAAGATTACGTCAATTTTGACATGTTTGATGAAACTCTCTAAAGTGGAAGCCTGAAGGATGTGTGAAGTGTTAACAGAAATGACGAACCAACCAACCAAGTGCTAAATAGTAACATTTACCAATTTGCGTTATTCCTTTGGGAAAGTAAAAATGACCAAGATTTCTTTCATTTCAAGGAAATCCTGTTTTATATTCTAATCACACTGAAACGATTATAAAACATTTTGTAACTGATCTAAATAATCACAAAACACAGAATAGGGGCAGGAATCTCTTTTATTGATGAAGCGAACTTAGAGCGTTAGAAAAAACAGCGTTACAGTTTTACATACTTAGGGAAAATTACAACAGTAAACAAAAAAAAATGTAGGGTGAAAGTGATGCTTCGAATGGCTCTTGTATAGCTTAACAAACCTTAAATAGTGACTAGCCCCTTTAAGAGACACCCTAAAAGCACGCCTTAAATACTTCTACAGTATTATGCAACCTAATATACATACTCTTGTGAAACTAACAAAACTTTATAAAATGGATTGGTATCGCTGCCTACATGATCAAACAGCAAGCATGATGGACTGTTGATGTCATGATTGCTAAATTCTACTTCTCTTTTATTAATATAATATTTCAATGGAAACTACTTGTTAGTACTATCAGCCCATAAAGAAGATGTTCTTACTTAAAGCTATCAAACGCTGCATGCAACGTGATGATATTTCGCGTTACGGGATCTGTTGATGTTAATGTGTCATCATTGGCTCCTAAAAACAAACAAACAAACAACTAAAATAGTTATTTTGTTTTAGAGGTTGGCACATTTGATACACAAATCAATGTTTACGAAAAATGAAACATTGCTATAATGCGGGTTGAGAGTCTTAGGACACTTTTATCAGGATAACAGTTAAACTGATACCCGTTCTCCTTCCCAGCTAGGTAACGACATTGTGTTTTGTTCACCATTCACAAACTCATTAATAATTCATAAAAAATGCAAGGGAAATTAATGTGTAATGAGTGTTCGGAAATCAGATGAAAACTGATCAATTTTTCATCCTTTATACTACTACATGAGAAATTTCTGCAATTTGATTGGCTTAGAGCAGTGGAATTTCAGCTTAATTTGAAATACCTACATGTGAAAATTACAAACCTTTTGTGGGTAGTAGTATAAACAAATAATAGCATGATTTGTACGTGATATTTCGCATAAATACCACTTGTGATATTTCAAAATTGTCTCAAATTTCACTCGCTTAACGGCTCGTGAAATTACGTACAACAATTTCGAAATATCACTCTTGGTATTTATGCCAAATATCACTACAAATCATGCTATTGCCTATACTAATTTCTCCTTCTAAAATTATTTTGCTTGAGAAGTAATATCAAGCATTTGACACAGTGTTTTATCACTAGATAAAACATCGCGGCATTACTGTTGTCACTCAGTTTCGTAAACGGTCGCTGCCATTTTTAATACACTTAGAAAATTTTTGACCTGTTATTGAGAGTGTTTCTATTAAAAAGAAAACAAAAAAAATCACAACTCAGGGTCAGACCCGGACCTCGAATCAACAGGTATGGCAACCCCAATGCAACTCGAGGTTATTTTGGCGGGAAATTGTATAGCTACCGGCGTCTTGTAAAGCAGAGACAACAAAGGAGTCAATAATGACGAAAACGGAGGGGCACCCAACGAGGATATAATTCAAAACCACTTAACATAGCATTGTTGAACGTATTTTAGTATTCAAGCGGTAGATATAAGCATATTTTTATCCCCTAAAAACTTTTCATCTGTTCGGATTTCCTAGCTGAAAGTCTAGTGATCCGAAGATTATAGGGATAAAAACTTACCTTCTCGAAAATTTCAGCCAGGAAAAGGCTCCCGAAAATTCTAGGTGGCCTTTTTTAGGGTCAAAATCCGTTAAAAATGGGTAATTATACCATTTTGTAGATGTTCGAAAATCCTAGGAGAGGCAGGCAAGCAAGAAATTTTACAACAAATGCTCCGAGAATTCTAGATCTCAAATCGTCTTCCGAACGGATATTTTCCCGAAAATTGCTGTTGGGTGCCCCTGAAAACGAAAGGCGAAAATTGTTTCTGTACCAGTGTTGTCTAAAGTATTAAGCTTAGATATATATTGTCATGTCCAAACATTTGGAATATAGAGCAAGAGAAAGACAGAGAAAAAGAGAAAGTGGGCGGCAGGCCAGCGAAGATCAACAAGAAAAAGGGTGACAGGGATTTAGAGCGAGAGATAAAAAACCGAAGGAGACATTTTTTAGTTGGAAGAACAACATGAAAATTTTGTAGCGGTGACAAAATGGGAAATGCTAGCGGCCACCATTGCAGGTGAAAATGAGCGGCTGTGAAAAAAAGTGAACTGGAACACGTACGACATGCAGTTCCTCCATAAAACGTGTAACTAAGAAGTTTCTGGAAGTTTGCGTTGTAGTCTTGCAAAACAACGGCAAAGAAATGTACAAAAAAAGTGTGCTGCACGTGCAAAGTTGCTTTTGCTAATTAGACCTATTGTTGATTTTCACCGTTTTCCGGCGGTGCATCCCTTCGCCGCTTAGCATTTCACGATTTTATATTTTGTTTGAACAAACTATAAATATTATCGAGAGCTTCGCTTTTAGCCCTGGCTAAATCTATATATTATATCATAGTTAATTGAGTGGAATGGTTATGAAACCCGTCAGACATCCTTTGTTATATGTTTTTGTGGACCTGAAAGTGCACAACGTTCAAAAGAATTCCTATCATTTTGATTGTATTGACCAATACTGAAACGTTTCATTAATTTATTCCGTAACAATTTGCCAACAGAAAACAAAGGATTGTGCACTTTCACGGTGCTTTCAACATAAACTGCAGCACTGTTGTTTTTATCATTGATGTTTGCCGCTTTTCATAACCAGTCTCCTCTAATAACTATGATTACATGGTTGGCAATGTAACTATCCCGGCCAGGGATATTTGTCTCCCTTGTAGGTCAAGGTCCCCATCCCTGTTCAATATATATTTATAAAATAACTAAGATAGTACGCGCGCTCTGATTGGCCGAGAGGAGTGTTTATAAGAGTATGTAAACATGGTTGTGGCGTCAAGGTGTTTTGCTTTTTGCGCGCTAATTACGCGAGCACGAATTTGAAAAAGTTTTTGAGTTCAAAACTCGACAAGTTTATTTTATTTACCCATTTCCTTTGTTGGTTTAAGCCAATCATGTTACCGCCTGCAGATTTTCGTCTGGCAAAGATTGTCGCAGAAATTATCACATCAAAACAGAAAGTCCTTCCTTGATCCATCGCATGGCGAAGCGATTCGACGACGCGGAGACACTAGACAAAATTCTAGAGTCCGAAGGAACACAACGCTTTGTTCGATTGTTTGTTGGGAACTTTTCTTTTAATGACTGTGGTTGGAGAAATTTTGCATCTTCAAGGATCTTTCCAAGGCGCTTTAGGTCTCGATAACTGCGTTCGTTACAGATGTAACCGTCCACGTTTATATTTGACAGAGGAACATTCAATACGCTGGAAATTCTGTCTGGTAAATCACAAACTTTTCCATTTAATTTGGTCCGCTTCGGTGAATCAGTCAGTTCGGACCCACAGAAGACGAAATCCAACATTCGAAGATGAAAGAAAATTAACTACATGCCGCCGTGTACAGAAATGCACGGAAGAATCTCTTTCACAATGTATGGAAATGTACCGAAAAAACTATTTCGAAAGTCGTTTGAGTGGGTAAGAGAGCGCTTGATGCAAGTTTGAGCCAAATAAATAAGAAAATTGGAGATCGGTTTCACTTCCAGGGATATCGGAGACGCCTAAATTATCAATTTTCCAATTAAGTCACAGACAAGGTCAACGGGTCACGCGTCCAACCGTCTCTCCTCGGGGCGGATCAAAGACCGGACCTGGGAGACGGCGGAAATCGAGCCTACAGTTGACTGAGAATCAATGTGCACCGACTGCTTTCTTCCCGAGAAGTAGTTCTTAAACCATGGAAGGCTTTCATCGCATACACCATAATACTCTAATTTGCTCAGCAAAATTTCATGGTCAACTGTGTCGAAAGACTTTGCCAGGTCGAAAAACACAGTACCAGCAGTGACTAAGCCCTTATCCATACTGGTGAGAATCTCGTCGACGAAATAGGTTACAGCCGTCGGTTGAGTGCATTCTTTTAAAACCGGATTGTGACTTACAGAGCAAGTTATACATTCGTAAAAATAGCTTGCAAGTTGCTTGTGGATTAAACGTTCTAGGACTTGGATATAGGCTCATCGTTTGTACCTGATTTGTGCAGAGGGGTCACCTTCGCCTCTTTCCATTCCGCAGGGATCACGTCAGTTTTGTTTGATAGTTAAATTAAAGACTAGGGTATCTAAAAGATAGTAATGCTGCGGCACATTCTGTTGATACTGGCATTAGTTAGGCAGTGAGACTTAAACGAATCGAAAATGACATTGAATGTCCTATTTACTTGTTGGAAAGTACTAGAATAATGACTATCAGTCTATAGAAAGAACTCGTGGGAACATTGTTTAGAAAATGATCAAGTGGTTATCAACTCTGGTTTCCCCACAGTAAATTGTAGGAAATAATAGAAATTCAGATTGTTTATCCATATATTTAATATGAAGTGCACGATATTTTCTCTGGAAACACAATACTTTTCTTGCTGTTTGTTGCACTTTATTAAGCAACAGTTATTTAGCTATATATAAAACAGAAAGAAAGAATATATAATGTAGAGGACTCGAACCCTGCACCTTCGGCTCCACGCGACTATACACCCAACCACTACACCACAGAGGCTGACTCCGTAATCTTTGAGAAAAGTCTTTCATTTTATTCCTTTTCCATGAAACTTCCGCCGGCAAGATGATCGCCAGCCGCATTAACCGAGCTATTAACAGTGAAAAAACAATGTAGACGCATATTCCATGGCAATGAATGAATGAAAGAACATAATTATGCTTTTCAAAACGCCGATACACATCCTCGTCTGCAAAGTAGGACAAAAAACATATGTTTTGTTATCTCGATTTCCGCTGTTATTTTGAAGCGAATGGTCAAAATCACATCCATTTTCGCTCATACAGTTTCTTAAGAACAGCATTACAAGACATTTTCTCTCTTTCACATCACCTTCTAGCAAGCTGGAATTTGTATATCCCCCGTGTTGCGGAGTCGAAGAGCAAATGCTCATCTTCTCGTCAGGTTTAACACCTGGACGAGTCAAAGGCTCTTGAATTGAAATTAACCATCGTACTCATCTGAAAGACTCCTGCGTGTCTCCGTGCTGTAGAAAATTTGCCACAAAGAAAACTCTAAGTCTGAGCAGCGAACGATGCACTCTCTCACCCACCGAACTTTCCCGTGTTTTTATTTGAGTTGTTCGTGGCGTAATGCACTCTGGTTAAATGCAATGCATTGTGGTAAAAAATGTGGTTAAATGCAATGCATTGTGGTAAAAAGTGATGAATTCGAGAATTCGTCGCCCCTTATATATTTCCTTTAAATCCTGATTATGTTGCTGCTCGGTCCCTTCGGTCGCTCCGCAGCAATGACATACAATGGAGAAGCCAGGGTCTGCTCCGTCGAGTTAAATACTGTCAACACCTGTTGCCTTCTTTGATTTAAATTATTTAAGCTCCTTACGAACCTCCGATACAGTAATCTTTCGTAGTTTAAATTTTTTCTGACGTTTAAATCGAGGCAGCCATTTGAAAAATGGTCGCCAACGTGATCGATGGGCCAGTAGTGCAGGACATGGCGGTATGAGCGTGTTTCCATATTCTAGCCCTAGTAGTAGATGTGAGCGCATTTTCACTAAATAATTGGCAAAAACGAAATACACTTAAAGACGCCTGTGGTATATATAGTATATGGAAATGAATATGGATATTAATGTAAATGGGCTAATACTAAGAATTCATCCGGTTGATGATCAGTATGCAGCCAGCCGATGTGGGAAAGTGATAAATATTGATAGTGAAGCTATACTGCTAGGTACTCCGTCAACTTTATCTAAATATATAAGATGTAATGTACGTAATAGTAATAAGAAAAAAGGAAAATCCATGATTTTGCACAAGTTCATTTATGAATGCTACCACGGGTTAATGCCGGATGGAATGGATGTAGTTCATATTGATGGTGGTGTTTTGAATAACAATCTTAGTAACTTTCAGTTAGTGATGAGAAGGCGAAAATAATTAGGTTCAGTTATGGTTATTAGTAAGGGAGCTATTGGGGTTTAGGCCTCAGTAGCCCTTATGGGACTCAAATAAAAATGAAGGTAGCAAGAGCAGCTATTAGCTCGAGTCACAGGCCTGTTTGCCAGGCAGTTTTATATACACAAATGGTAATATGAATCGGGAAAGATTATCAAAACTTTCAAAAAGTCGATTGATAGAAATGTTATTAGGGCGGGATTCCGCTAAGTCACATGACGGTTTGTCCGTTAAGGCTAAGGCTGTAATACCAGCCAAGTTTAATCCAAAATCGCTGACTGAATTATCAGCTAATAAACTAGAGCAAATGATACAACCAAAATTGACCAAACCTAAATCACTGGTCCAGTTGGCAGCAGAAAAAATAGAACAATCTATTAAACAACCAACTAAGCTGCCAGAACCCAGTAAGATGTTACCAACATTGAAAACCTTAGCAGCACAAGCTCTGGTAAAAGATAAGGTAAAATTTTGGAATGAGAAAGCAAATGATGATGCTTCTATTAATAGGTTAGACAAAAATACAATGAGAAGGGGAAGACGCCCTACTCCTATTCCAGCTCTCGGAACAAAGAAACAACAGCCAGTAGCAGTACCAAGGACAAAAATTGATGAAAAACGAAGGGCTTTGAAGGGCGAAATGAATTAGAAATGAAAATAGTGACATCAGATCTGGTCAATTTCTGATACAGCCAAAAAAGGAAACCACAGGCAGCCACTGTACAGTAAAAGAGCACATAAAAAGATGAGCGGTAAGAAAACATTTGCTCAATCCGCACTACGAACTCTCCGATCGAAACAGACGTTACTAAAAATGAGGAGTAAGAGGCGTATTAGATGAGTGAAGGTAGCAAATGCCTTCTAGGCATCCCGAATCCCCTTTTTTATGTTTACACAAAGGTTGAAACGGGCGTTTTTTGGTAAGCGTAAGTCAGGGTTCTTTCACAGCACAGTAAAGAAATTATCATTGATAATAGCTTTTGCTATATAGTGAAACAACGTTTTTGACACGACTATTATTTCCAAAGGGTTCCAGGGGGTGGAGGGGTATGACAAGCACCCCATGCAATGAACATTCAGGGAGAATGGGGCTTCTAAAGCAAAAGAAACCTTCGTGAGGAGTATGAATATTTTCTGAAACTGTACAAATGTAGGGACAACGACGGTTTAGACGATATTTTTTTCTTTTGCTCACCTGGCCCCGGTTCCTGGAAATACGATTAAACTATCCTCCGCTTGGCGTCAAATCCACCATTAAATTTCCTATTCCCCGGATAACTAATCGTGGGTTAAAAAGGAGTTACTGAAAGCGAAATTAACCCACGATTACCTAATCCGAGATAAGTGTTAAAATAAACTGGTTTATTTAGTTTTTCGGATGATTGCTTTTAGAATGGCGCGAAAAATTTTTAGGCACGGATGAAGTAAAGGGAAAATGGAGGAAAATGAAGTGGTCGAGGTTGAACCAAAGGAGAAGAAGAGGAAACCGAAATTCTTCATCTATCTAGAAATAATTGGCTCAGTTTTTATAACATAGTCCTTTTACTCAATCCGAAGTCCACAGTCCGCAGTCCGCAGTCCATGTTTTTTTCTGACCGAATTTATTACATGAAGTAGCAACTACGTTGTCAACAGCTTATGCTTTCTCTTCGTCTGTCTCTTGAGGTCGTTTTTGAGGATTTCTTACAAATATTTCATAGACTCTCGGCCAAGCCTTTATCTACTGCGAAGCTCTTCGTCAGTGAATTGGTCGAAATCAATTTAATTTCTTGCTGTCGGAACTTTTTTCCACGCGTTTGAGCCAAAGGTAAGTCCGCCATTTTGTTTGTTTTAACAAACTTTTTTTGATGAGTTAATCAACCTCGCTAAGTGGGTTAAATTTATTCCTAGATTAAGATTAATTGTGCTTTCAGGAACAGAATCTAATCTTGGGATAAAATTTATTCGAGATTTAATCTTCAACTAGCGCTAATCGGCTTTCCGGGAACCCGGGCCTTATGTAACTCGATACTCTTTAGATATATATTAGATAGATTGTAAGTTTATTATTCATTTCAAATATTTCGCCGATTCTTATTGGCCCCGAACCGCCACTCAATCTCAGTAACCATCTGGTGCTTACCATTTGAAAGACGCGCGCAATATACCAACGGTTCGATGGTAAATTTGATTGGAAACGAGGTTGGTCGATAGACGAGGCTTCTTGGGAAACGTGAACCGTACTAAACGTTATCCAATGATTAAGGGGGGATTACAGTTGAATTCTGGGGAAATTGGGGTTGAATTGAGAATGAAAGAAAGAAGGATAGAAGAGGGTATACACCAAAACCAGTTTGTCCGCAAGAGAGAATGATCAGGGCCACCTTGTTGGGGTGGCTAGTCTGTTC